CCCCCCCCTCCTCCTCCAACACTTATAATAGTGTAAAAAGCTCAGGATGCCAGGGCCATGTGTATGGATGTTGATGGCGCGCTAAGAAATGTTCTCCGAGCGGATTGAAAATATGCCTCAATCTCACATAGGACATACGTTAATACATAGATAAACGCCTCTTGAGTTAGGTAGCGGGTACCCATACCGGAGCCCGTCCAGCGTGCCGGTTAATCTTTTTAATAAATCAGTCGATGTTAACCTCCATCTTTCTCTTGCAACTTCCATTTATCATACTCTCATAAGATATTTTTCCCAAATTCGTAACATATCTTCTATATCAAAATGGCCGACATCCAAATCACCGAAGGCGAATTCGAAACTCCCTGATGACGCCCTTACCTACCAGAAAACCTGGGCTGTGAGACTCCCCAATCCTACAATCCAACATGTAGTAACATACAATAGCCCAACGAATTTCCTCATTGTATTGGTAGTATTACCTCAATGTTTCAACAGCTGTCTCGGCCTTATTTCCATATTACAATCTAATAGATGCAGGAAGCGAAGAAAGCGAAAAAAAACCAACCTGCTCCATTACGTATGAGAGCTGAGCTCAGGTATCAACCATATAAGCACCGTTCTTGGGTTCACTACAATCCAATGACATCCATGATGAAGTGCCGCTGGTTGCTATAAAAAAAAAAAAAAGGAGAAGATAAGAAGGTGAAATAAGGGAAAGGGGGCTAAGCATGTGGATCCTCAATCTCCCCATTAATGATCTTTTCGGGAATTTCCGTCTGCAGAACACCGTCCGAGCTCGTATACTCAGGCCTTGAATAGATTTCAATAGCATCAGCCCCAATACTGCCGACCGCATTCCAGAACGTCCAAGCTGACTGGAAGGGCACCCTCCACTTCCACCAGATCACATCATCGAATACCTCTGCAGACCCAGGAATCGGATTTGGTCCCCAGCTTGACTTGTCGTATGTATAGTGTAGGGCCACTGCGTTCTGTGACGGCGATTTATCGTCCAGCACCGCAAACCACGAGTCAGAAATACTCGTTGTCTGGGTATCAGTGTGTTTATCGAGGCGATCTTGGAAGAATCTGCGCAGCTCGTCGTCGCTTTTACCTTCAAAGCCGGTGTTGAAGTCTTGGACGGGGGTCTGAGTATTCCATTCGTCTAAGGCTTCCTGGTTTGGGGTGCGGACTAGACTAAAGATGTTGAATGCGTCGTCAGGTATAGCACATTCTGTCATCAGTCGGTTGATTACCTGGAAAGGTTTAGTAAGTGGTCTTGGACTGTTGTATGGGAGTACGAACGCTCGCGCGGACTTTTGAAGTGCAGAACAGGAGGATGGCGGACATGGTAGGCTTGGCGCTCTTACCCAATAGTTAAAGGGTGTTTTGATTCATAGGATAGAGAGCGTGCGTGTGGGCGATAGTGAAATAGGCAGTCGAGTTGAAAAGAAAAGAAAGACTGAACTCCCCAGGTCCCCCGCTTTCTAACCCCACGGGCGGGTTAGTCAGCCCATAAGGTCAAGAATAACCCTAACTAATCGGAAGGACCTATTGTTTCGCCTGAGACGAAGGAAGGAGGGCCAGGTACTAGCAAGTAACTTACCTGCATGTCAGACACAAGAACTGCGTGATCAGCCTGACGAAGCACTTCAGCTGAGTATGAGAAAACCGCATTCCACCACGCCACTCCTCCATCTGATTGGTTCTGTTTTACACAAAATCGTTGCTTTTTCTGTGTCCTACCCACACCAACCACTAATATGACCGATTGCCCGAGGGTCCGTCGCTTACGATATCAACAACTGAATGAGCTGACGAGCCTTGCGTCGACGACGAGATTCATTCCACTCACAGTAAAGCCAACGTTACATTCACCCCCTTGTGGGTGTCACCTGCCTGCACATGAAATCCAGCCCCCAGTGCACTATTGATTCTAGGTAGCTGGGGGCTGCAAAGCGGTGCGGCTGTATGCATTGAAGTTCATCATCTTGGGTGATAAAAGGTGGAGGGTTTCCCTAGAGCAGTCGATTAAAGCCTATCCAACCTGCTAGACTTGGTTAGGTCCGGACAAAGATTGCTCTCAGAATGCAGCTTACCAAGTCCCTCTTGGTATTCGCACTTTATGTGCTTGGCACTCAGCATGCGCTAGCAGTGCCTGTCAACCCCGAGCCTAACGCCACGAGAGTCGAAAATGTCGCCCTTAAAACAGGAAGCGGTGATAGCCAGAGCGACCCCATAAAGGCGGACTTGGAGGTTAAAGGCCAGAGTGCTTTACCATTTGACGTCGATTGCTGGGCTATCCTATGCAAGGGCGCTCCCCATGTCCTGTATGTCTCCCCCTATTAAGACTCTTTGTGACACGTATGTTTGACTAACATATACCGCACGCCTAGGCAGCGTGTGAACGAAAAGACAAAAAATGGCAATCGCGATCGGAGCGGCGCAAACAAAGGGCCTTTCAAAGATCCTCAGAAATGGGGCATCAAGGCCCTTCCACCTAAGAATCCGTCTTGGAGCGCACAGGACTTCAAGTCACCTGAAGAATACGCATTCGCTTCTTCCCTTCAAGGCGGAACAAGGTAGGCTAAACTCATTAGACCTCCTATCAATGTGTTGTTGTCAGCTAATTCGGATGTGATCAAGTGCCATCCTTGCACCCGTCAACCTCGCTGCTCAGAACTCCCAAGGCGGTGTTCTAAACGGCTTCTACTCAGCGAACAAAGTAACGCAATTTGATCCTAGTAAGCCCAAGGAGACCAAGGGTACATGGTTTCAGATCACTAAATTCACTGGTGCGGTTGGGTAAGAGTATCCAGTATCATGATCATATGCGGTTTACTAAGAAGACACTAGTCCTTACTGTAAGGCTCTGGGGAGCAGTGATAAGAGTGTTTGCGATAAGAACAAGAATGTTGCGGGGGACTGGGGCTTCGACCCGGCGAAATGGGCATATCAGTATGATGAGAAAAACAACAAGTTCAACTATGTTGGTAAGTAATTAGTTCGCTTCTGTGAGAGGAGTATGGTTGGATGTACAGTGTGTGCTACTCGTTTGAGCCCTTGTACGCAATTGGTATGAGGAAACATCTTTGCGAAACCTAAAGGTGTTGGAAAGACTCAGCAGATGTCTGAGTACCCATCCTACCCACAAACAATTTACATGACGCTTGGACTACTCCAGTTCCCAATAGAATATTTATGATTGACTTGAAGAAGTCGGCCTTCGGTAGCTATCGTAGACTAATACTAGCATCAACGAGCAAATAAGACTGTTCAGAGCTTACCATCTGGGGTAAAATATCACCCGATAAAAGTCTCCAATGAGCTCAACCATTTAGTAATTACTAACTTTCCAAAGACTGTACTAAACACAGATAATGGGAGCTAAAGAATTCCATGTCATAGAAACCAGACGATTATTCACTCTTTTGCTTCCAGATCTTGATAGAAAAATGGTTCATGAGACGTAAGCTTTGTGCTTATTTTCAATGAAATATTCTAGTAGGATTCAACGTGGAAAAGTTGTGCAGTCTGCTCAGGGTCTAGGAATGATCTGGTCCTTGAGCAACTCAAGACCTTGGGCAACGCCAACAACCTTGTCTTTGACGCCGAGCTCCTTCAAGGTGACTGTCTCCTCGGGGTAGAACTTGTTCCAATCCGGGTACTGCTCGCTAAACCGCAACTGGCTGGCTATCTCTGGTCCAAATAGGGGGCCATATGCTTTGGTCGCCTCTGAATCGGTCAGCTCGGCATACACTGCCGTCTTTCCAGCAGCTTTGCTCCATTCCTCCGCGATCCGGGTCCAGGAGATAAGGTCGGTGATAATGGGTACATACTTCCCATACGTTTTCTCTGGCTGGGATAGAATTGCCTGGACCACAATGCCAGTGTTCGTCGCCACGATTCCGCCACAAGGAACGATCGCGTCAGGCTTTGAGGCTTGGGCCAGAATGTAGTTGCCCAAGAATGGTTGGGGTTGCATTGAGGGCAGATTGGCAAAGTTATCTAAATAGAATCCTGTCCATACAAACGTCGTCTTCGCTGCCAATTGCGGTAGCGATGTCTTGACATAATCGGCACCCCTGGCCTTTGCATCCCAATGCGGGCATGGCAGCTTCCCCCCCGAGAGTTTGTCGCAGGATGGCAGAACGCTGAGGACCAAGTGTTTGAGGGTCGGGATTTGGGCGGCCGAGTCCGCAATGTTGATGAGATGCTGAAGCTCTACCGTCTGTGCAGTATCGATGCCACCCTGGAATACGGCAGTCCAGAAATCAGACACTGCGAAGATAGCAGTAGCGCCCTTGAAGGCTGCCTGTAGGGTGCCGACATCATTCAGATCGGCAGCAACAATTTCAACCCCTATAGCCTCAAGTGCTTTGGCCTTGGCGCTGGCTGCGTTGCGAGTAAGACCTCGTACTTTCCATGAGGGATCTTTGGCCAGGACACGAGCAACTGAGCCACCTTGGGTGCCAGTAGCGCCAACAATGACAGCCAGAGACATAGTGTACGAGGTGATGATAGCCGGATGAGAAGTAATGCTGCAACTGTGACAAGAGGAAATGATGGTCTTAGAGAATGTGAGTATGTCTTGGGACCACGTCTCGATATTTATTATCTCTCTAGACCTTACTTCGAGGTCACGCCACCCTTGAAGTGCTTAATAATCAGTTTTCAATACTCTGATTGTCAGTCACAAAATACTTAAGTTTTACGCTATTTACCTAATCTATTACTAATAAAATACTATTTCTTTTATACTTTTATATATTATTTTATCTCTAAGTAACTTTCTAAAGTACTTGTAACTTAATATCAATTTAATATTCTTTTAATCAGTAGTCAAACTCAATCGGCTCTAAGATAAATATTTATTAGAGATTGGATGCCAAATATATAAGGGTATCATCTTGTCTCATGGGTTACTGACTGAGAGTCTGAATAAAAGATATAGATTAATTAATTTATTAAAGCTTTAATTTCTCTTAAGTCTTAATAAGTTTAGATAATTAATATCAATAGTGAGGATCCTACTTCAATCAAAATTATAAAGAGAGAAAAGGATCTTGAGTCGGTGCTACATTTTCGACTAATTACAAAACACAGAGTCAAATGAAACAATATAAGATAAATAACCTCTTCATAGCTACCAGGCCAAATTATAATACCGCTAAGTCTGATTAGCAAGAGTTCCCTCTAAATGACTGACGTAAGAAACGTGCGCTGTCTTGGCGCGGCTCGAGATGGTAAAATCCTCGTATCTCAGCCTGACGCGGGGTAGTAGACCTGTGCGTGTCTACGGGGTGGCAGTAAGCAGTGAAATCTTCCCGAACCATGAGAAAGTTTAATGAGCTGAGGAGTAAAATATCCTCTAGATCAAGAAGCAGACATTCCAATCAAACCAGCCAGGGTATCAGTTCAGATCCTAGGCACACAAATCCAATTGAACAGCAGCAAGCGCCTCCGCTTGATTCCCCAACTCCTGATGACAACAAAAACAACAGGAGGCTGATTTCAATCCACGAGGACCTTTGGAATAGGGCTTACAAGGAGTTGAAAGAGGATCCGGTCAAGGAGAAGTACATGAAAACTTATGAACAACTAGTATCCGACATCTTTTTGAGACAGCCCACCAATGGATCAGTGTGTGCCGAACCCGTCCATGAAGGCAAAAGCGATGCCGATAATGCACCATGGACGGAAGACCAGTTACAACGCATTATCCAAAGAGGACTAGATAAAGTCAATGCAAGCCAGAAACGAATTGACAGCGCGTCCGAGGTTTTCGACGTGGTGCAGAATTTGAAGCCCATATTTAACGCCGTCCTGAGCAACACCCCACATACTGCCCTTCCATGGGCAATCGTTTCCTCCACTCTCAGCGTAGGGAATTCGTTAGAAGAGTGTTGTGAGTTACTGCTGACTGATCCCCCAGATTATTGCAAATCCAGTTCGATCAACCAAAGCTCTTTACGATGGGGTCAGCCACGTGGTTGGCAGGATGCAGTGGTATTCGAAGATAACCGATAGACTTCTTCAGACTGGTAGCGAGAATGGCCACCACAGACTCGAAGAAGTCCGTAAGCAGCTTGAGACTGGGATGCTCGATATGTACAAGTGTATGCTCTTTTATGAGATCAAGTGTGTCTGTTTTTACCACAAGAACCAGTTTTCGGTCTTTGTCCGTGGCCTTTTCAATGTTGATGACTGGGATGGAAGCCTGACGAAAATCAATGAGCAAGAAAATGCTCTCCGATCTGACCTGCAGCAATACAAGCTGGAGCAGATCCTTGATGGGGTGGCCGCCAAAAATAAAACGCGTGATGGGGTTGACGACGAGTATCGCGAGTGTCTGAAGTCTTTGGGCGTGGTAAACCCCCTGTTGAGAACCAAAGACATTATAGCACGAAAGAATGAGGTTCTTAAAGACTGTTATAAATGGGTATTTCAGACGAAATCTTATCAAGACTTCATGAATTGGGAAGGTGAGGACACGCCGAACCTGCTATGGATTCAGGGACAAGCGGGCACCGGCAAGACGATGCTCCTAGCTGGGATCATGGAGGAACTGAATACATTCCCCGCTAACTCCGTCTCGCCAACAACTCTACATTTCTTTTTCCAAGACAAGGACGGCCAGATTGATCAAAGTTTGATGGCAGTGAAGAGCCTTCTATGGTTATTGCTGAGCCAATACCCGTATCTCGTGCAATATGTTCATAAGCAGATGCAGGGTTCACGCGACAATTTATTCGACGGTGATTACGCCTTTACTATTGCTTCTGATCTGATCCGAGCAATGTTGCAGGACGATAAGATCGATCCAGTCATCCTTATACTCGATGGTCTAGATGAATGTGAGTATAAGGCTAGGACAATGCTAATCAGCTTTCTTGGATCGCTACTACAGCTGAACTCAAGAGACAACGTGAGGGTTAAGGTAATCATTTCAAGTCGTCCTCTGGAGGAGATTAAAATAGCAGTGAAGAGTATCAAGTCCACAATACTGAGAGCTACCATTGAGGTTGACAACATTTCGCTCGATGCACCAATCACCGCTTTTATCGAATGGAACATTGGTCGGTTAGAAGAATGTACCGAAGATAAAACCCGTCTACTTGCACTTAGGAAGGAGCTTCGCAAACGGGCAAGCAACACCTTTCTATGGGTTTCACTGGTGTGCCAAGAGCTCAGCCATTATGGGCTTCATATGTGGGAGGATATTCTTAGTGAAATTCCAGATGGCCTTGTAGAACTGTACAACAACCTTCTTGCCAGGCTAGAAGGGTCAAAATATAAACGTCATGTTCAAACTTGCAAGAGGGTTCTTATCATTTCAATATTGGCAAATCAACCATTGAGCCTTAGTGAAATAGCATTGCTTGCTCAAATAGAAGAAGGCTCGATCCGATCTATCGTCCATGACTGCAGGTCATTCCTCACTATCCAGGGAGATACAGTCTATCTGTTCCATCAATCTGTCCAGGATTACCTGCAAGATAACTATAGCCGTTTGCAAATCCAGCCCCGCGAACACATCCACCGATCAATATTCGAGTTGTCACTGAAAGGCATGGAAGATCAATTACAAAGGAACATGTACAAGCTTCCTTATGCAGGTTCCATCTTCGAGATGAACAGCCTCCCAGATCCAGACCCACTGCGTGCGATCCGATATTCATGTCGCTTTTGGGTACACCACCTGAAGCACAGCGATTCCACGTACGATGCATGTGATATGATTTACTCATTCCTCCAAAAGCATTTCATCCATTGGCTAGAAGCCTTGAGTCTTATGCATATGATGCCCGATAGTATCGAGATCCTAGACGAGCTAAAACCACTAACCACTGTAAGTCTGCGTTTCACCCTATTTTTCCAATGATTCCGCTGATTCCAGAAAGTCACATTCTATACTACATGAGTTTCTTCAAGATGCAAAAAGGTTTACCATGAAGAATCAGCACACAGCTAGCACCGCCCCGCTGCAGCTGTATAGCTCTGGCCTTCTGTTCTCACCTCAGTCGAGCATTATCCGGCGAGAGTTTGAAAAGGAGATTCCCGCTTGGGTAATAAGGTTTCCCTCGATTGAGTCGAAGTGGGATGCGGTTTTACAGTCATTAGACCACCCCTCCGATGTGCGCTTTGCATGCTTCTCGCCCGATGGTCGACTCCTAGCATCTAGCTCCTGGGGCAGTTCAATAGCCGAATACAGCATTATAAATGTATGTGATGCAAACACGGGGGGACTAAAACAAAGGCTTAAATCTTCCAACTCCATGAGCTCGTTAGCGTTCTCTCCAGACAGCCAACGCCTAGTTGCGACGTGCTGGAACAACTGGATCAGGGTTTGGGATACCGTTACATGGACCGAATCAAATATTTCTCATCCATACGAAAGGTCTATAATAGGTTTTACTTCAAGAAACGACCTAATAGTCTCTACAGCGGGGTTCTCAACACTTTCAATATGGAATATAAGCCTATCAGCATCCTACCCGAAGATCAAGATTGAAACGGATGCGGAAATCGGAGCAGTGAGCTTTTCACCTGATGCTGAGCTGCTCGCCCACACTCGACGGGATAAAACTATCAGGATTTGGAAGACCTCAACCGGTATGTTTAAGCAGACCCTTGTGGACCTGGTAGGGAGCATCGAGGACGTCTTGGCCTTTTCCCCTAATAATGACATGCTCGTCTCGGGATCCCGCGATTCCTTTCGATTATGGAAGATAGCAGCTCAAGAGCCGACCTTCACTTTCCCACACAGTGGGTCTGTCAAAGCAGTAGCATTCTCCAGAGACAGCAACTTAGTTGCATCAGGGTGTTCGGATTATGTCATTCGGCTGTGGAACACACGTACTGGACACCTCGAGCAGGTCTTAGAAGGGCATTCATCCACACCCATCTCTCTGTCGTTTTCAGTAGATGGCCAAGTACTGGCGTCTGGCTCAGAGGATCACACCCTTAAACTCTGGGACCTAACTCAAGGAAAAAGGGACCCAACACAGAATTCCGAACGGATAGCCCTGCCATATTCGGACAATCTATCGGACATGACGATTGCTGCGATCGAGCTTTCCCCTGACGAGCAACAAGTAGCAGCGGGATCATGGGGCGGTGTTGTTACGCTGTGGGATTTGAAAACTGGAAATTTGCAATACACTCTGAAGCAGACAACGTCTTGCTCACACTTAGCGTTCACACGAGACAGTCAGCAGCTAGTATGGGCTGGCTTTGAAACTGAAAACCACGTGTGTAATGCAAAAAGCGGGAGTTATGAAGGAGAAACCATGAAACGTCCGGCTCTACTGCGTCTACAGCGCGAGCCCTCAACGCGCAAGCCAGAGGTTCTGTTCGAGGATGGGTGGGTGGTTGCAGTCAGCAGTGGACAGAGAATCCTATGGCTACCACCTGAACATCGTCCTGCCCACTGCATAGATCTACAATGCATTAAAAACGGCAACATGTTGATTTGCGGAACTGATAAAGGCCATGTTCATTTCTATGAGTTTCAGGTAGGTGGGGATTTGACCTGATACTCTGAGTTCATAGATGGATGGTGGTTACAGCTGGGCAAAATAGCTATGAGAAGGCTGAGAAATAATATATCGCCGTTGGCCCAACTCATCATGGTGGACTGAACATTTAGACATAGCTAAGAACAGAGACTCGATTATCGTAGATGAACCAATTCAATTTCTCAGAGTCTTGCTAAACATCCATGACAGGAGCCAACGTCTCCCACAGTGCACACCGATCTTTTTGCGTTCCTGTAATGACCTCCATCGCTGTCTGATTCGTCTGTATCTTCAGTCTCTCTCCTTTCCCCAATGGCATCCAGTAAGGCGCGCCCTCGGCTCTGAAACTGTTAGGGTCCAACGTTTTCACAAAGCTAATGTAATAATTCATGACTATAGGAACAATTCCGGCATTGATATTCGTAATGCTGCTGCTAAGTCCACCCCCGTAGCCCAAGCCAAAAATGGCCTCTGTCTCGAAGGTATGCGGAACTCCCAAGCCCTTGTGAAGGGTCTCTGGATCTTGCACATTATATCGATAGCTCCAAACCTTATCATCGCCCACAGGGTAATATTTTGTCATTTGAGTGCTCATTTGAATGCCTGGACAAGTGAAAACAGCATCTCCAAACGCGGCAGACGCAGCAGGGAAGTATTCTGCATGAAGCGGAACGGGCTCCATACCATGATAAGCGCGATTAATCGATTTCAATTGGCTTGTGCTTAGCCTAGGGTAGAGGCTGGTCAAGAATTCGGATATATCGGCCGGACTCGTGGCATTGTAGGCGAAGTTGGAGCCTTCATTGGTGTCTCCGCCGACAATCAATGGAACACGGACAAATTTTTCATTCGCAAAGAGAGTATATAGACGATCCTGGATGAGAGTCCCGTCCACAACTGGGACGAAACCCCAGAATGAGGGCGTTGTACGTGTAGGATCTGTCGGGTCTGGTGAGGTAGCCTGTGCTTTCTGAATGGCTGTGATGTTGGCAGATCGCAAACACGACATCGTTGAGCATCCGACAGCCTCCATGAACTGACTCAACTGTGCCTCGGATTCAGAACTATTCCTTTGGGCAGGCCAGAATGGACTCTCAGCCACTGCTCCTACGAAAAGACCGTCATTGCGGCCCCCGTATGCTGCAAGATGGTAGGCCACCGAGCCTGCGCCGGCCGACGCACCATGTATGACGATATGATTTGAATTACCGCCAAACTGGAGTCTGTCAGACTGGGAGAATATAGCTCAAATGGATAATGGTAGGTTTCCTTACCAGGTGAATATACTTTCTTACCCATTGGAGGGCTTTTCGCTGGTCAAGCAAGCCAACATTGAGGTCACCATCTTGCTGGACTTTTTGACCAGCTAAAAACCCCAGTGCTCCCACACGATAGTTAAAGTTAACCAGTATAATTTCATGTCCGGATTCCTCTATCACTTGGGTACCATTGTAGTTTGCATTCGAATTTGTCACATATGCACCACCCTGAATATACATCCAAACAGGGAGGTTGGACCCTGGTGTGGCATTAGATGGGGTAAAAACGCTGATGAAGAGACAATCCTCGGCTGTTTCTTCAGTAACATTCTGGCCGGTACCGACACAAACTGGACCAAACTATCAGACAAATTAACAACCAGTCTCCTTGAGAGACCTGTAGCCTCTTACCGCTGATGCATCCTGAACGGAAGACATTCGAACGGGTTCTTGGGGAGCCCGAAAACGAAGCTCTGCTAGTGGTGGTGCTGCATATCGCATGCCCAGATATTGATCTACTCCGGCCGGAAGTCTCACTCCTTGGTACTGAGCGTAGTCAAGCTTGATCGTCGGTCGGGGTGAATCAAGGGGAGCAGCATTTTTAGCCTCAGCCAAAAAGGTTAATACAATGGACAGAAAGATGGCTAAGTTCATATTTTGCCTTCAAGAAACGTTATTTGGGGGCACGCAATACTTGGTACCACACGACTATTTATTGACAGGCGGGGTAATGCAGACGAACCCTGCTGTTGCACGGCCTTATGCTTATATAGAATTAGTATAAGATGGTTGCATGCGGGGATAGTGGGATAGAGTAGACTATCAGATGGAATTGGCCATGTTCCAGTAAGCTAACAGATGGCAACTTTCGCGGAAAAATTTCCTCCACGCTGCTAGCATAGTAATTCCACGATTTTTCATCGTGGGTTGCTTCAAAGCATTATCCATCTAGGCACGAGGTTCCGAGGTCGCTATAGTTTTCTACGTCACGATAGAGGGCAAATTATATGCATTATTTGAGAGAGGACGGTGTCAATATCAACACCCCCGCAGGCTTCCCCGCAAGCACCTCGGGACAATCTGGACCGAACTCTCTTCAGATTGATTTACGTTTTCTCTGGCTTGTTTCTCCTAATTTACTATGACCGATAATTGTGTGTTACTATACAAAGCTAATAGCAGTGGATATGGACTACTAGTCTCTCACGGGAGAACAGTCCCGGATCCACCTAATCACTTCCAGCCTCCCCATAATTCGTCGATCAAGGGTATATTAAACGATTTTGGTTGTACTTTATACTGTATGTCATTGTAAAAAGAGGCTCATCAATATCACCTCCATTTAAATCAAGTTCAGGAATCACATCTCGCAGATCTCGGTAATATTATTCGAATAAGATATAAGAATACGTTGAGTCTCCCTCGTGCACACGTTCCCATGTCCACAGACCCGGAGGTAAACTGGTCAACACCGGCTGCAGCTCGATTCCAACTCATGCGTATGCTATCTGCAGCTCTACCCGCTCTTTTTTCCCAGTACTCTATCCTAACTGGATGACCAATTCCCTGCCTAATTGCGATCCGCTTGAGATTGGGTAAATGCGAGTGCAGGTCAATAAGCACGTGTCACACATAATCATGCAGTTTCTGCCCATCAATCCATGCTCTAGTCGCTTTCCTGTTGTCCCACTAAAGACACATCCATCAAGTCATTCCGGGTGAGAATAATGGTTGTTATGCTCGATACATTCTAGTCCAGGGCTCAAGGTACAAGACCAGACCTTCGGATGGGGACGGTTTTTAGTGGGGGCATTCCGCGGCCATGGAGAATTTTAGGTTATGTATGATCACGTGTCGCTCAGGCCCTAAGCCCTGTAAAAATAGGTACAGCGCAGATTAGTATAGGTCGACTATACCAAATCAGCCCGCAAAAGATCTGTACCAAAAAGATGAAATCGTAGGCTGCATATACATTTTGATGATCCAAAGTTCGAATATAGCATATCTATCTGGATATACAACCCATATATAAACTCCTTAGATTGACACAGGTCGAATCGACGGATCTCTCATAAATCTTCCAGTGCATGGTAAATCCAGGTTGGGATAAATATATATCTAGCCGGCATTCAGAAGGTGTGGGATTAATATTGACTCCAAATCTGGATATAACCTACAGCTCATATGGATCATATACATATATTGTGGCTTAAAGTCTTTAACTATCATGAGCTTTTTATATTGCTTTTCCACCCTTTTTTTTTTTTTCCCCAGCTATTTCGGGAATTGGATGTGCTGCGGGTTTTGTAACCTGCGGATGCTGGGTCTAGAATCTACAGTCACACCGCTGCGGGTTCAGTGCGGGTTTGCGGGGATTAACAACTACTATTACGGGATAAACCATTGGTTTTTTGGTTGAATATCAGAAAATGCTGTTCAAGATTTTCCCAATTTCTCCTGGCATGGTAGGGTGAGAGGACTCTTATGTATATAATTTTCCTTACCTTTCCTTGGAGCAAGAAATTGAGTTGCCAAGACTGCAAGAGATCATCAACGCAATAGCCGTCGGATAATTAGACAAGCAGATTGACGTTTACGGGAGTTGACTATGTAAACGGGAGGGCCGGGAAAGGTAAAACCACCAAAGTATCAGTCCTTAGCCTCCAAAAGAGCTCTCCATTGACAACCGTCACAGCAACTTTTACAACAAGATGGGTACTGTGTATATAGTAGGCACGTGGTCCCAGTTTGAACGGTTCCCGGGGCCCGCTTTTCACTTGCTGGTTTACTTTTCTGCCCCTGATAAGATGAGAATCTCCGCTCATAACGCCCATAATACGCCCGCTATATCTGAGTACCATCCCAAAACGCTAGTTTATTAGAATCTCCCTGCTATGGGCGTTTGCCCTTATGCCGAAAATGTCTCTTATCTGTATCAATAGCACTATTAAGAGTACTATTACGACACTGCCGTTATTGCACGTTCTCTACAGCTTTTGTGGATGTAAACTTTGTGATGTGAAAAACTTCACCAGCCACTTTAGCTAGATCATATCTACTTGAAGTTCCGATATAAAAGAAAAACCTTTCTTATTCTACCTCCAATGTGACATTGCTGGTGAGACTGTCCTTACGGAGTACATTCTTGGCATCAACTATTCCTAATGTGGTAACCAGAATGTCGGCAGAATGGCAGTACGAGTACCCGTCACGCAGGACAGATATGACAATACAGCACTCGTCTTAGTACTATAGGTCTAGGATTCATCCGCTGGGATTTAAAATCGTGCCAAAAGAAGGTAGAAACTTACGTCGACAAGTCTTAGAAAGTTCTTCTTCCGATCGACGAACCCGCGCCACGGGCCCAAGGCGGAAGCGGGCAACAGCCAATCACAAGGCAGGACCCAGCCCTAGGCGAAGCGGGCCGTCATGTGACGCACACAACTCAATCTTTTCGGCCACAAAAGAATCTGTTGGACTTTGAAGCTTTCCGACGACGACCCCAACGACAACCGTACTGAGCCCTTTCACGATCCCTTTTAGGAGGCTCTGTCAAGATGACTGTCCAGAACCACAGTACGTGATTCCTTGAATTTCGATCCGCCGATATTTCTATATTCTCCCAATCGCTTCGTCGTGGTGTCCGGGTGGAGAGTTGCATGGTCCGAGTATGCTGATGAATCGTTCTTCAGGTTTGGCCTCTTCCCGCCGGAAGTCGCGCAAGGCGCACTTCAACGCTGGCTCCGGCGAGCGCCGTGTCATCATGAGCGCCCCTCTGAGCAAGGAACTCCGTGAGAAGTACAATGTATGTTCGAACAACACCGAAAACGATCTGCAAACCCCTTGAAGAAGTCGGAATGGATATTGGCATGAACCCTCTCTCCTCAGTCGGGATTGGGCTCGCTCACCCACTGGATTTTTGGATGGAGTTGGGAGGAAAGCAACACCAACGACATGAAACTTGGGGATGAAACAAGAAAACATAAGGAGCACAGTTCTGACGCAGTCCTCGATAGGTCCGCTCTCTCCCCATCCGCAAGGACGACGAGGTCACCATTGTCCGTGGAGGCCAGAAGGGCCGTGAGGGCAAGATCACCAGCGTTTACCGTCTTAAGTGGGTTGTCCACGTCGAGCGTGTCGTCCGCGAGAAGTCCAACGGCCAGAGCGTTCCCCTCGGTATCCACCCCTCCAAGGTCGTCATCTCTAAGCTCCACCTCGACAAGGACCGTGAGCAGATCCTGGAGCGCATCGGAAAGGGACGTGAGGCTGCCAAGGCCAAGTCTGCTTAGAGGGTTTTGTCCGGGGTTTAAGTTCATGTTGCAATGGCGGTGACGGCGCTGGAGTTCTGAAAGACTCGCAAATGCGAGATCCAACCTCCTATGATCAGGATATATCTGCTGGAATGAAAAACGAAAAAATCTACTTCCTCGGTTCATGGTCTGCGCCACGGGTTTTCAAGCCGTAGTGTTGGACTGTTTCCCCTTCAAGCGTATTTAGGGATAATCTACAGGCAGCGACTCAATTGTCAGAAGGCCGTTTTCCTTTTTTGTTCAATGGGTTTCTTGACCGCGGACTACTGTTTGATTTTCCCTCGTAGCGACGCCTTTGCATTCTTTCTCTCTCGGCACTGTCGTTCGGATACCAGAACGTTGCGCCAAAAGATCATCTCATCAAGAACGTCTCAACGGGCCTCGATAATTGAAGAGATGGGCGAAACACGTAAGAGGAATTGTGGCACCATACTCTGTAGTCATAAACCAGTGTCCCGCTTGCAAACTGACTTTGATGGTGAAGTACGGGGTACACCTCGCTTGAGGCGCCTTGCGTACCTAGATAGACTTGGTAGACCAAACAAACCTTGGAATCAACTTGCATATTTGATCTCAGTCGTGATTTTGGTGGCACCACCTACATACAATCTAGTTTTACTCTGTAGGTCTCATGTAGACTTTAGGCTTTGAAAAGGAATATACATTTTAGAAATGTTAGACCCTTAGCCGATGCGAATAGACTCACTGTCTATTGATATATATTCGTGACTCCGCTGATACTAGAGTCCATCAAGTATACTCAAGCCTCATAAGAGATTGCCTACGAATGCTTCCATCAATACCCATCAGGCGGTGCATACCATAACACAGAGACTGATAGCTACTTTTCATCGCAAAGACTGATCAGAGCATACTGGACGTTCGTGTTCATTTGACATTCAGGAACTGGAATCGCTCACACCGCCTTTCCATTCCGCCTTCCTACATCCGCAATTAGTGGCAGAATTCAGCTTATCAGGTCGCTTCTCTTCTATAATAACAATCTCACAGTCACGTGGGAAGCATCTAAACTCTGAAGAGTTTCGCATCTTCTTAAGCGAAACTGCCCGATTGGCCAACCAACTCACCGCCAGGTATTCAGGATGGGTTTAGCTTGGTCATTTGTCGGAGCGGTAATATCCGTGACATTTCTCATCGTGATGATTATTTCGCACCAGGCTTCTTGAAACTATAGGTTCAGAGGTAAACTGGTTATCACTTTGCGCTATTGACCTAGGGTCTCATTATTCGACAGAGTTCTTTACTGAGTTGAGGATGTACTGTTAGACGGCTAAGACACCAACAATTTTTGGTTACATATCCCTCAAATCTCATACTCTGTCCTATTGGAGATAGCAAAGATCACGCAGTGTAACCTCCGGCTTTCATGATCATTTGAAAGATTTGGCTGTCAAGCTCCGCATCTTCAACGGTGGTTTCAACTAGAGTTCCATGCACTACCCAACTATATAGCTCTTTGAGCTGTAAAGTGTAAGGATCTTCGTAGGTTCTGCGAATGATAGTTTCACGGTACCCATCGCCAACCTTTTCACAGATGTGCAAGGTAGTCGGAAGCCCTTTCACGTAGGGAGTGTCGTACTGCATGCGGACCGATTTGATTTGACTGTATATTTCAATATGGGCGTCGAAGCGAGGGACGGAGTCCATCCCGGATGCATAGCTCACTGCAAAGCCGGGATATTGGAAAAGCACACTATTGATTCATGGTTATTTTTGAGCACGATCTCGGCCAGATTTTGAAATTTTGACCCACTTCCAAAAGGGATACCCAAGATTTGCTCCCAGAACTTTGGTTGGCATACCCAATGCTTCCCGCATCGCAGACAAGTCATGGTTCCCTAAGCCTCCAAGGATACGCCACATGGACGTGGAAGACTCTGTAACTGGGACTCCACATTCTGCTACCAGAGCCTGCCTCACGAGCTCTGTAGCGCGTGTGGTTTTGTCCTCGATATCTTCCGGGCTAATGTCAGTGAACCTTTTTGGGAAGGTTTCAGATTGGGAAACAAAAGCGCTGTTAGGGCCGATGATATCTTGGGTCAAGTCAGTCTGAGTATCCATTCTTCTTCTTATCGTGAGGACAAGGCTGACCTCTCACTCGAGCATATGACACTTGATCCATTCCACCAATCTCTTTCACCCCGTCCACAAATGCTGCTGCGTGGCGTCTCATATAGCCACCTCGCCGCACCCGATCAGTCCAACACGGAGAACCGATTTAGATACCATTTTCTTTTTGCCTTTGATTATGACCCAGAGCGATCATTGTGCGAAGGGATATACATTGTTATATTATCTTATATATCCCATTGATTCGAGGCATCGGCAATAACTCCGAAACTCCCCGCTCTTTACCCCACAAGAGGAAATCCACCTGCAATGTTAACTGTCGGCCGAATCTCCCCGTCTTCAAGTCCCCACACCATGAGTTCCAGCACGGACTCTTCCACTGTGGATCGAGTTATGGCAACCACTACCCGATCTCGCAACATGACACATCCGCGGAAACGAGCCGTTACCGCATGCGAGCATTGTCGCGCTCGAAAGATCAAGTACACGAATGAACGACACGAATGCCGCTCGTGTGTTCGCTTGGGGGCGAGATGTTCCTATGACCAGAGAGTGAACCATTCATCATTCGACCCAGCTAGCTTGCTGATCCTTGAAAAATTGGATCAAGTCCTTCGGAGACTAGGCCGCGATCCTAATCCCCCGTGTCACGATGTACCCCCATCGGACGGTTTGATGCGCGGTCATGACACCAACGTTCATACAGCCCCGGGGACAATGAGTGAAGGAAGGAGTGGCCTTGAGGGTCAAGGACGTCGGGCTCTTGATGGACTGCAGGTTCCTTCTTCATTCGCTTCCACCGATTCTGTATTCGCCTGGACTGCCTTTGGTGACCGGTTTGGTCAAGGGTGTCTTGCGGAAGAACTGTTCATTGCAGAACACTTGTCATCAGCGGCGTCGGGCAATCCCTTCCAGCTACCACCAGAACATGGCAGTCTAAAAAGCGTGGTGGCATTTGCGAGGGTGATATTCCGAACCTCATTACCAGTTTTCTGCACCTAGTTCACATCAAAAATCCAATCTTGGACTCCAAATCGATTAAGCCATATGCGTATAGAGTCGCCGAGAATGGGCTTGGGTGGGATTCATCTTCATGCTTAGTAGTAAGTGAGACGAGCGGTGACTCATATCAATATGCATATCTGACCTGGTCAGTTATTGGCATGTGCGCTAGGTGCAGTTGCGGCCCCATTTGATCCAAGGACCGGACCTCTTGACCAACACCAGTCGACCCCGGCGCATGTTATCGAAAGTGAAAAGGTTGTAGCGAAGAACTCTTATCAGCTTGCCTGTCGAAGGCTCAGTCTTTTGGGTCGGAGCCTCCTCGCCTCCCAATGCTACCTTCTATCTGGAATTTATCTCATGTACACGATACGCCCTCTGGAAGCAAGGTTTCATTTTCACCAAGCCTCGTCGATCTACGCCATCTACCTTAAAGGCCAAGTCGCTCTTCAGCAACGGAGGGAACTTGACGGCCAGCTTCTGGGGTCAGCCAATCGCCGGCTAGAACAGCGCTTGTATTGGACCTGCTTCAAATGGGAATGGTAAAAACTATCTAATCAGGAAGGGCTCAATGCTTACGCATCACTGAAACAGTGAAATTCACGTAGAGCTAGATCTTCCCGCATCAGAGCTCGCAACATTGGCGTAAACTCACTACCTATACGATCGACTTGGTATTCATATAACCTTCCATCCTCCTATGGCCAACTTCATATCTCCTCGATTGTTCCCTACAGTTTTCCTATATGACACATGGCGGGAAAATGGTTCTAAAACCCTCTCAAACACGCGAATCACCGGATGCGGCCGTTGGTGACACCCTATTAGCTGTGCTCCCTCAAGATGAGCGTCCATGGTGGAAGAAACTTCATCTGCTCAAGCTCAATCTTATCTTGCTGAACTGCATTTACTCGCTTCTGCAAATGGTTATGATGGCACCATGATGAATGGTCTCCAGGCTTTACCTCTATTAGTCAATACTTCACCAGCTTTTATACATCTCCTATCTTATTTTCAGTGACTTAGCGAACCCATCACCACACCGTGACTCTTGCCTACCTAGGTGTAGGCGTAGTTTCCAATGTGATTAGTAATACTCACCTATTCTTGAGTCACGCCGAAGCTTTATATATGAGATTAATATATCTATATTTATGGCCAGATATACCAAGCTCTAATTCATACTGATACCGTCGTCCGGTATAGAGGCCAACATTAAATACTCTGTAATGCTTTGCGCCATTGCTCGGTTTCCAGCTTCCATCAAGTTGAAATGATATGCAGACATTCTAGTGTCCGTAGTATGTGTATGGAGATCGACATCAGTTATACCATCTGTCGATCGACCTAACAAAAAACTAGCAGGCTTTGTCAAGATCAAACTTCAGCCTGGTGAGAGCAAGCCAGTCTCAGTATGTGTGGACAAGGACGCTATTGTATACTAGGATGAGATGGAAGAAAGACACATGGTCCGTCGATGCTGAGACTTACAAGATGTATATTTGGAACTCCAGTGTAGACATCTCATGTACATTGGATTTCAAGGTTGAATCCAGTTTTTCATATGGACCGTGAGTCGGATCAATCAATTTTGAAACATAATTTCCACAGATAAAATCAATACCTAGTGTGAAATCCTTCTCTCTGTTTGCTTAGGTGTGCTTTTATCAAATAATAGTCTAAATAATGACATGATGCCCCTTGCAGGAGGATTGGCTTTCAAGGATATGACAACGTTGCATAAGGATAAATCCGATATGTCAATATCAGCCCCTGAAGCGCAATGCTATGGCTGGCATACAATAACTGGAAACATTCTTCTAATTCTGACACGTTCTAGTCGTTTGACTAGTTAGTTACCGTAGATCCTATCGGCGCACAATGACCTTTACGTTGAATATAATGTGAGAGCACCTGTATCTAAATGAAATATCCAGCCTCTAAGCTCCACTTTACCATAAAAAAGAGGCTACTGGTAGGCAGGAAGTACGACTTTTTTCTACTAGGCAACACGATCGGGGACCTGCAGACTATTGGCAGTTCCTACTGCTATTGTATGACAGATAACAAAAGCCGTCGATCATATTTTCTGTGGAAACTATGTGTTCTTAAACGGCCTTTTCTTGTTGCACAGTGAAGACTTGTCATTTTTTTTTAGTACTAATGTAGTTACAATTATCTAATGCCTGCCACACTCTGATTATCGGGGAGATAAAATAAGAAAAGAAGGGCAAGAAGCAATGGTATAAAAAAAGAGGAACGCTTCCACTTACATTATGGCTGTCACATCCTTGCAAAGTCTCAAGTGCCATCATCAGATAAAGCCTGAATAATTCCGATACTACTTTGTCGTACCGTGCATATTCAGCTGCTCAAAATGAAGCTTTTGCAACACCTCTTTCCCTTGGCTATGGCCTTTCTATCCATGACCAGTGCACTCCCAAATCCTGTGAGTACTCCATTCGCAGAATGACTCCCAGGTACAAAACTAAGATAAATGACCTTAGGAAATGATACAAGGTGTTGAGCTGAAATCTGACCCCAAACCACCATCCTTGATCTACAACGACCCTGTCGGCGGAACCGGGGGAAAGGACTTTTCAGCTATCTCCACAGCTTCTCAGACTATCGATACCCTCCACTTCTGGGTCGGAGATGGCGGTGGTCAACCCAAAGTACTCCGAGGACTCCAAATCACCTGGTCCGACGATCGGAAGAGTGCAGTCTACGGAACGATGACGGATGAGTACCAGTCATTCAAATTTGCACCAGGTGAAACCATCAAGGAGATGCAGATTGCCGGGGGTTTGCGCGCAGATAGCATAGCTTTCACAACAACTTCCCGCTCTTTCTTTGCTGGTGGTCAGGGAGGGAAGAAAGTTACGATGAATGTGGGCAGTGGCATACTTGTGGGCTTTCAAGGAGGAGCGGCGAGGGACATTGATCGCCTTGGAGCTATCTTTGCACAAGTCCAAGACTCTCCTACCCTGAAGGTTGGGCAGTGTATGGATTGTAATCAGTCGTGAATGATTTTGTGCATAGGGAAGTCATTCAGGTCTGACAGCGCTATCGTGCGTGGGAATGTAATGTATACTAATTCTTTAATGTGAAAGCTCTAAGGCTCCAGTAGTGGTAGTGATAGAGCTGGTTGATTGATGAGACTATCTAAGGCTAATTTACGTACAAAAAGCCCCGAGGTGTTGGGGGTCATATGACTTTGGGCGATCAATCAGGTGACTGACAGTTAGTAGTAATAATTATTCAAGTTTAAGTTAACTATGTTCGTTTGATAAATATACAGGGCTATGGCCTTTGCGGAGTGTGGCGCAGTATTATCTTGATCCTGAGCACAGCCTTGTCGGTCTGTTCATGTTCGTCACCTACGTAGACTCAGTTAACAAAAGCAACTATCCAGCTACCATGGCAGCAGTGACGACCAATCTCTCCCAGTTCCCTCGCTTCACAAACCTCCCTCCGGAGCTGCGCTACCTTATATGGCGTTGGGCCCTGCCCCACGACGTTGGCCAAATCCTATTCCCTTACAAAAAGGGGTGTTGGTGCTCTCGGCACTTGTTGGAATCTGACGAGGCATATACCGAATGGTGCAATACTGCATTCAAGTTCCGCCACAGTTTATTGGATCCGATGCAATTTGATATACCACTGGTTTTCGTCAACCGGGAATCCAGGGCCGTCGCCTTAGCTTGGATTAGAGAAATGGCCATTCAGATGCGCTTTCACAGAGACAAACAGTCCTTCGTCTTCGTGCGCCGGTTCGACCCAGTGCGTGACGTATTATACGTTCCGCTTGACAAGGTAGATGAATTCATCCACGAACCTATCGATCGCCAATTTGAGCCAGATCTCGTCGGCCGGATGGTGGACGTGCAACCAAACGTCAGGCACATCGCCGTGCCAGAGGCGCTGTTGCAGAGCGATCCTGCTGCACTACACGAGATATTCGACTTATTCTATCATCCAAAGGTATTCTTTATCATTCTAGACGCGCAGCCAGATTGGAATGAAAGTAGTATGAATGTATATCAGCGGTGGGAGCTCGATGCTCTGCAGGGAAAAGGCCTCTTCTGGAATTCCGAGAATGGCCGCTTTGACTGTGGCATGGGTCTTTCAATCAGTGATGAAACCCTATATCAGCGGATAGGGCGGGCTATAAATGATTTGGGGTCATTATTCATACGAAGTCATCTTGTGGATGGCTTCGAGGTCCGGCCTGCCTTTGGTGTTAGAAAATGAAAGATGAGCAGGGCTTTTTATGTTGTCGTACTTTTGATTTTTCATACGCGAATATGGCGCGTATGCAGGGCCATGTCAATCGGTCGTTGAGGGCGCTGTGCGAGTTTGTGGATGAGTATAGAATGAGCTTAAGGGTAGGTTCTGCATTATAGGCCTGTGTTCGAGTTGGTGTTCACTCCGATTCAAAAGAGAAAAAGGTGATATAACACTTTCCAGAAATATTGTATAACTATTATTCCGTATCTAGCGGAAATTTGTCTCGGTTCGCACTCAATTCCTATTTAATTGCATTATGTTCAATCCATTAGTCTACGTATTATATTTCCATATTCTTCAGTACATGATAAAGAAGAGCATGGCAGCTCTGAAGCGGTCGCTATCTCACAAATTCATAACTCTGAGAAACAGCAACATCCTTATGTATAACATGACGATCAGAATGATTATTCTGCTGAGAAGGAAGACTCATTAACGATCCCTCAGGCGCTTCAGCGCATTCAGCAGTGGATATGAGCTGCGTCTGGTCATTCTGTTGAGTTTGGAAGGAGTTCGTATTATTACGGCTCTTTCTGGAGGCAGAAATCTTCTTCCAATTGTCGAGCTCATGGCTGTGCAGATAGCTGCCACTATGGGCGTTGCTGCTCTTGTTCTTGACAGAGACGAAATATGCGCTCAACGCGGGAAGACACGCGCATATGAGCCCGATACCTGCTTCGGCATTTCTGTAGATGGTCAGTTCGAGTCCTAGATAAGAATGGGAAGCAAGGATCTTACGCTGTCAACACAGCATGAATCCAAAACCACGTTATGTCTGTTGTCGGGGCCTCCTCGACCATAATCACTAACCGCCAGATACTGAATGCAGTGGCTATTCCACCCGCGCCCAAGATACCAATGACCCGGAGCTTCTTCATGCGCGACATATGCAGTGACCACAGCATCGGGACCGGTAGGATGAGGATCCACAGGTCGCTAGCAATACTGATGGCTGAGTCGGCGATAATGACCTTCTGTTGGTCTATACAGGTCCCGCCGTCACTCGTTCCGTACCAAAATGCTGAAATGGGTTTGCAGAAAAATATTTTGATAAACAGGGCTGGAATATAGTAGAGCAAGAGCACTATTAAGCTGATGTGAATCACAAGGACCTTGCGACGATCGGGGGCGAAAATCCGTAGCATGACTGAGAGCAGGGCGAGCTTGACAACAAAAACCGTGGGAACGTAGATAAGGGTGATTGCATAGGATGCCTATGCTCGCATGCTTGTTAGTGACTGTCGATGTTTTAATTATAAGAGTAGGACTTTGGAGGTAGCTTCCTTCGCTGGGCTATCTACCTTCTGGAATTCCACGAAGTCACTCTTTGGGACATCCCATCCATGATATCCACCTCCGTAGGCGTTTACTACATCTGTTAGCTATCATTTCCCATGTTGCGCTTTTCCGTGGGGTGAGGCAAACGTACACACAAGCATGTTCACGCAGAACCCAACGAAGAGTACCTGTTGTTGGGCGTCAGGATGTACTCATGGTAGTTAATGTCAGGTACAAGGGGTGGTTTACCCATCCTGCAAAAGTTGTGTCTATAAAATAACAGTCGTCAATATCAGTATGGCAGATTTGTACATTGCACAGGGCTAGCGCTTCACTAACAGTCTTCCAATTCCAGCTTCTTTCGAAGGCGTATCTTGATAATGATGCGCAATGTAACAGCAACTGTCACAACGATGATACACAAGAGTTGCGTTACCAAATTAACCGTGTGGAGGACGTCGGTCGGATTTTCGAAATTGGAGGTGAGCCCTGGAGGCGGTGGGATCACTGGTTCTACAGCCATATCAGCCTGGTAGGGTTGTCAATATCCCTAGGTGACGACGAGTATACAGAGGCGTGTCAAGTCGATCGGTAAAAACAAGCATTTGTGGCCATAGTCTTTGATGAAGGCTAGGCTACCAACTCAGAGACGATCGTCCACGAAAGCAAACGACTACCAGAAGAACTTGGTGACGATATGAGAGGATGCGAGAAGAGGTGGGATAGTAGATATCAGTGCGTCCATCACATCTCCTTGCATCAAATTTCTCTAACACCACCCAAAGGGACACTATGATGTCTCTTCCTTTTCGATAATCTGCACCCCCATGCACACTACTCAGATAAGGGATTAGGAGAATGGATTAGGTGGCCCAATACGCTAGATCCATCGTGTTTTACCTATTCGCCTTGGGTCGCATTAACCCGTCCCAACGGCCCGCTCCCGACACCATGGAGCATGAAACGGATATTTGGGTACGTAGTTATGGCGGCCCTTTAGACTTTTAAGGATTCTCGGTTGAATAATGCATTGCCAAATGAGGACCTGCGCGAGTGGAGCCAGAAGGGGGTAACGGTTTGATCGACCTGAACCCACAAGGAACAGATTCTGATTTAGCTTATTATTGGAAGCTATTAAGAGTTATTTAAGCATTAATATTACGTTACGCAATGCTATTCTCTGGTGTCTAAGCTCAGTTTGATCCGTTATCCACAGGCGATGTAACGCTAACGTAGATCGTCAAACTGCCTGCAAAAGTATCTTCAACGGAAATGTTTTCCATTACTTAATTTTTGGCAGCAGCATCAATGTACATTCTCAACCCTCGTCGAATATGCCATTTTAGTGTGGTTTAAGGTACAAACGTGTAGTTACATTCTGTGACGGGCTGGTGGAGTCGTGAAGGATTCGACGGGGAAATTAATCAATAACGTCTGTCGCGGAAGCCCATCCGCACCCATGAGCCGTTTTTGTCTCGGGCATAGTGGGGCCTATAATCCCCTCATCGTAAACTAACAGTAGAAAGCTCGGTCAAGCTGAGAAAGTGGTCAAACAGGTTCCAGCAAAGCGCTCCCTAGGGCTTAGGGCATAAACAGGCCATGGATACCTTGTTCTGATGATCGAGTATACTTTATACAATTACAGCCTTGCCTCACGCTATCAATTACTGTATAGTTACAAGAGTAACGATTAATATGGGAGTGAGAAAGGGAAAATGTCCAACGCAAGAGAGCCCAAGAAGCTATGTAGAACGCAGCCACAATGATCCCAAAACGAACAAATATCCATACAGTGCTCTATATTACAGGCGAACAAGTAATAACTTTCTTGATGTCAGCGATTGACATAGAGCCAATCAGTTAACTCAAGACGAATTTGAGTTATCTGCACAACTAAAAGCCGATCCTTTTAAGTCTAATGTCAGTAATAATTTCGCTACATACAGGATCGTCAGCACATACCAATAGTTCCAGAGCTGTAGGCATCAACAATCTGGATAACGACACCGTACGTCGCTCCAACTAGAAAGAAAAGACCCAGCAGCACCAGGCCGCAATGAAGAAGGAACACAATCTTTTCTTTCATAGTACCGTTCTTGTAGTGCCAGTGGTCGTATAGCCACAGCCAGCCCGGAAGGCTCATGGCGAGTGGGGCAAAACATACGGAGCCCACAAGGGCAATGAGATAGTTAAAGATCGGAATCGCCTCTGCTAGAATGAACGCAAGGGCACCGAGGATAACCGTGCTTGCAATCCAAGTACCCCAATGGACGACTGTGTTGGCCTGCAAGTGCCGCGAATTCCCTAGGATGCGCACGAAGACATATTTGGCCGCCACCTTCAGGGTTACCATTCTGAGTCAGCCTTCCAATAAACTACATAGGGTTGGCAAAGGGAAGCTGTGGGAAAACCAACGTGCAGATAAAGCGTAGCGCTCACGACCAACCCCACCAACGCAACACCGTAAGACACCATCTTGATCGTTTGTCCTGCACTCTATAGGACACCTGTTATTAACTCCTCATTCACGGCACGAGTTACGGGTCTGGGAAAGAAAGTAATACGTACCCCCAAAGACGGGCTTGCCACCCACTTCCCACACCAGCGATAGACAACCAAGCTGAAGGCAAGGTACGAAACGGTGACAAGAGCCATACAGAAGTATAGCGGCTTCTTGTAATCTTTCGGGTTATGCATCTCCGAGATGACCGGCAGAAAAGCACTGGTGCCGGCTGATGACACAAATATTGTGCAGGAGGCGACCATGCCGGCCGCGAACCCGGGATTATTGATTGCCACGAAGCCTAGCTCATATGGGCCCTCCTGAGGTGCGGCTGCTGGTCGGTCTCGTGTGGTTACCCCGATAACGACGATTAGGACGGCGGCGTAAATAGAAACAAAGCCAGCATAGGTGAGCCAGCCCACATGTTCAAGCTTGCGAATGGAGGCAGTCGCGATAATGACAACGGTGGCGAGAAATGACCACCAGACAGTGCACGCGGCGTGGTGCGAAAGGGCATTCAGTGCGGTCGACACGCCAATAATTCCACTGCCTGTCACCAGAACGTAAGCAATAATAAACAATAACCCCGTCGCCTCCTTTGCAATTATGCCGCCGACGACCTCAGCCATATCAGCGATCGAATGGCAGTGAGGGTGTCTTGTACGAAAGTTGCCTAGGATAACGAAACAGTAAGTATTGAAGCATCCCCAAGCCACGATACTAATTGAGCCCCCAACGGCTCCTAGAGAGTACAGCGCTGACGGCAATGATAACACCCCTGTCGCAAAGAGGATCTTAATGAAAATCACACCCGCGTTGAACCACCCAACTTTGCGGAAGTTAACTCCAGTATCAGTCTTCTTGAAGACCTCCTTTTCCTCGAATACTGACCCACGGGGGCTTGCTCGCTCGTCATCATAGGTCATGCTGGCCTCTACCTTCTTGTTTTCCAGCATGGGGAGAAGCTTAGTTCGTGAGGGGTGGCTTCTCTAGACGGGACGGGGTCTAGGAAGTGTGGATGGGCAAGCTGTAAGAACTAAAAGATAAAAATAAAAACGGGCCACGTGTAGAAGGTATCAGCTTTTTCCTTCTTCCATTTTGGCCTAGTAAACACGAAACATGGTGCAGGGAGGGGATGGGTGATCCTCCTCGACGGTCAAGAAGTATCTCGACTAGGCTGTACGCTAGTTCGCCGGAGCGTAACAATCTAGGGTTTTTAGTAGCACACGGCCCACTTGACGACAGCGACAGACAGCCCGCCCGACTGACCCACTCAGTGTGTTGCCTAGGAATGAATTAGGGTGACATTTTGATATGGTATGATCACTGATATGCCCTTCATTCCTCAGTAGTGCCAAATTAACTTTAATAGTCTAAGCTGCAGGAAGTGGAGTCGAGTAGTCCAGACTCCAGACTGCATGTAGTGGCCTGTGTGTGGCAACCGTGCAGAGATTTCAAGTTTTCAACCCTTAGCGGGTTCTTTCTTTATTAACATAGCAGGATCGTCATGCGAAGATGGAGCTAGCTAGCTAACATGCTTTTTAGCACATAATAATGCCAAGGTCTATAGAAGCCACCCGTTGCCGAGTCCTATCGTCACTTGATTGGGTTTGCAGGCCGTATTTGTCACCTTACTCATGGACTGGCGAATGGCTCTATACCATGAGATTCTCAGAATGGCTGATTCGGGTTGGGACATTATCAGAATCAGCAGAATAATCCGATAGCAATGGAAGGTTAAAAACAGACATGAGTATTTCTACTTCTCAAGGTTAACAAGGACGCTGAAATTGCCTACCTGGATACTATGCGTGGATCTCATCGGTAAAATATGATAAGCTGAGGTAACAGCCTATTGATAACTCGCCTTGATTAAGGACCTCGCCCACTGCCCAGATAGTTGTCAAAACTTGTTTATTCTCACTACCTCTATGCAAGGAAATGGTCTTCCCTTGGTTGACGCATATTCTGATTTTAAATTTTTCAGTTGCATCACAGTAATTTTGTATCTTTTTACCATACCACCTACTCAAGCGGACTTGGGGAACGAACCTACAGCTCGTACATAAAGGTTCAGCAGCAAACGCAGGCTTTATATCATCTTTTAGATGTACTCAAGATACTAACCTTGGACTCCTCTATTTCATGTTTATCAGAAATTCACAGGGGTTATACTCTCATCAAGGCCGAGGCTTAGGATAGAAGTCTTGCATAGCTTGACCGATTACATTATCTCGGCCATGAAGTGGCTTCAATTAACATGAGATTCTTGAAAACTCATTACAATCCCGTGATGATATTGTATACAATAGTCTATATCAATGTTCAGGTTGACCTGAATCTTTCCCTGTTCTTTCCCACGTATCAGAATACAGGGCTACAATATCAATCAACACCCAAGCATCAAACAATATGGCGAACACAACGAACCCACCAGAATCATATGATGCCCTTCCTTTCAAGACCATATCTCTTTCCCATGTTCCAGAGACCTCGCCCACCGTTACCAAAGTAATTGTCCTGAAACTAAATCGCCCACGCCAGTTCAATGCCATAACGGCGCAGATGATCGATGAGATAATCGCAGCATACCAATACTTCGATGCCGACGATCGCGTCAAAGCAATAGTTGTAACAGGATCAGGACCAGCATTCTGCGCGGGCGCCGATCTCCGAGTCGGGTTTTCTACACTGATTGATGACCTGAGGAAGGACCCCTCCAAGATCGAGTCCCACAGAGACGGGTTCGTATTGCAATAGTTCCTCCACTTAAAGCCTTTCACTAACATACATTCATATGATTCAGAGGCGGGCGAGTCGCCCTAGCAATCCACAACTGCTCCAAGCCCACCGTAATGGCCATCAACGGCCCCGCAGCAGGATTCGGAATCACCCTAACATTACCCGCAGCAATCCGAGTAGCCTGCGCGAGCTCCAAGATCAGTTTCGCTTTCTCGCGACGTGGGTTAGCAATGGAGGCCTGTAGCTCCTTTTTCCTACCGAAGCTGGTTGGAATGTCGCGTGCGCTGCACCTGGTAACGACCGGCGCAACTTATACCGCGGCTGACCCGTTGCTGAGCAACCTCTTCTCGGAGATATTGCCGACTCCGGCGGAGACTGTTGCAGCAGCGCTTAGAATCGCGGAGGAGATTGCCGCGAGCACATCCACAGTGAGTACGAGGGTGATGCGCGATTTGATGTATAGGGCTCCGGGGAGCGCGGAGGAGGCCCATTTATTGGAATCAAAGGTGTTTCTCGGTATGTTGATGTCCCGGGATAGTGTGGAGGGTATGAAGAGCTTTGTGCAGAAGAGGGATCCTGAGTTTAAGGGAACTATGCCTCGTGATGCGCCTGTTGGCTGGCCGTGGTGGGAAGCTGTTGATGTTGCTTCGAAGGCTAAGCTGTAGGCTGCTTGTTCTGAGCCCAGGTAGCGTCAGGCTGAATAGTTGCTGCTCATTCATTTATGTGTCGATACATGATATGTTCCATTGTGTGTGTAGTTACAGTCGAATGTTGTTCATAGTATATGCCTTCGATTGCGTTAATAACTCGTGCACGGCGATAGAATACCACAGAGGTATATGTATGTAGAAGATCTAAAATGTACCACAATGGCAGGGCAGTTAAGTCACAGGTAACTAGCTAGTCCCTTATCAGTGTATCGTCAATGCTGATTTAAAGGCTACTTCGACGTCAGTCCGTCTAAAACCGGGCGCCCGGCCTAAGATAACAACTCCACGGAGTAGCACTGGCGTATGTTAGACCTAACACCAATGGGATAACGCGAAGGGCCACCATACTGCTAAGAAACTGTTCAATATCAAACATACAACTTTGGAGGCACCCAGACAAGGTCGTAACATTGGTATCTAGACAGTGTCAGTGCTCTGGCTCTCGTCATATCTACTTTAACTATACCTTCATATGTGTGGGAATCATAGGCATTTGTCGTCTGGTAAGAATGCATATCTCCATTTTGTCCTTGGGATTCAGTCGACTGCGGTATTTGATGAATCCGTTGACCACGTACGGAGGGGAAGAGAGAAGACGTATCCAGATTCACACCTTGTTCTCTAAGGTATCCTTCCACATCTCGGCTATCAAACCATTCACCGCCATATCCGCACAGTTCTAAGAATTTCTGATGATCTGGCTCTTGGCCAATTTCGCCCATTCCTCCTAGGGGCTGGAAGAGTCCGAGGACTCGCTTAGGGGTCCTCATATTAGCAGGATATATGGGGTTTCCCAAACTATCTCTCCTGGGATAATGTGTTCCAACGCCGCCGATTGAATAAAGTGGAAGGTTTGGTATCTCCAATGCTTCTTTTGCCCCGGCGCTGACTAATTTCCGAAAGTAAGGATACATTTGTGTCTTGTCTTGAATGCAAGGAACCAATCTGAATACTCTGTAAACCTCAAGTGGATGGGACCGTGCATCGGTGAATAAGCGAAAGGCATACTCCAGACTGTAACGCTGGAGCCTCCGGCGGAAGACTTTTTCATGGAACGAGTATGTGTAATGAATGTCTTTGCTGTGTAGTTGTGCGATTTGCTGAATTCGTGTTGAACGGCCATTGGAATTGTCTTCCAGTTCATCACTAAAAGACACATGTCGAGGTCTCTTCTTCACAGAGTCTTCTGTAGGCTCCTGGTGCTTCGTGTGTTGGTAATCCTTCAAGCATCCACAATTTATCTTAGGGATATCTTTAGAAGCAGTGTCATTGTTAGGCTGTGAAACATCTTTATCAGAATCAACACTTGATGGGGTACTATTTTGTGTCCTTGGCTGTGTAAGAGGTTCAGAATTCGAGCTTAAAAGGTCACTTATGCAATCAAGGTGTCTAACAAGCGCAGGATAGCTAGATTTTAGCTCAGGCGGAAACACAGCTTTATAGTCAACGATTGCGGTAGCGACCATATTAAGCCTGTCTTCAAGATCTGCTGCACGCTCCTTGGCCTTTTCGAGAGTGGCTTCTTTTTTGAGTCTGTAGGTCCGTTGAGCACGTCGGATCTGATCTCGACGATCCTGTGTCTGGATAAGCTTACATTGACTTCAAGCGAAGTCTCCCAGAGTCATACCTCTGATAGAACAGCCCCACCATTGCTGGCCTCCAGTCTAGGTCTCCCCGCACTTCTCCGCACGTGCAATCGAGAGCGCACCTTTGGCATGCCTTCGGAAGGGGTATCCTGATTAGCGTTTTTCGTGGAGGACTCCGAGCTCTGAACTGCGGGCGGCGAAGTGATCTTCTCGTGTCCTTCGCTAGGAACTACTGTGTCATTCGGTAAGAGATCCGAGTCCACCGAGCCGTCTGGGCCGGCTGAGATATACTGACGAGCCGAGAGTACATCCTGCAAGCGGGAGGCCTGGCGAGTTTGGCGCCGGTTCACCATGTTAGCTAGAGGGGCCGTGCACTCGGTTAATGAATAGGAATCTGGTTTTGATCGTTTATGGTTTCTGGTTGGTCATTAGACTCAGTCACAAGGTGGAGTGTAGGTTCGGTTCGGTACGTTAAAACGCATGAGAAAAGTCGGAGGTTGACACTCCCGTTGCATCAAGAAAAGATTCTTATGCGGGTTGCCGTGATAATGTAATCTAGGTCGCCTCGGCTTCCAACCCGGCCAACAGTTGGGGCAGATCTCGCCGGTACCCTAACTTTATTGATGAGAATATCTCCACTCGACCCAACAGGATCTCCACCGGCTTTAATCTGATGGCAAATTGTTGTCAGAGGGCTACCAGAACACTCTCCATATTCCTATCTCTCATCTATCTATCTATCCATCTCTCTCTAGCCTAGTAATTCTCTAAAGCTTATTATGAGCGTCATGTAGCCCCAGCCGTGCTCTTCTTATCGCCACAAGAGATCAGTATACCGACCCAGCACCTTAGTAGAATCCCCATCAAAAATATTATGCACGGCATCCCATCCGATCTTCAACTGTGCAGCTTCCAGATCCCGCTTCCTCCGCTCCTCAATCGCACTCCACATAGCTAGCCCCTCATCTATATCCTTAGAAGGTAGAAGACCACATTTGACCAGCATCTGCTCCGGCGGAAAAGTCTTACGTCCCTGCTTAAAGACATACCGGGACACAGCCGACGCGAACACTTGCTTCTCTGGCGACTGATCGCTACCAACCTTCGGCCGTGTAAGATCTCCGGGTGTATTCGGCTGCAGCAAGAAGCTGCGATGGGGAAACGCGCCTCTCTTGACAAAATGCGACACGATATAGATCCATTTCTCGTCCCAGCTGAGGACCCGGGACCAGACTTCATACGGCTGGTACGGCTTGATCTCTCTGCGAAAGACAATCTGCTCTCCGCTCAAGATCATGACCGCGGTAGTTGGGGTAGGGCGGAATGATAGGCGTTGACTGAATAGAAGAAGACTCAGGTTGCCGCGTGAAATATCGAGATCGGTGAAGTAGGTCGAGTTAGACTTGTGGATGTTGTAATCGCATTCTGTAAGTGGTGACCGTGTCCGGTGGATTGCGGGAAGGAACAGGCATTCTGGACTGAGTTCCTTGTGTGTGATTGGGGTTATGAAAAGTCGTGTGATTAGAGTTCGAAGGAAACGAATCTGCTAGCATGTTAGATTGTATTGCATTAGTGTACTATGGTGCATTACGCACAAACCACACGAGAGGTAGGTTTTTGTATGCAGCGACAAGGATGCACAGTATAATGAGTGGCCAGTTATCAGATAGAGCCATTTTGTCGATAATGCTAAGACTCGCCAGACAAGACCACAGACGACAAAAAATCTTTAGGAAGAACTTACTGGCTTCCATTATTGCCCGCTATTTATCGGAGGAATGAAACGCTACGATAGTTTTTTTGTTGGGACACCCTTGTCACATGTCAAGCAGCTTATCCACAGCGGACTAAATCTAGTCTGCGGACAAAACTTCGGATTTCCGGGTTTCTTACCGACATCTCACTGTTTTACATTTAGCCACAACTGCTATGTACTTCTAGTTTTAGCTTCTAGTAAGGCCTTAGAATATACTATTCTATAGTAAATTTAATATTAAAAATTAAACTTATAGTCTAGTACGAATTATAAATCATTAATAGTAGTAGTAGTAGTAGTAGTAGTAGTAGTAGTAGTAGTAGGAGGAGGAGGAGGAGGAGGAGGAGGATTAGATTATAAAAGTAGTAAATATTTTCGGGTTCGGACTACATAGTCGGTATTCCGAATAAATATACTACTATGATTACTAGTAGATAATCCAGTGGAGCTTAATAATTAGATCTAATTGGCTAATACATCATGCGTTGGTATTGGTAAATTTAGTAATCTTTTATTTTGTCCGTAAGCTAGATTTGGTCCGCCGTAGTTATCTTTAGATAGTCAACTTACTTTAATATAATCATCAATATAATCACTTTCAGATCATCAAAGGCCTTGATAATCTTCAAATATATTCCTAACGGTAAAGCCGTTACATCCCTAGTCGGAGAGGATAAGCAGCGTATGGGTCCTGCTTTTAAAACTCCACCCCCTTTGTAACTCTTCTTTGCTGCTTATAACCCTAGATTCACTCTTCTAGTCCAATTTACCGCATTGAACATGGCTGAAAATAGTTCTTTCAGCTGTCGATACTTATAGCTTAGTTAAATGCGCCAAATTGAGTGAACAATGTAGTATTATTTCTATTCCGTAGGAGGCAAACTGAGCTCAAAGGCCTTATACACTAGCTACTATCAATTTCATGAATGAAAAGGACATCCGGCAGCATAATTTGTACCTTTCAGGCTCTGAAAAATAGCTTCCATCTCATCCTGCCCTCTTTTCTCCTGCGCTATAGGGCCTATAGTACGCAGGTCGTACCCCGATTCCTTGTATGAGTCGGTCTCTGAAGGAATAGCCCCATTCCCAAAGAGCCGCACTAGGAGAGCTTTTGGTCCCCATCTGTGCTTAAACGTAGGTTTGATATACCATGGATGCTCGATCCAGAGGTTCCATGTGTACAGTCCCGTGGACGGGTCGGGTGAGTCACTTAGAACATGCACAGCTTTGGAGTCCGGCCTCGGCAAGCTGAGATAACGCAGTATGAACTTTCGCGCTACCAGAACACTCTTCGCGAATGTAGAAATGAGAATACCTGGTTTTTCAAATCTTCACCCGAGGTTAGAAAGTAGCTCTAAGGAAGAGATCAGGTTCAGAAAACTTACCCCATACTTATTCTGCTGTGTTCTTCTAATTTGGTTACGACTATGCTTTCGATCAATGGCTTCAGCGGTGCAGGCATATTGCATTTGGCCAATTCCATCAGTCTCCGACCAATGTACCGCGTCGAATCTGTCGGTTGAGCTGCCACCTTCTCATATGCCAGTGTCCAGTCATAGAGTTCCTGGGCGAAGTGTATCCCGTCCTTCCAACCAGTCTCATGAGAGGGAAGGAACGTAAACGGAATTTCCATAGCATCTCCCAAGGCCTTATGGAACACACCAATAGCACATCTCTCAACGTCCGTCAACCGACGCCATTCATTCTTATCGACACCCCTGACAATATCCACAACAGCAGATCCAAGGGTATGCAACATATCTTCGTCCAGGATTTTACCCACCTTGCGATACCGAGCATGCAGGTAATTCATCCGTGCAATTCCCATCAGATGGGACTCAGACCCGGGCTCCCGATCATGAACCTCATTCAGGACCACTTCGGTATCCGCAGCTCGCTTGGACGCATTCTTCTCGTTGAGCTGGCGAGTGGCAACGAACAGTTTGGTCATTGTAGGTATTGATCCAGTCTTAACTTTATATTAGCTTCAACTTCCGATACAACCTCGTATAAGAACACTTACTTTCAATAATGATAGCTTCATGGCGCTGTGGAGGGTGTATGGGAACTCCAGTTCTCGCAGCTCGCGGAAGATCTGATGGGCTTCCTTCACGGTCATGCTAGACAGAGGACGTCCGTTGAACTTCGCCTCGATTCTGCGCGCACGTTGGAAGCGAAGGCGCTTGACGAGAAGTATGTATGGTAGCAATACTGCCGCCGCGAGTAGAAGGCGTCCAGATGTTATGCTGAGACTGGCCATGTTGTTTATCGAGAGCATGTTTTCGCTGGGTCTGAAAGAGTCAGAATTTCAAGTTACGGGTTACTGGGCGCTTCACACCCACTTATTGAGGGGCTTTATTTATCATTCAAGGTATATCCCCTTTCATATGAGAGCCCACGGGCGGCCAAAAACCGTTGAGCCGAGATTGATGTTGAGATCGCAATAATTTTGCGGATATCATCTGCCGAGATAATGTAATCCATGATAATGGCCACTCTACCTTCGTGGAATTTACTCCTTTACAACACCCGAATGGTATTCTCCTCTGCGTATATTTTATGCCGGCATGTGGCATCACGATCAACTCTATTCTACCAGCATTCACTCATTCGGGGGGTAGTTGTGGCATAGTAGTAGACCAGATGGTTGGCTTGGATATCTTTGTATGGACTTTGGCCACCCTCTCTGTACTTCTATGATCGCACTCGTCATGGCTATAAATAATATGCTTTTGAATTATAGCCACCTTTGTACACAGTTTTTTGTGGGTTCCACAACTAAACAAAAGGTGGGCATCTTTCCAATGGATCTGGCCGCTCAACCATTCTGCAGAGACAAATCGCCCGACGAAAATCAAATCAATGGTGACATATACAATCTTCAGAAGAGAAAATCGGGATCCTACTCCCGCTCTACAGTATTCTCCAAATCATCCCGTACTTTTCGATCATCCCGGGCAGGTTTCCAACCTGTGCCCGCCTGGGCGACCGTTGCTACCAGGGCCAGAACACAGCTACCCAGCAGTAGCGTTTTAACCGCTTGTTCATAGCTCTGTATCGCGACTAATCTTTTAGCTCCAGTTAAACCCTTTACCATGGCCGGGCTCCCGAGCAGCTTGCGGATAAGTTCATCCTGTTCTGGTAGACCATGGGCTGCGAAGCCGGTCTTCAAGCTCGATTTCAACTCGCGTTGGAAGAATCCTCCGCCAATGGCAGAGCCGAAGCTTCCTGCAAATCCTCTCGACATAGCGATCAGGGCGCTTACGACATAATGCACGTCTGGTCTCGTGAGGTGCAGTAGATGAGATAAGCTGTAGTTCATCAAAGCGCCAGCCGCAAGGCCGTTAGAGAATGTCACGGCCAGATAGGCGATAGTAGGCGAAGAAGGTGTTGAGAGAACTGCGAGGACGAGATTTGCTAGTGCAAACGACAAGAATACGATGATATTCGAACTATTTGTGTTTGAAGAACGAATCAGCAGGGTTTGTGGTGGTAGGGCTTATGTCGGAAACACTCACATATAGTAACTGCCGGTTTTACGAATATGCAACCAGCCTACGAGGAGACCCCCAAGTCCGAATCCAGCATTTGTCGGCACTAAAATCAAGCCAGCAGAGGCAGGGGACCAGTTTCGGACGACCATTGCGTACACGGGTGTGAAGAAGAGAACTGACCAGCGAGCCATCATTGAAGCAAGGCCCGAGAGACAGGTCAAAACAACACTTCGCATGCCAAGGACCTCCACCGGAATTATGGGCTCCGACGTGAATCGGGATTCAATCAGCAAGAATACGGCGAAGGGGACGGCAGACAAGATCAACGGCGCAAGTTGAATCTCTGGTGATGCAAGGCTAAAGAGCAGCAAAAATACGGAAATACTCTATGGAAAGTCAGTGAATATCACCACATCAGCTCGGCAATATGTCCTTACCAAGGCTAAGGCTCCGCCGTAGTCAACTTTGGCCAGTTTCCGCACCAAGGCACGACCCCAAAGGGGCTCATCGTCAGTTGGGCTGGAGGGAATGGCAAAGTACTGAATCGGGCCCAGAATGAAGCAAAGCGGCGCTTGGAACCAGAAGATAATGCGCTGGGAGGATCTTTAGTTGGGGTTGTCCTTGTGAGGTAGTATTAGGGCAACATACCCATCCAAAAGCTGGCGTCAGTAATCCGGCCAGCACCGCGCCGGTAGAGACACCGGTCGTCATTCCCACATTGATCAGCCCAATGTATAGCCCTCTCCGCTTTTTGCTAGTCAAGTCAAGGGTAAGAATTATTGTTGTAACCATTATACCCCCGCCGCCGCATCCAGTCAGTGCCCGCCCTAAAAGGAAGACGGCTAGATTCTTAGCTGCTGCGGTGATAAAAAGGCCTATTGATAGGAGCACGCAGGAGAAGAGGACGTATACACGGGGGGTAAATATCTGAGAAAGCCGACCCGCGAGTGGAGTGACACTAGACATTGCAATCTACCGACAAAAGGCGGGTTAACACAAAGACGTTGTATAAGCCCTCACGATGAGCTTAAACATACTAGATAAGCTGAAGTAAACCATGTTGTTTCTGAAAACGCATCTAGATCTGCTGCAATATCCGACTGTGCCGTTGTCATCATGGACATGTTGGTAGCTATGAACGGGCTCAGTCATTTGCAGCCCCAAGGTGGTTGCATGCTAAGTCGGGAGTACCTTGTGTGAAGAGGAGAAGTCCCATTGCCGAAACAATTGTAAAACCTCTAGTAAATGAGATAGGGACATTGCTCTCGTCCAACTCGGTGGGTGAATTATTAAGGAGAGGCGTTACCTCCGAGGGCAATTCCTCCGTATGCTGTTCGACAACCATAGTGCAGGTGTATGGAGGACTAGAAGGTTGGTATGGAAAGGATCTCGAATTTCCCCCCGCTTCGGCACATTTCACTGTCAATTGGGATGACGTGCAACAAGAGGATTTAAACGTGCTACTCTGGGGAAATATGCACGGGGACATAAATAAGCACGAGTGGATGGCGCCGGATAAGCATTTATAATCAGGGCCAGAGATAAGATAATCAATGATATCAGCTACGGGGGTTCACAGATGCCAAGATAATACAATGTAGAAGAGAAAAAGACACATGTCACTGGAACAAGGTCGGCTGGATTGGTAAGGGGAAAAAAAATAGAAAGTTTAATAATGAAGGAAAGAAAAAGGATAAGAGAAAGAGAAGAACGGGGAAATCTAAAGGTGCGATCCTTGGAACAATGGATAAGAACGTATGTAGGAAAAGAAAAAAGCAATGACCAGACTGGGGCTCGATCCCAGGACCTTATCGGTGTTAACGATACGTGATAACCAACTACACCATCCGGCCAACTGTTGGGAAACAGATAGTAACTAAAATATATTAGGCTAAAAAACAGTTATACAGATGTTCCACTGTCGCGATTTTTCAACTTAAGTTTTTATGATCATTATAGAAGATAGAGGGGGGTTTTCTTGTAAGGTATACATATTAAGCATATACTATTGGTTATATATGACTAGAAGTCTAAATAAAATGCTCTGTGAGATGGCGACTAGTGATCTTCTACAGAGCCGTGATCGCTACTCGAAGATATATATCTTCCCACAGCCTAGCCCGCTGTATTCTGCAGTTGCCAGGATCAACATGACAGAAACTCGATAATGCCGACACAATAACCAAAGCCTAAGCATACATAGCATATTACATCCAAGGATCGTATACATCATCAGAAATCTGTGGCTCGCTGGTTAGAATATGCCTCTCTTGAAGTCTTGATAGGATTCCTGCCTGGGTGCCTGACAGTGTCTTGGCGGTAAGTCGACGATGTTCCACAGATTTTCTCCGCAACCATCGCGACCATCTCATCGTTTTTGCGACTTGCTACGCATTCACACGTCCACATTACCAACTACTGAATTTCTACCGCTCTACAATTCATCAAAATGCCCCGTGCTGTTCGAGGTATGTGCACTCTGCTTCTATTTTCCCCTGCGGCCGAGCTAACATGCGTCTCCGACAGGAGTCCTGATCGAATGTGATCCGTCCGTGAAAGCGATTATCCTGAAGTACGATGAAGAAAGACATGACTACATTGTGGAGGACCTGGATGATGACCGCCACCTGGTTATCAAGGAGAGCCAACTGCAGAACCTGAAGATCCGGCTGGGAAGGGTATGTCTCAGAAGACGGCTGGGTTGGCCACTATACTGACGATAACACGTAGGAACTTGATGAAAAGGTCATGCAACCCGACGAGTCGGAATCCGATGAATGAATTTCCTGGATGTTTCGATATATTTCCATCCTATCATATCCACACAGACGCCATCCTTTCGTCGTTACGCTCCGAGGGGACAAGGAGGGTCTGAAGCATTGTACAACGGCAGCGCGACTGTTCTACGACTACCAACGATCGAAAGAGAACATCGCCACACGTTGAAATCACGAGTTGCCATGTATACTCATTGTGTAATTGGCCAATGACTCGGCCTGGTCAACACCGTTGATACCCAAGGGAGGTTTGGTCCAGGGAAGTGGCAAAGATAGGTTCTGTGCTTCTTATCGTATTGTCTAAGATCGGCATCAAGAGAGAAGTAGAGGAGCTTCAAGGTATGCCAATAGCACTGGATGTTACTTGGTTGTTATTTGATTAGTGCTCGCATGGAATTGGTTCATGTATAGAAAATTCTTCTATAGGGTTGACTTGGCATGGACTTCCCTGCTTTTCAGCCCTTTGGAAGTGTCCAGAACCTTGTCAGGAGTGCGAAAGGTGTATAGTATTTTCTAGATATCCAAGTTATGAATCACTATCTGGAGGTCTAACAGCCAATCAGACTGGGTCGCGCTGCAGACGTCGTATGATTGAAGGTGCGAGCTATCCAAGGTTCAAGGTTCTAGCCGGACGGAGACTCCACCTGGGGAAGCGCGGTTGTGCCAACGGCGATCGCCATCACGTGATTCATCGAAACGCCCAGAAGACTCCCGCACCAACCAGAGGCGTCCAGTGGAAGCTCGAAAGGTCTCGACACCTCAGGCACCATCCGGGGTCATCCAGAAGTGATGCCACCAGCACGTCAGCTGCTGGTGAATCGCAGTTTCTGGAACATGGCCGACAAGAGATATAAGGGGGCACAAGGCCTCGTCAAATTGCACTTCTTTTCATCAGAACAACAACAATCAAACACAAGAACACAACAGCAATCGACTACAAATCGAATACTTCTTCCACTACTACTTCTATCAAAACATACCTGCCTCTACTTTTCTAAACACTCTACCTCAACACACGACCAAAATGTCTCTCTTCAGAACCATGCCCACCGCTGGTGACTTCTCCCCTCTCTTCCGTCTCTTGGACGACTACGACACCCACCGCCAGAGCCGTGGTCAGGTTTCTAGCGTGCGCTCCTTCGCACCTCGCTTCGACGTCCGCGAGACTGACGATGCCTACCACTTTGATGGTGAACTCCCTGGCATTGCTCAGAAGGACATCGACATTGAATTCTCTGACCCACAGACCCTCGTGATCAAGGGTCGCACTGAGCGCGAATACCACACTCCCGAGGCTGGCGAAACCAAGGAGGGTGAGAGCAAGGAAGTGACCAAGAGGGAGAACGGGAACAAGCCTCGCTACTGGGTTAGCGAGCGCTCCGTTGGCGAATTCCACCGCACCTTCACCTTCCCGTCTCGCGTCGACCAGGAAAACGTCAAGGCCAGCCTTAAGAACGGCATCCTCTCCTTGGTCGTGCCCAAGGCTGCTGCTTACACCGGCAAGAAGATCACCATCGAGTAAACGAGCTGCGGGATGAGACGAGTTACGACCTTGCATGGGAGTTAAGCAATCAGTTCGAACGGCGTCAACAGTGATATTTTCTTTATCGACTTTCGACTCTAATCGACAAAAGAAAAAAAAAAAAAAATCTTTTGCTACCTCAGTCGTTGAAGTTGAAGAAGTTGATTCGTTTTCATTCCTTACTCTGGAGCGCGATTGCGGTGGATGATGGATGTGCTGGCATTTCTTAATTCTGCCTCTTTGTATTTATCAGTTCCATGCCTTAATTAATGATTCACCTGAACCTTACTTTCCAGTAAATTTCTATAAACGTAGCAACACAAGCCATACAGTAGTCTTTAAACGAAATACAAACACGTGACTAAGCCATGTAAATGCCAAGCCGTACAAATGATTAGTTATGCTATCAAATGACATCATGTGAATTTCCCCTCCCAATTCAACTCCATGAAGGTCAACAACATCAGACACAATGTATATACATATATAAACATAAAGATCAACCTACTAAATGTGACAGACACCATGAGGACTTATATTTCGTCTACTGAATTGAGTAATAGCCTGAAGTATGTCTGGAATGCCCGATCCATGGATGTGACACTTGAAACCTTGACCAGTTCCGCGAACCGAGGCACGTGAAGCTCAACCGACGGTTTATCAGATCAGATCAGAGATCATAGTCCTATTCATTCCACGTCCTCCAATTCCTCCCCTGTACATATTCACATTGTTGTACATATCAGTATACTGGCATTATACATACCATCGACAATCAATAATACTCCGTTGTACAGTCCAACAAGCAACTCAGTCTACCATCCCTACCTTCAGTATTACCAACAACACCAAAAACCAACATATACACAGAAACCAGATCAGCAATCCAAAATGACGAACCCCACCCTAACCCCCAAATACTTCAACCTAACCTACCCCCAAGAATATGTCGCGCACGTCGAAATCAACCGCGCTGACAAAATGAACTCCTTCTTTGAAGCGTAACCTCAACCCACCCCCTACCTATACCCCAACGCCTTAAAAACCCCCGAAACTAACAAGACATGTGATAAAAAAAAAGAATGTGGCTCGAACTCCAGACAATCTTCAACCACCTCTCACACTCCCCAACCGTCAGAGCCATTATCCTCTCCGGCGCCGGCCCCAAAGCCTTCACAGCCGGATTGGACGTCAAAGCCGCCAGCCAGGGCCTCCTCTCCTCGGACGACAGTCAAACGGACCCAGCCCGCAAAGCCTTCCATCTGCGTCGCCACATCAGCTCCTTCCAAGATTGCATCTCGGCCATCGAGCGCTGCGAGAAACCCGTCATCGTGGCCATGCATGGCTTCTCCCTCGGTCTGGCGGTCGACATCGCCACGGCGGCGGATATCCGGCTCTGTGCTGCTGATACCAAGTTCGCCGTGAAGGAGGTGGATATTGGTCTTGCGGCGGATATTGGGACGTTGACTCGGTTGCCGAAGGTGGTGGGGAATTTCGGGTGGGTGAAGGAGGTGGCCCTGAGTGCGAGGATCTTTGGGGCCGAGGAGGCGCTGCGGGTTGGATTTGTTAGTCGGGTGTTTGGGGCTAAGGAGGAGGTTCTGAAGGGGGCGTTAGAGGTCGCTGGGTTGATTGCTAGTAAGAGTCCGGTTGCTGTGCATGGGACGAAGGATATTTTGAATTGGAGTCGGGATCGGAGTGTGGAGGATGGTAGGTTTTCTTCTCCTTTTACTCTCTCCTATTCTTTTTCTGGTGCTTGGCTGGGGGTTGGTTGAAGGTTGGGTAGGGTTTGCGAAGTGTGCTGACTCGATGTTTAGGTCTTCGGTATACGAGTGTGTGGAATAGTGCTGCGTTGCAGACAAAGGATGTCAGTGCGGCGTTGTTGTCGGGCATTCAGAAGAGGAAGCCTACGTTTGAGAAGTTGTAATTACCATCTAAACTACTGTAGATTCTATATATGGAGTATATTGGTTGCACTGGACAAGATAGTATTGTATCATACATAGACCCTATTGATTGATTGATTGATATCATATCCTACCCTCATAGCTAAACCTCTACTCATAAATGATCTACACCCCGTACAACACATAACTAACTATGTATCTCCAACCCCTCGGTCCAAAACACCCCGAACATCCACATCCCCGAACGCTAACCCGTTGGTGGAAAAAAAAAAAGCCAACCCTACCAACAATCCAAGGACCCTAAGAGAAGACCCAATAGCCGCAAAGCGGGGAAAGAAAAAGAGGCACCCCGGAGAGCACGTCACTTACGGAGTACACAATTCTTCACAGATCAGATAAGCTTCCCACGTTTTCCACAAATAAAATATGCGGGGAAGGGACGGGGCGTCTGTTCCCACAAATAGAACCGCGGGTAATCTATGCATGACGGAGAGGGGGGCTTGAAGGGATCGACCCCGAGTAACTTATGTACAGTGACGGAAGGACGGGGGTGGGGTTTGGCCTGCTGCGTTGTGTGTTTGGGGAAGGAGTGAGGGTCACAGACTATGAAACCTCCGTCGGTCCGTGGCTGATACGCTTTTTTTTGTACCTGAGATGGGGAATGTGGTGATTAGGGGTGTTTTTTTTTCTATTTCTATTTTATTTTTTATTTTTTTCTGTGGTCTACTGCTGGGTCTTTTTCCTGTTTGGGGTTATTCCTACCTAGATGCAGATATTCTGTGACAGAATTTTTTGCCCTTGGCTCTGGGTATAAATAGGTTGGAGCTGCTCGTGTGCTTATAGTTGATCGTTTATAGATTCTTCATTGTACTGCTATTTAATTGCAAAATATTACTATTTCCACCATGAGATCCATCCTCGTGCCCCTGTCCCTTCTTCCCAGCGTCCTGGGCGCTACCATCTACCTGGCTGGCGATTCGACCATGGCTGCAAGCGGTGGCGGGTCAGGTACCGATGGTGAGAATTCCCCGAACAGTACCGCATGTGGAATGTGAGCTGACAAACGTAGGATGGGGACAGTATGTCGACGACGTGTCTGTCACCGTCTCCAACAAAGCGATCGGCGGCCGTAGTGCCCGCTCCTATACCCGCGAAGGTCGCTTCGACGCCATCGCCGACGTCCTGCAAGAAGGTGACTACGTGGTGATCGAGTTCGGACACAACGACGGCGGCTCACTGAGCACCGACAATGGTCGCACCGACTGTCCCGGGACGGGCTCTGAGACGTGCGAGACCACCTACGACGGCCAAGCCGAAACCGTCCTCACCTTCCCGGCATACTTGGAGAACGCGGCCAAGACCTTCGTGGACAAAGGAGCCAAGGTTCTCATCTCGAGCCAGACCCCGAACAATGTCTGGGAGACGGGCGAGTATGCCTATTCGCCGTCTCGCTTTGTCGAGTACGCTCAATTGGCAGCCGAAACGGCCGGTGTGGACTATGTGGACCACGGCGCTTACGTGGCTGCCCGGTATGAGGCATTAGGCGCGGACACGGTCAACTCCTACTACCCCAATGACCACACCCATACCAGCCCGGAAGGGGCGCAGGTCGTGGCGGATGCATTCCTGAAAGCAGTGGCATGCAGTGATGCCGCGCTCAAGGATGTCTTGACCAGTACGGATTTCCCGGGCGACTGCCTGTAGATGGCAATGCTTGTGGCGAAATAGTTGTATTGGCAGGGAATAAGCTATTGCGTATTATGTATATAGTTCTCGATACCCACGTATCCAAATGGCAATATGGGTAAAGACAGATTCCAGATCCGTCGGCATTATAGGTACGCCCATGGTCTTCATAACATCGTATCGTGAAATAGATCTGAACCAACGTATAACCAAGATTACCTCAACTCCTCCAGCGATTTCTTGACGAAGCCACGGTTCTCGACCCGCTGGTAGTACTGAGCCAAGTTGCGATAGGCCTTCATTGAGAATGGCCCCCGGGCTTGTACAATCTCCCTCAAGACCGGCCAAAGCGCACAGTCGTCCAGCCCAAACGTGGGCCCATTCAGATAATACTTTCCAACCAGGGCCCGCTCCCATGTATCCAAAGCCCGCAGATGGCCCTCCTTTTCTTCTTTCTGATGCTCACGCCAGCTCTTCAGGAATTCGTCAATCTCCGCGAATCGATCACCCCCACGTAACGGCTCGACCCCGGGTCGGTTCAACTCCGTACAACGCCGTGCCAAGTGGGTTAGAATATTAATGTCCCCAGCAACTTTTGTGCCGTCCGTATCCACATACATAGGCCCGGCGTCCCTCTCGCTGCTGGGAGTCTCCAGATTGTATCGGATGCCCTGCTCGCTCAGACAGAGCAACACTCGCAGATTGGCCACAACATCTTCACCGGCCACGAGCTTGTTCGCCGACGCAGTGACGAAATTTACCCCATCGAACCCTGCCCCGTAGACGGCACCCCAGTCAAAGTCGATCGCGCGATTTTCTTCCCCGAATGCGCGAATGAGCCGCTCCGTCTCCGCGGGGTCGCCGTGGATCACAGCATTGGCCTGGTCCTGACTTTTGGACACAGCTCCCTGACCCCAGATCGTGTCGCCAGCAGGGTTCAAGAACGTGCCAATGTGGCGGAAGGTGAGCGAGATGCGCTCGCCCCCGTACGCTCGCTCTTCCATGGACTTCTCCGTGTCTGCGCGCTTGTCGGGACGAATGCCGTGGAGCCATCGCATATTGGTCTTCTCGCCTAAAATGAATAGAGATTCGTGGGGCATCGGCACCCGTTGTGTTGCTCGACTGGACTCCCCCTCTTCGGCCTCTGGGGATTGGGCTTTGCTGCGGAGGACCATCACCCGCTGCGCACCAAGACTGACATTGCAGATTGATGACCCCCGGACGATGTCCAGCGTCTTGTCCGAATGCTCTGAGATACGGTCTTGCCCGTCACGGTAGAGCTGAATGAGAACATGGTTCAGGGGATGCCGCAGGATGCGTTCCACGATCGTGCGTACTCGGTCCACCGTGGCCGTGAAAGGCTGCAATGGTGGCGATTCGTCGGCCGGGTGACGATAAATGGGGATCGAGCCATCCGACAGTGGTTGCCCTTGAACGGCGACGAGACGCGGAACCTCTCCGGACATGTGATACATTTTCTGCCAGGCTACCTCCGTGCGGATCTGTTCAAAAGCATTGGCGGGAAGATCCAAATCATAGACGATACGCGAATCGCCCTCCCCGATCGCATCCCCCGGTTTACGAATATCGCGTGAGGGTTTGGATTTCGTGCTTCGTCGGCTTTCGGTGGGCGACGTGGATCCGGTTTTCGGATCTACTCTCTGCGTCCGGCGCGCTTTCACGCGTGCCTTCTGCGCCTTCTCCGCCGCCCGAGTGTGGCGGGTGCGAGCCACCGAAGCCAGAATATCGTCATGATCTTCCAGCGGGTCTTCACCCAGGCCGGGGGCAAGGCCACGGGGCGGGACAAACCGCTCGATTGGTTCGGGTTCTTCCACTCGGGCCGGTTTGGCTGGCTTGACGTCAAGATCATCCATGACCCCTTCGATCCCGGAGGAGGTCGCATTCCGAACCGGCCTGTTCCCGCCTTTGCGTGCGATGGCGTCGGTTTCCTGCCAGTCGAGCTCTTCGTAGAGCTCCTCCGTCGTAATGCCATTGGCCCCGAATATGTCGGCCATGCGTCGCATTGCCTCTTCATAGCGGGGAAAGCTGCGGAAACCGAGGCAATCTTCGATCAAGGTGACCGAAAAGCCGTGCCGAACGGCATCGAGAGCGGTGGCATACACCGACGCGTTACACAGAGAACCGCATAGATACAATTCCGTCACAAAGCGAGTCCGGAGAGAAAGGATTAGGCCTGGATTTTGCAAGGCGGAGTAGTCGGATTTGTCCACCAGGGTGTCCGACTCGGCATCAATGGCGGCTAAAATAGGCGCGGGGAACTGTGCGCCTGGCGTCTGTGGGCGACAACATTTGAATGTTTCGCTCGACAGAAAAGCCTCCTCATCCACGGGGCCTTGGGGATCTACGCTGGTTGGGCCTGGGGGTTTATCCGACCGAGGTCGTTTGGTCGCCGGTTCGGGGGCCAACACGACATATTCCTGCTCGTCTGGGGTGACCCATGGTCGACACGACTCAAATTGCGTGCGTACCCAGATCACTTCGCCAGTACGACGGAAAGCGCTCGCCAACTGGGGGAGGATTTCTAGAAACTCGGCGGTGTTTGGAACATGCAGAGCTCCCGACGGTCGCACAAAGTCATTTTGAAAGTCCAGGAGAAGCAACGCTTTCCGCGTTTGGATGATTGGTATATTACCGAGTCGGGATAAGTAAGTCATGGTCAACACATAGCGAGGAACGGGGGGGTTTTAAAAAATAGGGAATAAATAGTCAGAATGATAAAAGACAATACTATTGCCAGATCACACCCAAGTTACCCACTAAGAAGAAAAGATCACGATGGGGAGTGGGGACTACCAGCTGCAAGCGGGAAAAGTTTAACAGCAAAGAGAAGTTCGTCGCGAATTCTGATGATATGGCCCGTTGGCGATGGTTTTGTGGAGAGTTACCGCCCGACACCTGAGGCACCGTGTGCGTTGGACTGTTTTGGGGTTAGTGCATGGACCATTGAATCTTCGTTAGTACAAACATTGAGACTCGAGAGACAAAGAACGTGGGGTAATAGGATACGTTGTGTGAGGTTCGAGATCGGAGATTCTAGCCCATGACTCACCACGTTGTATCAGGGGTCTTTCTGTCATAGAATAGACTATTGTTTCGACTTCGGGGGCAGACCAAGTCCAAGCGTTCCACGGAAACGAGTTGCGGATGATACGAAGTAGACTTGATGACTACAAGGAAGACTTCCCCAAGACAAAAACGGCCCCGATTGAGGGCTGACATAATCCCGCTCGTCCCTCTCCCAGCCAATCAGAGAGCTCCCAATCCGACATCGGCCGGGGAGGTCAGCAGCAACTCCGGATCACGTGTTTCCCCGACGACCGCAGCTACCAGCTTAAAATGCGAGTCACTTCCACCTCCAGCTCTCCTCTTTCTCTCTTCTTCCCCATCTCTTTTTCTATCAATTCCATTCCAATCTCCCCTCTTTCCCTCACTCCTCCTTCCTTCTCCTCAATTCCTCCATATCAATTCACAATGGCTGCTCGTGGACTCCCCCGCGCCCTCCGCCTGGCCCGTGTTGCCGCTCCTCGCTCCGTCGTCTCCGCTGCCCTCCCTCGTCCCGCTCTGGCTAAGGCTGCTGCCAATGCCCTCCCCCGTGTGACTCTGTCCTCCACCCCCGTCCGTGGTGTCAAGAACATCTCTTTCGCTGGTCACGAGGAGACCGTCTACGAGCGTGAGGACTGGCCCCGTGAGAAGCTCCAGGAATACTTCAAGAATGACACTCTGGCCCTTATCGGTTACGGTTCTCAGGGTCACGGTCAGGGTCTGAACCTCCGTGACCAGGGCCTCAACGTCATCGTTGGTGTCCGTAAGGATGGTGCTTCCTGGAAGGAGGCCATCCAGGACGGCTGGGTTCCCGGCAAGAACCTCTTCGACGTCAACACCGCCATCGAGAAGGGTTCCATCATCATGAACCTCCTCTCCGACGCTGCCCAGAGTGAGACCTGGCCCACCATCAAGCCCCTCATCACCAAGGGCAAGACCCTCTACTTCTCCCACGGTTTCTCCCCCGTCTTCAAGGAGCTCACCAAGGTCGACGTCCCCAAGGACGTTGACGTCATCCTCGTCGCCCCTAAGGGTTCCGGCCGTACCGTCCGCACTCTCTTCCGTGAGGGCCGTGGTATCAACTCCTCCATCGCCGTCTACCAGGACGTCACCGGCCAGGCCAAGGAGAAGGCCATCGCCATGGGTGTTGCCGTCGGTTCCGGTTACCTCTACGAGACCACCTTCGAGAAGGAGGTCTACTCTGACCTCTATGGTGAGCGTGGTTGCTTGATGGGTGGTATCCACGGTATGTTCCTCGCCCAGTACGAGGTCCTCCGTGAGCGTGGCCACAGCCCCTCTGAGGCCTTCAACGAGACCGTTGAGGAGGCCACCCAGTCTCTCTACCCCTTGATTGGTGCCAACGGCATGGACTGGATGTACGCTGCCTGCTCCACCACCGCCCGTCGTGGTGCCATCGACTGGTCCAGCCGCTTCAAGGACAACCTCAAGCCCCTCTTCAATGAGCTCTACGACAGCGTGCGTGACGGCACCGAGACCCAGCGTTCTCTGGACTACAACTCCCAGAAGGACTACCGCGAGAAGTACGAGAAGGAGATGCAGGAAATCCGTGATCTCGAGATCTGGCGCGCTGGAAAGGCCGTTCGCTCCCTTCGCCCTGAGAACCAGAAGTAAATGTAATGTGCATTGGGATTTGGGAAAAGTTATGACTGTATCATGATGCCTTGTTATATTTCAGTTAATTAATTTCATTATACCACGTTCAAGCAATATCTGAGCATTCGTCGTAAGAGTGTCGTGTAGGGGAATCAATTCCTCAGTAAGACTGATATAAGACTTGGGACATCTCGTCGACCCTTTTGAATATCTTCCCCTAAACAGCTGGCAGGAACCTATCAACAGCACATCAACACAGAGGATCATTTTCTTATTCTGAAAACCTCACGATTTCTTTTAATTTCAACGAAGGAAACTTATAAATCGACATGACGATGCAATAGAGCTGTGCTTCAAGTGAAATAACCACCGATCTCCCTTATTTCACCACTTGCAGACAGAAGGGATCCAAAACACAGCAATGCATGAACGAAACCCAACTACCTTGATAATAATACATGAGAACGGAGTAGAAGTTAGTCGTTCCATTCATTCTCTTCATACCAGAGCCCTTCACGATCAAGACTTCAAACGAAATCAAAAGCAGCCATAGTGGATTAAGTTAAACCCAACAACCATGATCTATACAACTAGTGCAGTACAACCTGCCATAGACGAAGTAAGGTGTATATTAAAGCCCACGCTACGACCAATGGGATAAAGTATAAGCTTAGATGCAGATCGTGCATGCCGAGTAGTTTCAATCTAAGTGTGATCCAATAGAAGCTGGCTATTCCCTACTAGTTGCTCCTCTAGTGACCTTATCTTTCCAGGGGCTTTAGATTAGGTTCTGAATAAGCACCTTACTTGGACAAGCTGTCTGAAAGTCAAGAATAGTAACTGGCCCCCGAGGGCTCCACAATCGTGCGTTGTTGATATACTCGGTAACAGGCCTCCTGTGTACTTTTGGAATCTTCAATTATATCCGACAGTGGTTTGCAATGACTTTGTTCTTTGTATACTTCTGCTTTCTGTTGCGGAATTATGGTGTTGTAAATTTATAAAGGGCTAGCGAGCAAAACCGACATAAGTGCCTGTTGGTTAGACTACCACTGCCAGTACGAACATTGTGTGTCCACTTCAATCCGACTCAATGCTCTATAATCCGAGCACTGAGAGATGGTAGGAAGTATTATCTTACACCCAAGGGCGTACGGGGTGATTTGAGAACGTATTCTTACAGCTTAATCCCCGCACTAAAAGATAAGACTACGATACTAAGGCTGAGGCTTGGTACTATGCTCCCGTATATAAGCCTACATTCAGACCGGGCAAGTCAGGCACTATGAGAGTTATAGACAGTTGGAGCGTCAGAAAAGGTTGGGTTATTATTAGAGGTTGGGTAGTTTTATTTCTATTCCTCTCAAAATTTAGTACATGGTATCTCACTATCTAAACACGAATGACAGTTCCATTCTCCTTCCGAACAAAGTCCAAAAAGACCTTCAGCTCGGGGCTATGCGCATGGTTGACCACAAACACAGCCGGTTTTCCATATGGCGCATCAACACGCACGGTTTGTCCCGCGTGGTACGTTTTGCCAGACCAGACATGGGTGTAAGTGCGGTTTCTGTCAGTGCCGGGCAGGTACACATTCAACTTCGTAGTTTGGGGATCCAAGACGGGAGCAACGTAAAGGTCAGCGCCGAGATAGAAGCTCTGGTAGCTAATCTGGCGGGCCTTGGAATCTTCCGGGTGGTAAAGGACTGGCATTCTCAGAAGAGGCCAGCCGCGGGTTTTGCTTTCATTGTTCAGAATTTGACGGCGGTAGGGACCGAGACTCTTGAACATCCGGGCGTTGTATGCGTAGTAGGAGTATGTGGAGCTATTGGTGTAGAACTGGGCGTTGACCTCGGGCACGTTGCCTTCGTGAGATCGGAAGACAGCGCTGGAAACGGCGGCCAGTTCTCCCCACCGTCCTAGGATCTCTGCTGAACGCCCAATGGCGCCGGATGAGTTTGCTACGGTAGGTGGGTGGAAGGCGGTGGTATAACCACCGAGGTCAGAGTGGCTCTGGGCATAGCCAGAAATACCCATTTGGCCCATGATAGTCACGGCAGATTTGATGCCGTCATTGACGCCCCAGACAGTAGTTTGATCTCCAACCCAGAACAGGTTCAGGTGGCGATTAGAGCCCAGCGAGGCAGAACGGTGGAATGTGACCATCTCATCGAACAGGGGCATTTCTTTGGCAACGGAGCGCTGGAAGATAGCCCAGTCACGAGGGTATTGGTTGTGGTAGAAATAAGCATCGGAAGAGATGTTGGCGAGCTTGGTGTCTGGAGTGATGGGAGTGTACTCTCCGAAATCCCACATGACACCGGAGATGTTGGCGTTCCAAACTTGTGTGCGGAGGACATCGGCAAACCACGTGCGTGTCTTCTCGTTAGTAAGATCCAAAATACCAGCCTGGATTCCCTTGCCACTGGAGATGATAGCGGTGCTGTTCGTGGTCGAATTTTGCACCATATATCCACCCTTGGTGGCCTCGAGGAAGAGATTGCGACGGTAACCATCGGTCTTAGAGCTAACATTGGCGACGAATGGATTGATATAGGCCATGGTCTTAACGCCATATTCTTCACGAAGATCCTGCACGAATTCAGTCCAGGTTGGGTACAGTTTGCTGTCGGATTCCCAGTTCCACCAGAGACGAGAAATTTGCATGTTGCCGTATGGTGCCTCTTGGGTGTGAGTGCCAGACCTACAGATGTTAGCGAAGTTTTGTCAACAGATTCGATCCATCGAAGAACATACCAATCTTGAAGCCACACTGCCGCAACAGGGCAATTCCGCTTCAAACCTTCTTTCACAATGCGCTCCACCTTCTCCTGTCCGCCTTGAATACCCAAGATGGCGCCGTTATCGACCCACTCGGGCAAGGTAGGCATCTTGCCAACATAGTCGGTGAGCATTGTGATGGCATTGAGCATATTATCCGCCTGCATGACGTGGCCGCCAACTGTCAGAGCATCGTATCTCACAGTCACAGCATTGGGCTTAGTGAAGTCGAATTCAGCAAAGGCAGTGTCTTCTTCCCTAAGGTAGAAGACTCTTGCAGCAGAGCTGATATATTGAGGGATGGCAGTATAGGTCGTGAATTCGTTTCCACCGCTGAACCAGCTCTGAGAATCTTCGAGTGCGGTGATGGGCTGATCGCCACGGCCCACACCTTGTTCACGGGAGAAGATGGGGATAGTCTGGTTCTTCATGGACGCAAAGGATGCCTGAGCACCTAGACCATAGAAGTCCTCCGATGCATCGGAGCCAAAGGTCACATACAGCTTTTCCATTGGAGAGGTGCGCTTGTGACCAGGCTCGACATTGATGTCGAAAGCCACACGATCCGGAAGGGCCTTCGGCACCCAGAAGTTCATGGTATACCCGACAGATTGGTCCCCACAGTGTTGCAAGTATCCCTGGATGGACACGTCCTTACCATTGATACTATCGTCACGCGGGGAGTGAGTGATCCCAGTGACATTTTGACCCTGGCAACGGTTGCGGTCAACGTTGGTATAGTTGAAGTTGCCATTCGCACCGACCCATTGGTCTTTCCCAGCACTTGCACTGAGGAAGTTCTGGCCGGGGACGGTAGCGAGCAGAGTCTTATTAGCCTGTACAATTGACAGTTGCTGGGAGCTCGACTGCCAATTGACTTCAATACCCTGTCCCAAAGTCCATGACGATCGCGACTCGCCTAAAGCGGCCAACGCAAATGCGCTGAAAGCGCCGAGATATGAGGAATAGGGCGGCATTGCTGCAAGCTGGCCAACAGACTATGAACTTCAGCCCAGAGGGACAGAGTCTTCAGTGGCACGCATGCTGGATTTTATGTCTTCCACGTCCCAGCATCGATGCTATCATGGCAAAATAAAATGCCGCAGTAAGTGGAGCGGTGCAACTACCGTCCGGCACCGTCATATACACGGTGCAGCGTAGTGCTTCTTGGCTTGAGTTAGCTTGTGCCATTCGAAATTTCCAACACGTTCGTTCTTATAAGCGATCTGGCTCACAATTCCACTATGTGGAACCAATCGGCAAATTCTCCCGAATCATCGGGATGAAGACAAGCAAACGCCCAAACGGTGCCCAGCCGGGGTGTGGGTTTTTCTCCACAATTCTCAGCCCATAATCTGGAGGTTCTCCGCTTTCTCGTCGCTTGGGGTTGTTGAACTTAGTGAAAATTCTGTACAGAGTCATAGACCGACGGAAAAGGGAATGATCGACGTCCTTTTCCTGCATTGGAAATCTCTACGCTTTGGCTAAATGAACAGCGATTAATCTCAATCCTCTCCGGATAATTGCATTTCACACGTGACGTCATAGACATATACGTACTTCAATGACCCACCGATACAGCGAGAATTGCTGCCTTGAAGGCTTGCCAGTTGAAGAACATAGCTTGTGCTGTTGTGTGTGTGATAACTCTGGCCAAACCAGCCGTTGTCAGAAGGGACTACCTTTACTCTTCCCCCGCATAGATCCTTTACTGGACGAGGCAGGAAGCGTGAGATCAGTACATCGGTGCGGGTTTGCCATCCATTACTATTCTTAACTGGAGAAATGTCAAGTCCTCTCTGCTCCGTATAACCCAGTACTTAGGGCAACCTAGTACATACGACCATAGGGTGTGGAGAACAGGGCTTCCCGTCCGCTCAGCCGTACTTAAGCCACACGCCGGGAGGTTAGTAGTTGGGTGGGTGACCACCAGCGAATCCCTCCTGTTGTATGTTTTTGTTCAACTTTCTCTTTTAAAATTTATTATCTTGTAGTCCTGGTTAGTAGTGGTGCTTTGTCTTCACCGAAATCTCACCGTTCTTATCCTAACCATAATGAGACTTAACTATTAACCCCATCTTACACATACCCAGTCGTCAGATAAAACTGTTAACTAGGTGGAAAATCTAATGATGGGCAGTAGATCCCAATTCCTGGACTAGATATATCTCTATGAAACTCAGATTCAATCCTGCAGGAAGAAGCTTCAAACATTCATGGTTAACTCAGAAGTATTATGGCTGAGGCAACATAGATGACATACCTCGCAGATTTTGACGTCCCAAAACTCCGCTCACAAATTACATTACCCATCTATTCCATCTATCGTCTTCATAGATTGACGACCCAGTGGGCTAAAGTACACTTACTGGTCAAAAGGTGATCGGGTGTTAGACCAAATGCTAGACCATTGGAATCCCTTGGCCATCAGGCTCTGATACTTACGCCCACACTTTCACGTTCATATTTTATGGGCAAGGCTGGTGAATCTAATCCTTAGGGAAACAAGTTTAAATGACAAAATGCTTTTGGCTAATATACAGGGGCAGCTGATTTACATATAGGCAATGTTGGTTTTTTCCGACAGAGAGTGCTTATAAGAAATCTAAATTACATGAAGTTTCTTGAGGTTCATTGTCTCATCCTCCGCCTCATGAAGATATTCCTTCCGCAACAGCTTCTTCAACACTGGCGTGTACGCGAAAATCAAGTCTCGCACTTTAGCCAGGGGCCAGGGGAGGCTCTCGAACATGGAGCCCGGGAAGCTTGCAAATTCCATATGATGGTCCACTCATGCATCGTGGGAAACCCCGGACCCAGGCTTCTGGACACGTCAAGGATATATTGTCGTTCGAACAGACGAGCGAGGCTCGGGTCAGAGCCCCGGAGAGCTTGATACCATGTCCCGAGGTACTAGTGAGGCTTTTTTTTTTTTTTTTTTTTTGATGTAGTAGAGTGGTGTGGCGAGCAGGAATGGTCTAGCGGTAAGGTGGGATTACTGGGGATTAGCTCCTTTGCAGGCACCCAATGGCGAGTGGCTGCTCGTCAACCCAAGGGCCTGGCCGTCATTATCCCCTGGGAGGATATGAGCGACTATTACCGTGATCGAGTCCGTCATGGTGGTATTTTGTCGGATCGTTTCATCGACTTTTGGTGGAAGAAACGCCGTCCAGCCAAACCAGTACGGAAAGCCCGGTCGAGCATCGCGCCAATGGGGCGATGGCACTCTTGAGGGAGATCTTGACGAGCAGACTTTGTTCTCTAACCGGCGTGACCAAACCAAAGATACCGCAGCGCACCGATTCATGGACGAAGATTACTACAATACCAGAGATTTCGATTTGTCTAATATTCAAGTCCCTCTGCTAAGTAGCTCAACTCTTTCGGGCAGCGTGCAGAAACGCTAATATTGATCTGTTTAGGGAGGAATTCTGGTTCATTTGCTTGGGAACGTTATCGGCTGGATGTGCGCCTCCTGTTCGTACAAGTTCTTGCGTTTCATTGTAGGGCGCCATGTGTCTACCCTTCTATTATCACCTCTCTGCCCGGCTGCAGTTGTCGTTCTTGGATGCGTTCTTAAAGGATAACGACTATGACGGCTGGAAGTTTGGCCAGCAGCCCCGTGTGCACCCGTGCCTGCGTAAAGGCGATTGGGGGGTGGATGACCTTGAGCACGAACTGAAGTTTCCCAGTCGTGCCGAGGTTGACTGGCCTATCCCGGACACTCAATATACGAAGCTCTTTCTCATGACCAAAAAGCCTTATCTAGAGAGCCCCATCCTTCTATGGATACCTGCACATATGAAGCACTGACTGGGTAAGGTCCCTGTTTACGGATGATTTGTCTGTTCCCTGCAATGTTCTCATTATCTATTTTCCTTAGGACCCCAATCACCTTTCTACACAAGACGTCCTCGACCCTGGAGATTACAGGTCATATCTTGGCCCGACTGACTGTTTCTTGCTCTCGAGAAAACCCCGACAGCTCTCCACTATCTGACATTGACCTTTTCATTACGCTACGCAGATTGAGTGCCGACGGGAACGAAGTCTTCCATACAGATACGATGGATGACCCAGTCCCCATTCTCAAGGGATGGCTCCGAGTTTCGCTCCGCAAAGTCAATACTAAACATCCGTTCCATCGTCACTATCTCCCTTATAGAGACTATACGAGGGCTGATGTTCAGCTTGTGAAGGATAATGGGAAATACCAGGTAGATGTGGAAGTGTGGCCCGACCAATACTGTACTCAAGCCCATTGAGACTCTGGTTCTAGAGCTTGTAGGCCGTGACACCCAGGGTGTCGGCAAGTTCTCCCACGAGCATCCGGATGATCGGGATCCAGCAGTTTTTGGCGGCCTCAACCATCTCGAGGTGGGTCAGGGTTCTGGCTATCTCTTGCTCCCTCTCATACCGTCTTGAAAAGCTCTTAATTGATCACCTGTGGAAATTTACGTAGAGGATAGTACATTATGCTGTGCTGAGCAAATTCAACCAATGTAGAAAGATGTCAGTTTATATCGAGAACATAATGAAGCTATGTTGTCTACCCAGAATGGAAGACTTATGTCAGGAGTTAGTACATCTGTATATATCTATTAGTTCTCTCTGGGACAGTTTACTGTTATCGGAAAAAAGCACAGCTTACGCCTCGATGCGAATTATAACAAAAAAGTGGCTGAACGCTTCGCCAAGAATTCCGGTGTTTCAAAATTGAATCAGTAACCAACACTAGGTATGCGACAAGAATGTTGTGGGATCGTTCACCTACTTCCCCACCTGCTAATGTGCTCTCGCATGGGATTTGCAAATGCCCGCATGAATGTGGCGCCATTTTTGGCCAAATAGCTAAAACGCGAATAGCCGTTGTGTCGCTTGGCGCAGGGGCTATTTATAGGAGTTGGGGTTGACGTATAAACCCATCCCAACGGTACTATGAGTATCGCTAGACCTCACCTTCAATCGATATGTAGGATGCTACCTCCCTGCCCATACTCTCCATTCCGCTTGGATGCGCTTCGTGTAGACGTTTCCCACGGAAGATGTTTAAGAACAAAGCCGAATTCCTAGCCCTATAGGTAACCAGTAGCTGTGATCCGGCCTGATTCCGACGTAAGAAATGGGGCTGGCTTAAAAGATCATCCTGGAAGGGAAAAGGTTTCAATAGAGAAGCCTTGTTTTTCTGGCGATGGATGGGAAACTACTGTATCTTATCACACCATCTCAAGCACATTAACCAGTGAGAGCTACAGCATAGCCGCTGCTATCCGGCACCCCTGTCTATACACCCCAATAAGACAGCCTGGTGGCACTGCCACGGTCAATGTGCAGCATAATATCAAGGCTCCCGGTCTCCATTTAATTTAGATTGCTTAAAACAAGGAGTTAGCGCTGGGCTGAGCCACGCATGTGTGGCTGCTCTATCGTACATCCCCTCTTGCGCCTTAGGCAGACAAGTTAATACCCCGGTCTATACAGGGTATATAGAGAGTATGCGTTCCCTTCAAAATATCGTACGAGTATGCACTCTCAAAGAACACTTGACCTCCTAGATACCAACTCGTAAAATCATTACTATGTCTTCTCTATACCCACGACCCCAAGCAACCTTCCTTCCGCACCTCTCTGAGATCATCCAACTCTACCCAGAAGCAGAACCATGGTGCGCAGGATACGCTCCATCACGAGGTCGTCGCTGCCACATGTCAACAAATGCTCGGAACCGAACAACAGCCATGTGTTTATTAGACGATGGGACTAAAGACCTCTATTCGGGTCGAGACATCAGCGACCTGCTCGAGGACCTGGCTCCTTACGTTCTGTGCACGCGGTTTCACAAGAATCAGGCCCCTGAACTTACCGCAAAATGGAAGACGCGAGTCCAACGGTTCTTGGACGCCTATGTGCTTCCTGCGACTACCCAACGAGCTGCTGGGGGGCGCCGACAGACTAGCACTCTGCCAAAGTCTAGGCAAAGTGTAGAGGTCGAATATTTCCATCGGGAGAAATGGCTCCCAGTCCGCGTTGGGGAACCTGAACGTCTACGGGCTACTCGACTGGCACCGGCGGCTTCGCAAGGAATTCTCGTCAATGAGCGCGTCACTCAAACTGCAAGCTCCACCAATAGATTACGCGGGCTCTCTACGCGCAGTGCTGCAGCTCCAACGCGGGAAATAACGAATAGAACAAGAGCAGTGGCTTCCTACTCCCTAACAGGCCGCCAGGTTGCCTCGTCTGCGGCATCAGAGCATAGACTATCGAACATACCAACAGCGGCTATTCGTGCGACCTCCAGTAATGTTCGCCCTGGTAGTGGCTCAAGCGCCGCTGTGTCCTCCACGACATCCTCGTGTTCTGGAGACACTACTCGCCGATCTATTGAAGGAGACTGTACCATCTGCTTTGACCCCTTGAAAAAGACTGCTCGCTTTGGAGCTGATGATGGTGCTCACCATGGTACGGAAGACGAGGGAGAACAGCAGGAATTATCCTGGTGCAAAGCCCGATGTGGAGTCAACTACCATGCGGCCTGCATTGAAATGTGGTTGAAGGCCTCCCCTAAATCTACGTGTCCGACGTGTCGGAGTGCATGGAAGGATTAGGACTAAATTTTCTTGTTTCGATTTGTACCATGTGCGTTAAGGGCTTGGTTTGGTAGACTAAACCCAAGGACCTGTATATCTGATCCCGAATACCCCGACTAGAGCGGTCGAAAGCTTGATAGCATCCTTCAACAGACCTAATAAGTGAACAGGCTTGCAAGCAGAGTGACTATAGATATAATATAAATAGTTCTATCACTACTGGTTATATTATCTAAGTAGAGTAAGTGATAGTTAGTTAGGTTAAGATATAGTATTGCTGTGTAGTCTTAGGCACCTGTCTACTTTAGGTCTGGTACTGTTTATTTGTTAAACATTATAATTGTGGACGTTGCATCTACGGTTATATTATTTTGTATTGGTTGTAGACCTTTGCTATCGCTATCTATAGGTATTCTACTATTCTACCTAGGATTACTACAGCTAAAATACAGCCCACCCCCGCGACGTATTCATGCTGCAAGAGACGAGATTTGACATCCAGGACATGTTTATATGAAAGCGTAAATTGAATACTACCTGTACTGTGAAACTAACTATTCAAGCCACTTAGATATGAACCTCGATTCTCTCGCCAAACAAGGATGGCGATCCGGCATACTTCACAGATTGTACCTTCCAAGCGGCAGCTCTCACACTCCAGGTTGCCCCGTGAACTCGCTCGTTGCGGTCATCCAGGTTGAATGTTTCAAAGTCGTAAAAGAAGTCCGTATTCCTCACGATACGGAGCCAGCCATCCCGTCCTTGTTGCATGTTGGCGAAGACCGTAGAGAAGGGGGCCCACCATGCGTTACGCCAGCTTCCGTCCCACCACTGAGAGATATGTAAGACGTTCGTGGACGGCCGGAAGGAGACATGCAAGCACAACCTATACCCATCATCGTCGTAGAAGTTGATATTGGTATTTGCCTCACCTGAGTTAGGGCTGTTCAATCCCGCCAGGAGTCGGGTCATTTCTAGACGAAAGACGAATTCCTGGTGGTTCGATTTGGTCGCCTGCAGTCCATCCCCGTTCAAAATTAGGGTATAGCCCGTACCAAAGCTCACGCTCTCCAGCTGACTGGTGATCCTGGCCAAGGAGGTTGTTTCTGAGTCACTGGGACTTTTTCTTAGTCATTATTGTCTGCCGCAACCAAAATGGAAAGGGGAGAGAGGGAAGTACGAACGCTGTCGACGTCAACCACCCACCGCGGCCCAACTGGTCCCTCATCATCTTCTTTTTCCTCCCCAGGGCGGTGCCGCCGCCACTTTCATCCCAGCCGGTACCATCATCGACGATAGGATGGGGCGCTGGATCGCGAGGGTATACGTAATTTTCTGTGCCCGTCTCCACGTTCGTGTCTTCATCAGTCGGAGGAGATGGTCTCGGTGGTGGCGGTGGGTGGGCATCTTTCTTCGGGGTGGGATCATTCAATAGATCCACGCCATCGTTTTCCCAATCGTCAAACATATGTTTAATGTCGTCTTCGGATTTGCCGTGCTGTATCGCGTCTACCAGATTCTTCACGATCCTGGATTCAGTGTCAGCGTCGCGGGGCCGTGTCAGGAACTATGAGTACTTTATGGCCAAACGTACGTCTCCATGTCATACTCAGACAGACTCTCCAATCCCTTCTCGGACAGCATCTTCCCCATGCTCACCGCCAGCTGGCCAAAACCATCTGCCATCAGCTCCTCGACAATGAGCTCACTGAACGCACCTGATAGACCTTCAAGCCCCACGCCGGCAATCAGGGTCAGTTCCGCGACCAGAACGCAATAGATGGTGATGGCGGTCACCTCATTGCGCATAGTCGGATTGCTGATGTGTTGCCCGATGGCTCTCTTTGCGTACAGGCCAGCATAACCGGCGACCCCCGAGGCGACGGCCGCTCCAACTGGCCTTAGCAGCGCGCCGCCCACCAGGGCTGCCGCTAAGCAGATGGTCGCGTAGGTACATTCGGCTGCCGCACGCACGGCCTCGTCATGGTCTCCCTCCAGTTCATCGATACCCGCCACAATATATCCAATAACGGGAATCTCCTCCAGTAGTCGAAAGAAGGGCCCTCGCAGATCCCAGGTGCCCACGCTTTGGTCAAATGATCAATCAGCCAATAAATCGATGAGGTTCGGGATGGGGACCAAGCACTTACGGATCCTCCATAACGAGTTCACCCTCGTCGGTGATGCTTACCCACTCGTCCATCAGCTGCCAGCAGTTGATCAGATGCCATGTATGGTGCCAATCTTCCAACTGACCAATTAATGCCCAGTTAGAGTTTAGGCCGAGGTCAATAGCGCTATGGCTAAAGTTGCCGTTCTTTCTCCTCTTGAGCAAGCCATTATCATTGGTCAGGTGCTGGTCCAGGTCCAGTGAGGTCGGGGTCAATGTCCCGTAGCGAGTGAACGCAAAGCCGTGGAGGACTGCCGGACCGCGCAGCGTAAGGTGAGTCAGTCGTGACCGGACATTCTTGGGACTGACGTTGACTTAGTTCCAGACTACAGAATTGGCACACACACACACACACCAGAATACTTACGGGAGTTGATAGACCAGGTCTCCCTTGTCATTATGGAAGATCATATCTAAGGCCAAGGTGTTCAGCCGGCGGTTGTAGCTGGCGTCCATGGTACAGAGCAAGACCGCCCCGCCGGCCGTGAGCTCTACCTTGGTTGAGTACTTCGTCAGGTACTTGGATTGCAATAGGGAGCCCAATAGGGGAGAGCCCAACAGGAACCGCCCAGTCGGCTGGTCGACGCCGATATACCAGTCGAGCGTGACCTCCCGGTAATTCCATTTCCCATTTTCATCTTTGCAGTCAGCGCAAAGGTTGGTGATATAATCACCCGCCGCCGTCTTGATGGGGCGGAGGTGGATGTTTTTGGAGCTGGTGGTAAAACCCATGTTGAATGCTGCCAGTGATGAGAAAGAGGATATGTGGAGAGAAACATGGAGAAAAGGATTTATATAGACCTTAGAACGAGGGACAGATGAGACTAGCTGGATGTGGACTTTGCAACATACCAGCTGAACAAGCAGCCGAAGGAGCTGAAGTGATTGAAGAGGCGGAAATGCTACCGAATCTATGGAGAGTTGACCAGGCCAACTCGAGGTAGCGTAAAGTAAATAAAGTAAACTAACTAAGTAGCCTCTTCAGGACCTGATAGGCTGCAGCGGAGTTATCCACGGCTGTGCATTGATCCATTGGACCACCCGCTTCCATAGCTCTAGACTCCGATTTTACGGCATCCAGTTTAGTTATGTATCTGCCCAGCCACTGGCCTGCCTTCAGGTTCTAGAGCAGCTGAACTCATCTAATCTTCACCCAGTTGCCCTGCACGACCTCCACACCCTGATTCCCTCGCTTACACTTGTCCACGTACACTCCTCATCGATTTCTTATCTACTCTTCTGTACGCAACCGCGGGGTTCATCGGCTTTTCTGTGAGCGGCCCCTCAGTGGAGATTGATTAGCTTCAGCGAGTTACTAAAGGATATCATATCACAGAGTAAACAAGGATCAGGTTCTCCCCACATTAGTTGAGATGCATATTGGCATACAGTGGAGAACTTCCAAATGGACCAAAAATCCAAGATCTTATCAGGCGCCAATTTAGCGTATGCAAAATAATCTTCAGTTCTTGGCACCTTTTATATGCAGAAAACGCGCATTTTCAACCCTATATAGAACTAAATGAAATATCTATTATTTTTAAGCATTTTGGAAGCATTTTTAAATAAGTATTTTTCCTATGTATTTTTAAAACAGGGCATATTGTATGCCTATATAGGTATATTAGCTTAACACAGGCCAAAGAATTACTACAATATTATCAAGAAAATATCTACTATTTAGGGTAGAAAACCTATCAACTAGATAAGGATATATAGGCCGAAAGCTAAGTAGTAGATATTAGACAGATAGAAGACTAATTCTTACCTTCTGTTACAGATCCGATGATGACTCTGTATAATAACTGTATTGTATACCCTGCCCGTTATATATATACAGCTCGGTGACCGAACGGCAACAATAGATTATATATCTGTCGTCTTTTCAATAGTATATAGTAGCTCCTTGTCAGTCTTATTCTGTTAAGAGAATAAGGGGCTTCTTCTGAATATAAAGTTAGCCTAGTATTAATAAAAAAAGAAGATAAGAATCAATTTTCTGTCTGCCTAATATCTACTGCTTAGCTTTCAGCCTATATATCTTTATCTAGTTGACAGGTCTTTTACCCTGAATAGTAGATATTTTCTTAATATCTTCTTTTTTTATTAATACTAGAGTCTAGACTAACTTTATATTTAGAAAAAACTTCTTATTCTTCTAATAGAATAAGACTGATAAGAAGCTACTATATACTATTAAAAAGTTAATAGATATATAATCTGTTGTTACTATTCAGCCTCCGAGCTGTATATATACAACGGGTAGGGTATACAATACAGTTATTATATAGAGTTATTATTAGATCTATAATAAATTTATCTAAAAAGTGTCAAGGAAATATCTACTATTCAGGGTAGAAAATCTGTTAACTAGATAAGAGTATATAGACTGAAAGCTAAGCAGTAGATATTAGACAGATAGAAGACTGATTCTTATCTTCTTCTTTTATTAATACTAGGCTAACTTTATATTTAGAAGAAGTCCCTTATTCTTCTAACAGAATAAGACTGACAAGGAGCTACTATATACTATTGAAAAGACAACAGATATATAATCTGTTGTCGCTGTTCGGCCTCCGAGCTGTATATACATAATAGGCAGGGTATACAATACAGTTATTATACAGAGTCATTATCGGATCTGTGATAAAAAGACAAGATTATCTACTATAAATTAATATATATTATTATAGTAAGTATATTATAGGGATTCACTATAATATAATATTATATAGTATAGCTTCTTTCTTGTCTATTTTTATCTGGCCAGTAGATGTGAGACTGTAGATTAGCTAACTAGAATATCTCTCTTATTAAAGAGCTATCAGACTATCTTATCTTGATAATACCAGTTCTCTGTGAGTAGATATTCTAATAGAGTATTTTTATCGGCTTCAGAAATCTTCTTTGCACAGCCAAGTTAATAGAGAAATAGCTTCTGTACACTTCTATATCTAAATAAATTGGACTGTATCGTGTACACAGTTCCAATAGAGATATATAATATTTCTGATATATTTCTAGGATACCAACCAAGAACAAGATAACATAGTATTCTAGAGTATTGGGCAGGAGAAAGTTTATAATATTAATATTGATCAGCGTGTTCGGCAGGAAAATTAGTAGCACTGGAAGTTATACTAATAAAGTAAGGGTCTAATCTCTTAAATATTGATATAGTAGAGTATATTGCCTAATTAGATAGTTTGAATATCTTCAAAAATAGTGTAGTTGGTAGGGTTTCAGCCTTTTTTTATAGAATTGTTGTATTTGTAGTCAAAATCGTGTGGTGCGCAGAAAAAAAAAAAAGGTGCCAAGAACTGAAGATCATTTTGCATACGCTAAATGACGGTAACCTAAGAGGGATTTATTCTGCACAATCGCCCCGCCTTAACGCACTGACCTAGCTTGATGTGATCTGATTAATAAAGCACCCAATCACGCATAATATATTCGTTTATATGTCTAGATACTTTCCTGGTGATGATATAGAAATCGATACATGGCTGGAGATAAGCTAAGGTGTGCAAGTAAACATCCACAAATAATGAGTCTCGCCTGGGCCGCAACAACTTTAAATAGAGACACATCAAGGTCAGACAGACGGTACACCTCGTCAGGACCTTAAACTTCTGAGAGTGCGTGATAGTAGCTGTTGAATACCCACTAATATTGTGACTAAGTAACGCCGTATTGTTCTAATCGTGCCAACCATTCCATGGGCAGCGACTAGAATGTCCTCCCTAGGAAAGACTCAACCCACATCACTGGTTCAAAACCAATGACGAGTAGGTTTGTGTCTTTCATAATAGCCAATAAGCGCACACCAGCTCTGCTTTTGTGTCCGTCATCATTGTTGTAGTAATACCACTAGAGACGATTGCGTGGCCCTCTACGGCGTTTCTGACTGCCTACACCTACAATCTTTTCGATTGGATACTCGAGGACGCTTAGAGCTGCTCGTCATTGAGACCTTCCCAAGCTGATAGTCATATGAAAGCCTCTCGATTCGGTCCTTCACTAACGAGAATTGAATGGCGTATTTGTGTGTCTCAAAGGAGTAAAGTGCCATGAAGCCCTATAGGCGCAGTCATTATAAATGAACGGAAAGGTAAGCGTAGTCGGAATTATAAGCAGAGAGGACATAGTATTTATCAAATATTTATACTGGAATACTAATAGCGAACCCTCGAATGCTCGGCAGAGCCTGACTCACACAATCACTGGTTAAACTAGTTAAACTAGTCGGCCATTTTCTTCCTGTCATATCTCAGGGTTTGGTCTATACCTGGTGCCTAGAGATTTGCAACCGTGCGCATTGTACCGCCGTATTCTATTGTGGCTTAGAGAAGGGTGTGAAGTTAACAAAGTTGTTGCTGTTGGTGCCGTGTTCCGCAATTCCAACCAGCACTTCCTTGCCATCTTTGGTTCCAGCACTGTTGTCTACTTAGTATCCAATAGCAACTTGAATGATGTGTATCCAAGACTCACATATAACGATAACGACCTCTATCTCTGGCCGCAAAGTTACCCTCCTTATCACTGGTCGCTTTGACCTCTTTGAGGTTGGTATACCTTTCCCTCACGCTAGCGAATAGCCTTTTTTCGTCGGGGGTTCTACCACCGTCGAATGGCTTGACATGAGCTAGAAAGTACGTTAATAGAATATCTCCAGGAGAAGAAGACGACGACGAGAGGGTTGGATTGCTCACGTGAGTTCTCGGACTGCAGATAATGCCGTGCAATGGATTTATCACTGTCCCGGAAGTCATTCAAGTTGATACCGCGGGATTGGGAAGGCCCAGCTCTGGACGGTCCAGGCCGTCCTCCTCTTCCAGGATTGCCGCCATCGTTCAATGCGCCTTCTCCCTCTCCGTGGACGTTCAACTCGAACGTTCTTTCATCCCCATTGGGGCCAGGGATTTCCTGTAAATTCTCATCAAAATAGGTTTCGACGGGCTTCTTCGGTGGAGGAAGCTCGCTGACATCGCCCTCGAAGGTTCCGTAGCTGACTCCATCTGCACCGGCCGCACCAGTGGCGCCTGTCGACGCAGTATCACCAGCGCTTCCAGCATTTCCGGGTGCTTCAGGACTTCCTGCAGCCCCTGCAGCCCCCGCGGCACCAACACCACCAAGGGCTCCGCTGGCAGCACTACCAGCACTACCAGCAGCGCCTAGAACACCACCGAGAGCGGTGCCAGCTCCAATAATACCGCCGGCGATAGAGCCTACAGAGCTTCCAGAACCACCGCTACCGCTCAGGTCGGTGGGGGGCTTTGCTTCTTCACTATTCGTTGGGGTGGGACGAGGCGGTGGAGGGAAATGGGAGATGTCAGGGACCTGTTCTCCATTCTCTAGGAAGTATGTGGGCTCAACGGGCTTGGGTGGAGGAAGGTAGCACACATCCCCGTTGCAAGTGAATTCGGGGTTGGTGCCATCGATAGGTGCAGCAGATGCCGCAAGCGAAAAGAGAACGAGATCAAACGGACGCATTGTCAGAAATAAAGTAAACTAGCGTAGTTGAGATGATTAGGTCTTCTGGTCTTGCTGGAGGAAAAAATGTTGACTGGGCATGCCGTCGTTCTTATACATTATTGATTATGATGGCTGGTGGTATAGGATGTGTCTCTACAGGATGGTCTAGAACGTTGATATGACATGCTATGTAGATGCCAAGTCGGATATATTAGGAATCGAGTGATATGATGAGAGATGCTGAGTCTTTGTGACTTCTTGCCGATTGTGGAAACTGACACGATGTTAAGATTTAGGCAAAGGGTAACCACCATATTTGTCGATCACTACGAGGGCTTGGCTTAAGTCTAAACTAAAAAAAAGTTCAAACTAGTGGATCCTTCGCTAGGTGGGCTATCTGGAATTTTTTCTGGAACGCTTCAGCCCAGAGTGGAGTCGCAGAGGACTTCACAACGTTAGGATGAAGAGAGGCATTTTTCGACTTTATCCTGTCTTCAGGCGGACCAGTGAAAATTTTATGATGAATTTACACAATCTTTATCGTGAAACTGGCGTGATCGTCAGGCCTTAGCTAGAAGCCTAAGACATACGTCTTCTGACGATGTGCAGTGAGGCCTGCATGCACGGTGGGTCTCGAGGGTCGATCTAGGCCACACTAAATCGACCCTCTTAGACTAACGTTCGAGATTCCGACTGCGCCACTTCTGATAATCGAATCTGATAAGCACACCATATGTTAGCTGATCAGGCTCGGCCGAAACTCTGTCGTAACTGCCTTTAGGCAGACTACAGCTGGAACCTTGGTGATGGATATGTATGCCCTGGTGATATCAAAACCTGTCGTTAGCTTGGCATTGACTACCCTCATTGCATAATACGTTACAGCACTGCTCTGTGTGCGGAAGGTAAAAGGGGTTTGGTTATGTTCTAGAAGGTGCTACCATTCTACACAACTCATATGAGGAGTTCTTATGAAGGTAGCATAGATCGTTTAATTCACCGTTGTTTACCTCTTACATATATGTCCTCCGTACATACACCGTCATACTCTGCTCGCTGTGGGGATTTGGAAGACGTTTGACAATAGATTGGCTACTACAGATTCCCCCATTAATGGAAATCCCGCTCACCGAGACATGCAGGAAACTCTGGCAACTTAATTTCCGGACGTCTTACCGGTATGAGCAGAGCCTAGCCCGTACGCTTCATAAGGACTTACAATGATATGAATCAGTCTTTCGTTGCTGAAGTTCTCCCGTCCCGGCCATTTCCTAATTGCGTTGCATTAACGATCTCGAAGGAATCCCGCCACATCAAGGTATTCACAATTTAACTTTTTCTGAGAAATAGGATTTTAGTGGAAAAGTATGTGGATATCCCGCTCCACGGTCAGCCACCGGATTATCAGACAGGGTGGAAGTCCCTGTGGTGAAACTTTCTTGCAGAAATTGAGCATTCTGTTACATCTTAGATCCCGCTTGACCACCCGACTTTTGGGTCACTCATGTTACTTTCGCTACTATGAGCACATATTTCTACTGCATGCTGGTAACCAGGAAAGTGACGCGTATTTTTGTCGGAAGTGGCCTCTCCATCGTGGAAGTTCACTACTGCAGAAGCTATCCATCCAGAGCTGCGCATTGTCTGAGTCACTGAGAGACTGTAAATTAGCTACTATCTACTCAGCCACCCACTGAACATCAAAGAGAAGTAGAAATTAAAGAAACTCCCCCGGAACATAAGCCGACATTGAATCCTCCCACAACGAATTCGTCAACGCCCGTCCGGCGCAATCGTACAGACATCGTAGTTGCCCCCACTGACGCGTCGCGTAAACACCATCTTTATCCCATCCGGCGAGAAGGAGGGCAGCATGTCCCACCAATTCGTCAACACGGTGATGGGATACGTGCCGTTGGCAGTTATCTGGTCGAGGTGTATAATGCGCAGACCTAGCTGCGATGTATCGCCACCTTCTGCATCGGCGCCCTAAACGCGGAAGACAATCTTCGTCCCATCGGGTGAGAAGCTGGGGAACCCTGTGTTCAGGGTATTGTTGTTTCCCACTGAGAGGGGGATCGTGCTGGTCGTGAGGTTCATTGCCTCGCTGCCGTCGGCCTTGGAGCGCACGATCCACCCGCCGTTGGACGTGCGCCCGGCGAACCAGTAGCCGACGCCGTAGGTGAGCCAGTTTCCGTCAGAGGACCAGGAGGGCTGGAAAGTACCGGAGGTGCCCTTTTGGACGGAGGAGAGGGATAGGATTCCCTTTGCCACGGGGTCGAAGACGGTCTCGTTGTCTGTGCCGGTGCCATTGAGGGAGATGACGGCGGAGTCGCCGAGCTGTTTTTGGGTGATGGCTAGTTGGCCTGCGGTGTTGAGGGTTGGGAAGACGTCGGTGAACCTGTAGGTCCAGTTGAAGTCCCAGCTGTAGATAATATCTACTCTCTATGCTCTTCACCCACACCCCAACATCAACCCTACAAAGCGGCAAAAGCCACGTCCATGCCAGCTACCTATGATAGGCTACCGCAATCCCACTCGGCTGGCCATTAATGAGGCGAATCGGAGTCGCCCTCCAGTTATCCTTCTGAACACTGCTACTTCCATTAGCCCGGAAGACCATTTCAGAAAGACTCTCCGGCTCCGTATTTCGGCCAGCTCGGTGTAACTGCGCTCACATTCGACGCTTTGTTTTGTCTCCAGGAATTGGGGTCAAGGCTCGCAATAAAGCTCACCCAGATGCTGCTGATGTCATTGGCCAGAGAAGCCAGAGCTTCGTTTGAGTCGGAGCCCAGTTCGTCGGCGTTAGCGAAGACGAAGGGGAGTTCGTTGCCATGTTGCGCGGTCTCTTGGCGACACATCAGAGGCTGTTCTGTTTAGCCTTGATAGCGAGCTGTCGCATCAGGGAGAAACACGATAAAACCGACAATCTTTAGCAAGAAAGAAACAGTTAACATAATACGAAATGAAGTCATATCCTACAGCATAATCGCGCTGGGTAGTCGAGACATACTCGAATACCCTACCAATGCATGAAATCCATAAATGGGCAATATAATCCAAATAGGAAAATATGTTTCAGAGCAATAGAATAACATATTATCAAGGAGTCTAACTATTCAGAGAGATTCAACATTCAACATTCAACATTCAACATATAACCACAATATCCAATATTCTCAGAGTCCGTCACCAAGACCGCAAGGGAGGAAGGCCGTTATCGATAAGATATATGTTCACCTCCTGCACTGTATTTTCCCACAGTCCTTTCACTTGTTCGTCGTCATTGAGGACCGGATTAGGCGGATCAACTGTGCCGATGGGCACCAGAAACCTGCCCTTGTACTTCGTAGGATCTTGTCGTATCTCCATGGCGGTCGCTGCAAACAGAGGTGTCGCGGCACCCTGATCGGGTGTGCTGAAGGATAGGAGTGCTATCATCCGGACAGGGGCGTTATTACTCGACATAAGACCCTCAGTAGCAACCTCGCCTGGATGAACAGCAATGGATATGATTGGGAGACCCTGCTCGTCTAGTAGGCGTTGTAATTCTTGCGCAAACAGGGCATTGGCGGCCTTGGACACAGCGTAACGAATCATGTCAAAGCCAAAGATGAATCTCCCAAAGTAGCGCCATTGCCAGGGATACGATAACACCGGTTTTGATAGACAGGTGTGAGAGGGAAACTGGAACTTAAAGTTGCGTGGAAGCATGTCTCGGTGGGCCGTAGAACTGAGGGTTATAATCCTGGCGTCGGCATCTTCTGCAACCAGGGAATTCTTCAGAAGAGGCAAAATGCGATTAACGAGAACAAACGGTCCGACGTAGCTAAAGCTGTTAGTGTACTTATAGTTTGACCTAAGACATGTACATACTTTATAGCCATATGAAATTCCCATCCAGGGCCAACAGTCTCCGTCGAAGATGTCGCAGCTCCAGCATTATTGACTAGATAGGCAGCTGTGTCAGAAATGGAGGGTACGTTGGACGCAGAACGGGGCGTACTAAGGATGTCCACCTTGCTTTCCCTTTTCTTTAGCTCTTCGACAGCAGCAGTCACACTCTTTAGGTCGGATAGATCCAGTAGTAACCATCTGACGTTGTCTCTATTAATATCCGGATAACTGGTTCGGAGATACTCCAAAGTTGCTTGGGCCTTTGCCTCGGTCCTCGTGGTGAAGTAGACTGTCGCTCCTCGCTGATAAAGGAGTCTGGTCGTTGCTAGACCGATACCGCTGCTATAAAATTCCCTTTGTCAGTATATACCTGTAGACAGTGCATGACTCACTTATACAGACTTACTTGCCCCCTGTTACGACAGCAACCTTTCCCCTTAGATTGGGAATGTCCTGCAGCGGATCCCACAACTTCGACATTGAAGAATATTGCTGAAGTCAAAGTATACCACTTTAGAGCTGGAATGATGCTTGCCACCAGAAAGAGTTGCACGATATGGCTTCGATACTGGGTATATCAAAATTGAAGTGATACCATAGTCACAAATAAGTGCGAAGTAATCCTTATAAAGACCACGGAAGGGGCCCATCTTCACAATTTAGTCAAATCTCTGGCACGACTACCTGACTTCACGACTAAGGAACCAAGGTGTACGAAACCGAGGTGCTTTGTCAGCGGGCTCTCCTATTAATCTCAATGTACTGAATTATCTTGAGTTTGACTTTAGTCTCCATTTCAAGGTGGATGGTAGTAGTCCTAGACAAGTAACCTACTCATGAAATAGCCTGCCTCAAGATACCGGAAGCTGGGAAATTTGCAATCCGAAGGTTTCCAAGCCCTACCTTAGCTGTTATTTGTGCGCTATGCAGTTGAATAAGACCATATCACCGCCGTCCATGGATCTCGGCATCGCTTTTTGCAGCACCGAAAGTTTGTATGACCCACCTAACTAGTCCTAACTAGGTAATTCACTCGTGAATTAGCGTCAGTTTATATACTACAGCTAATAGAGTTAGCTATATGTGACACTGAAATACGAAACTCTACATTAGTGGTACTGCTACAGCAACTATCTTACAGTCACCTCGACAACTAGATAGCCTACATAAAAGATCCAAGTTGTAATAACACAGAATTTTACCAATTGCCCTAACCCGCTATGCCGTAAGACCCTCAAGGTCCCACCGGAATGAAGCGGTTAACTATGGTGGAGGTAGGTGTTTGATAGGACATTAATCCGCAGAGGCAAGCTTCCGCTGAATGGACTATAAGCTCGCAATGCTGTCAACTACTGCTTTTGATATATAGGCCGTCAAGATGACGTTTATTGGCGGTACGGATGGCTGAAATCCGCCTAGTAGTGTTCAAGCTTCGAGGCCACTTTACTGTCTATTTAACAGTGTTCAAGACCTTCATATATCATAAGTGTGATATTCTGGTACATGTGATTTATGGAACGTTCTTGTGCAGATTGAAAATCTTGAAGATAGCGGGTCTACTGTAGATTCCAGTTATTGATCACAATATGTTGATCTGTCAAGATGGAGAGAGATTGTAAAATAGTGATCAAAAACGATGTATCAGAAGACAACGCGAGAGATGACCGACCCATACGTCTTAACATAGGCGGAATGCTGGCATGTATTTCTCGTGGCGCTTGTCTGAGTATAGATAATGATTTGCTATACTGTGCCTTCGACTCAGTGATCAATGTCACATGGGTTAATTGAATAGACGGGGAGAGGGCGTCAAGGCTATCAATCACTACCTTACTGGCAAGTACCCGACAAAGCCAATAATAGTGCCAGGCTTTGACAAGCCAGCCATGTTCGCGAGAGTGAGAAGAGCATCCAAAAATAGCATCGAAGGTGAAAGTTGGAGGGAGGTTGTTGGCCCACGCAAGTAGACGTCGGTCAAAATCAATAGCTGTAGATATAAGCTGGACGTAGTCATGTGCATCGGAATGCTTTGCTCTTATTTTCAGGTCAATCAAGCTGCTCATTATATCAAACAGTTCTATCATGGGTAAAAGGGTCGTCCCCATGGAAAAGACCCTGCAGGACTGCATCAGTCCAAGTAGAAGTTTTGGAACTGTCTGCTCACAAATAAGGTAGGCGAGCGCCTATGTGACGAGAAAAACATCAGACATAACTTCGTCAGGTAGAATTGCGATAGATGGACCTACTGCAGTATAGGCAATCTGTATCAGCCCTTCTATCTCGTTAACCATCCCGTCTGGATGAAGCTTTAGCATGTTTAGGAGCACGAGCGTCCCTTTTATGTGCTTTACCCATAAGTGGGCAGCTGAAGGAGCGTCACAAGCTATCAGCTATGTTCATGTCAGCATATAGTGATAGAAAGTTCTAAACACTACGACATTTAATACCTCGAATACAGATAAATTGAAGCTGGCAGCGACTAGCGCCCCATTAACAGACTCTTTAGGCTGACCGATAGCTTTAGCGAGGAGGTTTAGCGCGGACGAATAATGGCGTCTAGCTAGAACCATCAAGTCGGGATCCTTATGCATGATTGCCAAGGCAGCTAGCCCAACAGATGTAAAACTGGAAGTAGCTGGTACAGAGTGTTGCATAGATGGTTCATTGACACACATGCGGAAACTGTCCGTAATGCTGAAATTATCGAAGAAATACTTGCACGCAATGTCCTCCACCGGCCATGACGGGGTCCGGGGCAGTGAGATTACATCCGTTGTACCCGAAGAACTATGGAATTTCTGAGTTATAGCTTCTGTTTGATCTCGAAACAGAATGTCCAACTGGTCCCTGTACCCTGAACAACGTAAACCGGCGCGTGCGCATTGAGAACATCTTGGTTTAAGTTGATTACACTGAATTTAGTTAGAGAAGAAATCCGGATTAAAACCAGTGGATAAGGGGAACATGCTCTAATTCTTCTCCTTCTGCAGTTTTCACAACTCAAACTACCTCTATTACGGAGTTCCATGATAGAGGGTGCGTTAAAGCAGTAGTCGGAAAGACGCACGACTCGTAGCCCGACGGAGCTGTTCGTGTTCATTGTGGGGCGGCTGATTATAAATAACCTCATAAATTAACCTTCTTCTCCACTACTTTAACATCCAACCCAAGGAACACTTGTCCTAACCAAGTAGGTCACTCATCAAATAGCTCCGGTTTACTAATATTGGACATTGGAGTAAACTATGACGATATGGGCTAGAGTTTGACACAGGCTAAGGAGCATTTCGCTACACCGTTCGTCTATCGGCCCTGCTGTCTCGAATATAGGAAATACCGGAAGCCACGGTACCATTGCGTTCGCTGTATGGACACCCATGGGACACGGTCGGAAATCACATAAATTGAGGTTACTTCTGCCTTTTTTGTAGGTGTGTATTATGTCTGCTTGCGGATATATATTGAAACTATCCTTTTCGCGCCTTCCAATTTATTCTAGACTTCAGTGTTTCCACTATTACTCTTCTTAGCCTCGTTTGCCCAGTAGCAATGTCTTATACTCTCAACTTGCCACCAGGATTTGCATTCACGCAGACCGTTCACAATGCCCCGTATCCTGCCATCTCGCCATCCCGACCCGAGCTTTCCCAGGTGGGGAAGACAGTGCTTATCACCGGTGGTCACACGGGTATCGGTTTCGCTATTGCGCGAGCTTTCGCCGAGGCTGGTGCAGAAAGGCTTATAATCATTGGACGACGTGATGAGTTGGTCTCTTCTGCCGTGAAGCGCCTTGAGTCTGAGTTTCCCTCGACTCAGGCTCTAGGGCGCAGATGCGACGTGGCCGATTTGGACTCTGTCAATGCACTGTGGAAGAACTTGGCAAATGGAGGCATCTTGGTCGATATCGTTGTCCTTAATGCTGCCAAGCTCTCAGCGCAGCCTATTCTCGACCTGGGGAAGGACGCTGTGTGGGACGAGTACGTTATGAATGTGCGGACGCACCTGGACTTCACGGAGCGGTTGTACAAGCAGCCAGGGGATGAAGATCGCCAAAAGGTGAGCACGAGGCAGTATCTCTATAGAAGCGGGTTAAGTGCTGACTGGAGGCTGAAGACGCTCATCAACTTGACCTCCTTGGCGATACACGAGACTCAACTCACTGGCCAGTACCCCAGTTACGGCGCAACAAAGAGCGCGGGGACAATGCTACTACAACAGATCGCCAAGGATGTGCCTGCAGAAAGGCTGCAGATAGTCAGTTACCATCCTGGTGGTATCTTCACAGAACTGGCAGAACAGGCGGGTTTCAATAGGGATGACCCGCGATGGGACGATGGTAAGTTGCATGCCCCACTTGGCATTCTAACACTTTCGACGTGCAGCTTTCTGATAACGATGCAGAAGATTTACCTGGCCAATTCGCTGTTTGGGCTGCCTCGCCGGAGGCAAGATTCCTACATGGGAGGTTCGTCTGGGCGAAGTGGGATGTAACAGAACTACTCGAGGGCCCGCTAAGGAAGCGGATTGACGAAGATAATTCTTTCCTTAAGGTGGGTGTTGTGGGGATTAAAGAGTGGGAGTCGACCCAGAGAACTCTCTAAGTCAATGGGGTTTATACATGAATGTGCTCAATGCAAGCCTATGCAGTGAGGTTTAGTGAACACGTCATGGGAGAAATAGAATATCGAAGCATCAAAATTGATGTACCGGGTATTGACATATAAGCTCCTCATAGTTATTCAAGGCCTACTTTCTGTATATTCAACATTCCCTCTCCTAAACTCTCTTTTTCTCTGATATCTTGCTCTCTCTTTGCTTTTACTCTCCTTTCTTTTTGTATATATCCTCCGTTTTGGCAGCTAGACGCTCCCAAAAGGCTCAAACCCTCACGTCCCTGTTTGCCCCTTCGATTCACGCGAAAACGTGCTTCTTAACCCTGGAAGACAGTGGTACCCGAGGTACTCGCCCTTGGGCCCACTTCGAAGTCTGCCTTTAGGTTTTTTTATTTTTCCTTTCTTTTTCTGTTCTTTTTCTTTTTCTTTTCTTTTCTTTTTTCTTTTTCTTTTTTCTTTCTTTCTTTCTTTCTTTTTTTTGCATCCACTGTTCTATTTGGCTCGTGCAGGTACGCGCTGACCCTATCGTGAATCCTGGCACCGTTGGCGAGACACGTTCACACGTTCACACCTTTACTCATGAATTCCGAGCCATCCCCACGCATCGGAATTGATACTGGAGCTATATGTCCTTCGTAAGGTACAATTATAAGTTCTTTATTATGTATGTACAGTGGCATCTGCATACAGGAGTACATGATTAGTATATAATGACCTTACCAGGAAGTTGTCTTGGGTTTTTAGACTTACGACAAGTCTTAGGCATATATATGGTAAAAATCAACTATAATATCGGCCTGACCAGATAGAAGTAACGTTTAAGAAGTTTTCACAACCTTTTACTACCCAGTCGGTGCAGTAAAAGGTTTATCATAATTTTCTGACACTGTATCTCAAAGGAAACACTCAACATAAACAGAGTATAACAGCGTGATGACTATTCTTTTTCATTTCTCTCGGTAGGAGATTCTGACTATGTTCCATGCCGACATAGGCCTTCTTATTCCTGGACCACATCGGGAGCTTCGTTCAATTCCAGCGGAATGAAATACTAGACGCACTGTTCAACAGCTACTACCATGCGCTGACGCTAACACTATTGCCGTTGATGGCCCAAAAAGCACACATATATTTGAAAAGCTCCGGATATTGCGTCGACCTGCAACCCTAATTCCAAAATCCTTCTTTCGTGCAATGGTATTGTGGTGTGTCTTATAATCCGATCTTGCCAAGCTGTTTCTCATGCGATTTTGAATAGTCTCGTATCAAATCGAAAGCATATACAAGTATAGTTTGGGTCATAGATGTGTAGTGAAGATCGAATGTCTCATACATTTCGCCTCAGCAAAACCTATACCACGAAGCTAGAGGGACGGACAGACGCTGAAAATTGAAATGCTCATTATAATAAGCTACCAAATGGTGGTCTCTAATTGGTCAAATCAGAATGGCTAACCGGTCTAGTGAAATTATAGTCTATTTTAAATTGGTGGGGTTTGGCCCCATCTCTGTTGAGGCAGAGAAACCAATCCAGTTATTTATTTTCCTGCTACCTCAAAAAGCTTTTATCCCCAGGCTACTTTCCGATCCCCCCCGCTACAGAAGATGGGTGGTTATTATGAACCTAGTGTGAACGAATTACTGGTGACAACAACACTCATAATTTTAGGCCTTGTTTTACTTCCTCTGGGGTGGCTGGGTCTCATCCTCTGGAACCTTGGTCGGATTATATCCGGTAAAACAAATGCTAGGAATGCTATATCAGACATCGGATCGGCACTAAATCTGATTTGGGCACTGCCTCTATGCATCGTCAACAATTTACGGCTTCTTCTGGTGAAGCTTTTACGAGTCTTTTACGCGTACCGAAACAAGCCCGCTCCTAGTAATATCGCGAGGCGCCATTATACTCGGCCTCTCGCGACAGGGAAGGAGATATCTGTGGATCCGTTCCTTCTGCCAAAGGAGGAGCAATACAAATACACTCCAATCCTGGGCGATCATACGATCAGACTTTTGGTCATTCAACCGGGCGCATTCGATGATTTTATCTGTGGGGACCTCGTTGAGGTAAATCTCTTGCTGGGGCCGACGTTCGACGCGCTGTCATATACCTGGGCAGATGAAAAGGGCGATGCATCACGATCGGGCAAAATCTACTGTGTGCCTGATTTTAGCGTCATTGAGATCACGAAGAACTGTGATATGGCGATCCGCCGGTTACGACATCCCAAGAAAAAACGGCGCGTTTGGATCGATGCTGTCTGCATTGACCAACAGAATGCTCAGGAACGAACCCATCAAATTGCGCATATGTCCAGGATCTTCACTTCCGCCCGTCGGGTGATTGCCTACACGGGCGAGGGGACACATCAGACAGACACGCTGTTTGACTGGCTCAACGGCCTCGAGGCATCGGAGCTGAACGTTCCTCTGATCGGAGGATTGGACGATCTTTCTCACCCTGTAGCCACAATCAAAGAACCTGCAGACCTGCGGAGGGTGATAGCGCGTATTCGGGTTGGGGTAAACGAGAGAATCATCATGGCGGGCATGTATGGGAAACGTTGCTTCTCCAATTCACTGCAGCGATCGGGGACAGCCAAGGAGAAGATAAACATTGAGGAAGCGGAGCTTACTAAATTTGCGCTCGAGTATTGCTCTCGAAGGTGGTTCAGCCGGGTCTGGATTTTACAGGAGGTGACACTACCTGATCTCCATCGCACTAGGATTGTGTGTGGCAGCAGGACCACTACAGCCGAGAGAGCATTGCATGCTCTGGGACTGCTAAAAGAGACCGGCGCAGGGAGTATTCCCCGGATATTTGTCGCGGTCCGCAAGACAACCATTTTCCCTAAACGGTCTTATCTCTTGGATATCCTCATGGAGACAAAAGACCACGTAGCCACAGATCCCCGCGATAAGATTTTTGCAGTCCTCAGTCTCTCGCAGAGTTTGGATGGGGGTACCTTCCCTGAACTCGAGGCGAATTATGAGCTGAACACACCCCAGGTATATACCAGATACTCCGCCTTCTTCATCCAGCATCACGGCCCTGGCTTTTTCCTCGCCTTGATTCAATCGCCCCAGAAGCTGCCTGGACTCCCATCCTGGGCAGCCGACTGGACGGTGCCCTGGCCGAACAGCAGAGCTGTATCTTTGAGAGACTTCCCCGCGGTTTCAAGACGCACACACGAAGAGAATATTGTGAATTTATTTAGTCAGGAGAACGGCTATGAGATCTTGACACTTATTCGCCCACAGATCCTTCGAGGCTATTTCACCCGAAACGGAGCCCTGACGGGTTTAGATGGATTAGAAGTGGAAGAAGTGGGGGGCTTGTTGGAGAACACCGTTCTGGTTGAGATATACCCAGGCTTGGCTGCGCTTCTTAGGCAAGAGGGTGATTATTATATCTTCATCCAAGTGTGCCCACACGCAATGTTCCCGGATAGTCTACTTGCGCTAGTCGAGAGATGGAGTACAGTTGTGGTAGATGGAATTGGTCCCGAGGAACTACAGAACCAGGATCGTCATCGCTTTGGATATCTGGGATCGGTTAAGCCTTTTAAAATTCGGTAATGGCGTAAAATATGTTGATTAAGGAATCAGGTGCAGATCACGCTTTGTATACCGGATTTAAACCAGTATCACCTATTAGACTTTTTGTAATGTAAAAGATGCGTTGCGGAGAACCAGGGATGAACAGCAGACATTATAAGAAGCTATCACATTTAGTAAATAATACCGAGACTGGCATATGCGCATCACTTGCCTAGATGGTATCGCACATGCCGTGGGTGCCATTGATAATACCTAGATGCTGATGAGAATAAAGACCGAATCTCAACATCGACTCCCATTACATCTTCTATGATATCCGCTTCGCTTGCCCCGTCGCCACTGCCTACAACGTCGACAACTGCTTCGCCTATACAGACTTCAACAGCAACTACATCACGAAAACCCTCCTTGCGATCCTCTTAGCCAAACACCAGTACAGCCACAGCAGGTTTCTTTCGTTGATGGTGTTGTAGGTGTCGCCACCGTCGCCTTCGTGTCATGGCTTTACATCCGACGTCGAGGAACATCACTACGTAAATGGCCAAGAGTCTCTTCTTATTCTTATGAATCCGGGTTGCAAAGTTGTTGATTGCAGGGGATTCAGCTCTTGAAGAGCTGAATTTTCACAATGGAGCACAGCCACCACGGTCAGAGGGCGGGCGTGAGACAGTAAACTTAGTTGAGTATTGACCATTGCTTGATCATCATATACTCTCAATTAGCAACAAATTACACCTATCTGCTCTGACCGTCTGAATCTAACTAAAGGGGAGAACTAAACCAATTAACAACATCGGGAACGGTGTTCTCGTCGGCCTTCAGAAACACACCAAAACTTCTTGTCCGCTGGTGATATTCTTCATCGTAAGGGCCACGCTTCGAGAGAAATTCAACCATTCGAGTATACCAATAACGACTCATAAACTCCCCGATAGGCAGCCCCAGTTCGTTGAAGCGGATTTCAAACTCAGAAACGAGCTGTTCGAGTTCATGGAGGCCTTGTTGGTCTTCCTCCCGAATGCGTTCTAGCTCTGTCTGATCCCTAACGTTTTTCCATCCAAATTCCGGCATATGGTCGATTTCAGTGCAGCACGTATGCCTTAACTGCAATGTCTCAAAGGTAAAAAATCTGATAATGGTCTGAGCAAAGCCCGGTCTGGAGTTGGTCCATGAAACAAGTAGTTGGTAGACTCGGCGGAAAAGACTGGACTCCTCTCCCAGGCCAAGTTCACAAAACATGGCAGTGATTCTAGTGGCCTTTCGAAGTGCCACCGAAACATTAGTACAACCACCAACGCAACATGCACAGACACAATCATCCCGAATAGAAGGGACAAAGAACACAGTATCTTTGTGTTCTGTGATAAGTGCCTCGAATCTGGGCCAATCTTTTGTTCCATACCGATAGTCACCTTGGATGACTCGAAAAACCTTTTCAACAACCACCGAGCTAATGTGATGAGCAACCGTCGCCTTGGATTTGGGCAACACTTCAGCCAAATTTGCTCCTTTGGAAGCAAACCATATGCACATTTCAATTTTGCATTGGGATTGATCCACTGTCATATATGAGGCCGAATTAGACAGCATCAAGGGTGTAAAACCAGACTTATCGCGGAGATCGATATCTAGAAAGCCGGCTCCGTAAAGCTCCTCACTTGCTTCGGGGAAGGCTCCACGGCAATGGTAAAGAGATCGGCCACTATTTTGGCAGTTGACCTGCAAAGAACAATCAATCTCCCATCCTTGTGCAACAAGTTCAGCATGCAATCTAGCGGCTTGGGCATCGACAATTGCATCTTTTTGGGTATTAAACTCTCTAAGCCTATTCGGCGGCAAGTAAGCTTTAGCCAAGTCCCACAGTTTCCTTCGTCGTCTGACCAGCTCTTGAATCAAGAGTGACCTTACTGTCTTAGATTTACAAGAAAAGATGTCATACACATCAAATTTGCATCCAGCTTTGAGCAATGGTGTTATGGATGCACAATAGGCATCGCAATCGTCATCGTCGGTGTCAGAAGGCTGGTAGCATGCACAGCCAAGAGAAACCGCTTTGGCGTTCGCCCCGAATTCCATAAGAATCTGTACCCCTAGAGGCCAACCAATCGCCAATTCAAGCAACGATACGGCCCTAATCTTTTGATCAGGCTGTGCGGTGTTCCGGTTAAGTGCTTCTCTAAGCTCTTGATCGGATTCCCGAAGGATGATCTTTACTATGTCTGGGAGATTGATGCCTTGAAACAGAGTTAGAACTCAGTAACATCATGAAAATGGGAATATTCACTCACACTCTTCATCCATAAGAAGAAGGCCCTGCATGTTCTGTCTTCCAAGCCGTGTATGTGGTAGAAATTTGATAGGACCGCCAAGCTCAATCAGGTGCGAGGCGAAACTGTAATCGTGTCCAACCCAGCGAAATGCAGAGCACAGGTAGCTTAAAACTCCAAGTGAAAAGGCGTTATTTGGAATAGACCCATTTTCAATCATAAAGTGAACAAATCTATACACATTACAATGTTCCTGCCCAGCAAGGACGGGAGTGAAAGACTAGAGAGATTGATCTTACATTTTTGGCCAAATAAGTTATGGTGACCTACATCCACGAGTGAATATGCTGGTTCCCGACTATAGCCTCCATATCTCACTATGTCGGATGGGGCAGACTTTCCTTCGGAAAATGAAATTTGAAACTCATGAACCAAATCATCCAAGTTTCCGTTAAACATGGGAAAGCAGAGATGATCAAATGTGTTGAACATGCGGAGTCTTCGGGCGACCCAGCTATGTTCTCCCAGGAGAGCTTGTACTCGTAAAGTCGGTGCAATTGAAAACCCTCCGGCTCCAGTTGAAACTGAGTATGACAGACTGATAGCACGACTTAACCAGTAACTGTGATATTGATACGACTTCTCCACGAGCTTTGCTCGAAACTTGCGTTTGCTTCGGTGAACAGACATTAGCGAGGGCTGACCGCCATACCACGCCTGGTAAGTCGGGTCGCTTTCTTCAACTTTGGTCTTCGCTACCCTTTGCGAATCTTTGTTGGATACCTGTTTATGTTCGATAGGTCGATCACAGAATGATCGAAGTAGTCCCGGCGCTGGGATGGTCCCCAATGACGCGCTCCTCATGGTAAGACGCTAATATAACCTCTCAGTCGTTAAGCAACTAAGAGTGATGGGAAGCATTACCATCTCTTCGATAAGTTGGAGCATTTTCTCTTCTCTACTCTCGGACTTCTGCACCTTCTGAGCATTGAATCTTACTTCCATTAGTCAGAGCACCTTTTCCAAAGAAGCTGTATTAACTCATAGTTCACTTACATAGCTAGTACTGTCTGTATAGTTTGTCTGCATACTGTCCATATCAGCCTTCATAGCGCACAAAGAGTCTCGCGCAACAATCGGATATGCGGTTTTCTTGAGCTTATGGCGAAATTTGCTAATGCTACTATCACGGAGAGCAGGTCTATACTGGTCGATATGTCTCTTGACTTTTTCTATCTGACAGTGAAGACCTATGGCCTTCTGATTGAGGTCTCTCGCAACCGCAGGATCGGTGAGTCGGATATCCGCCACGAACTCGCGTAGTGCTTTCAAGACTGTTTGCAGCTCTTCAGCCTTAATACCAACGGCCAGAATATCCTCGTCGTGGGATCGCCATGCTGCCGTATAGGAGATAATCTCCTTGCACAGCTGAATACCAAGCGAAATGATGCCAACTGCACCTCCTGCAACCGATAATGGGTCGGACATAATAGGCGGATAGGGTCTGCTGTTTGTGTATGAAGTAATTTAGAAACTCGAAGTGCAAGATTGCAAAGTCGTAAGTAGAGCTCAGGTAATCTAGCAGCCATACAAGACTAATGTTGGACTCTTGGTCAGGGTCAATAGAGCAGAGTCGAAGGTATATAAGTTCGGTTGAGCAAAGGGTCCAAGGTTGGCCACGTAACCTCGAGGCTGAATGCAAGGCTGACCATCCATTCACACGTGACGTTTCGTACGTGGGCCTTTAGGAGTTGCTACACTACTTGCACCTTTTTGATGTAAAATCCCGAGCTATCCATTGATATGGACATATGCCAACGGCCCTAGTGTTTTGGGCCGGGCGATATGAGCTAATTTCCTTGTGCCTAGGTAATGCAATATTCGCGAGATAGAGGGCGATGATGGGTGTTTCGCCCGCTTTGTATTGCGCACTAAGCCTTATAACCCCGTTCGCGACGGCAGTTCAGCGCTCACCTTGTACTCACCTGTTATTATCCTTGCTTCTGAAACCTGTTTGATGGCGTACAGTCCATAATAAAAGGGTATTTCTAGGCAGGCTAGTAGATATCGAGAGCTAGAGTCCAACACAAAGTCAACTAGGGGATATTATCGACCGGGCCATTATAGAAGTCGCCTCCTGTCCTATGTGGCTTGCTAAAACCTATATGCTGATCAGATAGCTAGGTCATACCGGGGCAAAGACAAATTTGATGTCAGAAATTGTCCACGCTCGAGACTGACTAAACGACCTTTAACCAGAGCTCTAATATATTCTCGTATATTAGTGTCAGGCTTCTATTCTATTATGGCAGCAATTTATTGGTCCCATTCCTTAGGGCTTTGTTGATCCCTTCGCACAATCGTCACTATATGGTATGCGACTTGGCATATCCCTGTTGAACCAATTTTTCGTCTTACTCTGTGGTTCTCCGTCGGAGACACTGGAGCCATTTATAGAAGTGTCACATGTCTGGGTCACATGCTGAGCATGCTTTTAGATAGTGAGGTAGAACCGAAGGAGAGAACAACTACTTCAAGGGATAGGAGAAGAATATACAAATGACTTATCACGTTTCCGCTACCGATATGACAAGAAGTCTATATACTGGATTTATAGTCACCGATTCCATGGACCACTCTAGACACAGAGGCATAGGAGTGGCAGGTTTTTTTGACCCAGAGTATCTGCAGAATTCATATCGCATTCATCCTCGCAGAAATGAAGATTGGATAGATCACATTACAATGTCGATGAGAATGTTGAAGATGTGGACGCGATTTAAGCGGCTTTTAGATATGGTACAGAAGATCTCAATCCTACCTCTATTGAAGTATGATACCCGTTATATGCAACAAGTTGTTGCATTTTAGATTCCCCTAGAACTTCCATATAAAGTCTGGCCCAACAGCCGTCCTTTCCAATTAATGTCATGATTACAATCAGTGATCGATGGTCCTGCTATATTGCTGATATTGTCAACAATGCTATTACTATAGAGGTAGTAACAAGGGTATGCTGTTTTTGCCTGTCCCAGGCCACCATAAAGATGAAAAGGTCCAGTCGAGAGAGAGACAGCTCAACATAATTAACATTACATGTGATAGTTCTTTATGTGCAATAGCACCATCCTGTCCATCAGGCCTGGAGAATGTGTCTCATAAACCCAACTCCACCGACAGGGTACTCTCACTGCTTCTCTGACTTGGCCTTTTCGAGTTTGGGAAAGTCTTTATTCCCACGGGAGCTTGGGGCAGGAAAGCCCTGAGTACCAGGAGTCTTCGGCTTGACGCTCTTCTTAATAACATCGAAATCCATGCCAGCTGGCCCAGTGAAAGCCTTGCAGCCCCAGTTCTCGCCACATGCCGCTTCATTCTGCGCATCAGTATTGGATTGGTTACCACAAGGATTCATGATATTGCCCTTTTTCATCAGGTTGCCGTTTTGGTCCACCCTCGTCCATGCAACAATCTTGGGCTTCTGGTTATCCACCTTGGTTTTTCTCAGATCCTTGCCCGTATTTTCCAAACGATACAGGAGAGATGCCATCACCTCACCACAGCTAGCCGAGGTCCGATGCTGATCCAAAGTGTACCCACCGCCAGCAGGTTGCTCCTTCTGTTTCTTGTGGTCCTGGCTGTCTATGCTGACTTCCTTCAAGGCTTGCATAACATCCTTGGCGTTGCTCTTCAAAACATTGGTAAATTCAGCAAATTCATCCTCGGGCGCAGGAGTCTTGGGAGCAGGAGTCTGCGGCTGCTTCTTCTTGTCCTTGACATTTTTGCTGCCACTACCGTTAGGCTTCTTCTTCTCGTCTACCTTCTTAGTCTCCTTCTCCGTGTAGATATAACTGTCGCCGCCGCCGCCCTTCATGCTAGATGCCAGATAGACCTCATCGCCGACTTGCAAGGCGCTCATGACGCGCGGGATCGTGTTTCCATTGAATGACTTCGTTCCCTTTTTCGTGTGATCGCTTAACATCTCATCCCAGGCGGCTTCAGCCAATCCAACAATTTGTTCATCGGTGAGCTTGGTGCCCTTTTTGAACTTGACGATGGACTTGTACTCGATGAAGTCTCCCTTGCCTCCCTTAATTGCCTGCTTTGTGATACCAACGGGAACCGGCGTGGTAGGCGGAGGCGCCCTAGCTTCTAAATCGATCGGTGTTGCTCCTACCAGAGCGGCGAACAGGTAGAAAAGGAAATAACAGATTTTGGGAAGCATTTTGAGATTGCCCCCTTGGGATTAGGATTAAGCTGTATAGTAAAGGATTAATTCAATGGGTGAATGAGCGAATAATTTCAAAAGAAAGAAAGAAATGAGAGCGAGAGAGTGAGACTCTGAATGAATGAATGATTATTGAAAGAATGGCTGATGAGAGTAGGAACAGAACGTAGAGATGCAATGGGGAGATATTAATACCATTTCACAAGTTATGGCTATCTACACTAAGGTCGATGGCAAGCGAGTTCTCTATGCCTATGGGGCTGCTTGGACATTCATCAACTTAGTCGATCTGTAGAGTTTTGGCCCCAGCCATATCTTCCATCGCCCCTGCAGACTTTCCTCGTCCTGTGGAGCCAGCATGGCATCCGACAGTGGAGCAGTGAGCCGTTATTCCTCTTGGCTGGAACGCATAGCCTATACACGGACATGCAAACGACGCCATGTATAAGCGATCCTCGAGACTCAGCGCCTGGTATATTCAAAGCCATTGATGCATCGGGAATAGAATCCACAATCCTGCGTGCATGCTCATCTTTTAAGTCTGAAACCGTCGTTTCAAAATGCTGTAGATCTGACCCTGGCTTGATCCTGATACCCATCGCCATAGTTGGAGCCCCCATGGGACGTGATGCAGCCCCCCGGTGTCTCGGAAAAGCCTTCTTTACGGTTCTTTCGCGACGTGGAAACCACTGCTGAGTTTTATGTTTGGATACAAAATAGCCCCTACGCAGTGGAACTATCTACAGCTTTAATCGAGGCATTTTCTCCGTGCTAGGTTCCTTACTGAAAACGTACTTACTAATGGTAGTTGTGAAAAGTTATGGAGTGGCTTTCGTTACGTAAACAAGGACCACTCATTAGTCGAAGTGAAGCCGATCAAGAGCTGCGTTAGAGCGAGGAATTATCACAATAGTGATATACAGGCGTCAGTCGGTATACTCCGCAGTCGGCTAGGGTATGGACCTTGCACGTGCGAGGGGGCGGCCGACCAAACAAATTTTATTTATCGGTAACTTCCCGACGTTTCGGCACGAACCGAGAGGCCAGCTTTTTAGTGAAGCTCACAACCGAGATTTATGCTCGAGCTTGCCGGGTCTCCCTTGGCGTGGTTGCAGATCAGCATCAGGCGTACCCCCTGAACCATACATGAGTGCTAAATCTGGTCTTCTTTCTCAGATCTATACTTCATTGGGTGGTGTCAATGCTCGTCAATTTTTGCTTTTTGTTTCCGCACAAATGCCACCTCAGGAAACTGATACACGCAATTCCCATTCTATGACAACTCTTGCAATATTTCCTGCGGTACCCTCATCATACGATTGATGCCACTCCTTCGTATTCTCCTATACCAAGGGTGTGTGAATCCACTTCTTCACCCCTGCACTAGTCGCCTCGTATTATCGGCACTAGCCCGCACTTGTCGCCTGCAGGTTCACAACCTAGATCTCCCACTTACCCTTTTCAGCCGCTCTTCCTACAACAGTTTCTCCTCCCATCCTTGCAGAATGGCATCTAACAAGCCAACCTCGCAAGAGGACAAGTATGTCTGTAGCATGCCCCCTATCTCAACAGACTGCTAATCTAGCCTAGGCCGTTCTCGCAACTTCCCGCCGATTGTCTGGTATCTATCCTGGACCAACTCTCTGTAGAGGAATCCTTAGCGGTGTCTGCCACCTGCAGAGACTTCCACGCCTTGGCTGTACCTTTCGCTTATCGCGAGGTTGCCTTAGACTGGTCCACGCGGCCTCTGCACCGGCTCCTCCAGTTATTGCGATTAATATTGAACAATCCCGATATAGCATCTTACATTCAACATGTCAGTCTGGTGTCCTCTGACCCAGGACTCTGGGAAGACACCCAGCCAGATATGGATTGGGAAACAGAGTCACCTAATCTCTGTGATGTTATCAATCAGTCTATAGATATTGTCCGGGGGGCTAGGTTCAGTGACATCGATGACTGGACGCTGGGTCTTAACGGCGGAAATATCTACTGCTTTGCAGCGATCTTCCTTTCCCAGCTTCCTAATTTGAAGTCTCTGCGCCTAGACTATTCTTTAGTCTGGTGGGACGGTTATCCGGGTGTGATGCTGAAACAAGCGCTCCTTGCCCCTAATGGTGTACTGTCCACGTTCCAACATCTCGAGGTAGTAGACTACGGAGGCAACGTACCTCTTGGTGAGAACGAGGACTTTTACGGTAGCGAAGACCCTGATGGCTATCCTCCATACAATCCTGATCAATTCCTACCCTGGTTCTGTCTACCATCTCTACGGCACTTGAATATCTGGTTGCGAGACATCGAAGAACTGCAGGAAACGGTCCCAGAGCTGCAGCTCGACAAACTAGAAACTCTCATCCTCGCACGAACCACCATATCCGATGCGGACGTGGCCTTCTTACTCTCCCGCACCCCCAATCTACGAACCCTCCACGTTGGGATGGCCTACGCCTTCGGTGTCGAGAAAATTGTCCCTGATCCACCCATGCTCGCCCAGGCCCTGAAGTCCGTAGGTAGTACCGTACATAGCCTCTCCCTGGGCGTCGAACAATACCCTGGCAGCTTGGGCGACCGTTTCTGGGGCGGTGAAGAGGACCACATCTACGATTCATTCCGTGGTATCCTACACTCTTTGCCGCACCTAGTATCAGCGGAGATATCCCTATCCGTCCTCCTGGGCTGGTATGTAGAAGGTGCGCCTGATCTGGGTCCTCTGCTGCCCAAATCCCTGCGTAGACTGTGTCTACGGGAGGATCTGAGGATTTTTTATGATTTCGAGTGGGAGCAAGAAGAGGTGAAAAAGCTCCTCCATGCATTTCTCCCTACCTGGCGTGATCACACCCCCGAGTTGCAAAGTATTACCTGGCGGTTGCTGAACCAGAATTATATGGAAGGATGGGAGGAATTCCAGGATGAGTTGCGCAAGGATTGTGCCGATGCCGGCCTGACGCTGGAGCTCGTGGTCGATGATCTTGGGACGGGACTGTGGAGCCGGGATGAGTCTCCTTTTTGAACCGGCGAAATAACGAATAATTAGAAAATAAAAGCCGTTAATGGGAGTGAATCTCTGATATGACCTGGGCAGAGGTCAATCAATATAGACGAAAATAATCTTCATGCGGTGGGACAAATTACAAGGATCGTCGATTCTCCCCAACCTGAAGTCTTAACTCATTGTAGAATTCCTTTCAGGACACGTCCATAGCGAGACCTATATAAATAATAATATATATCTGTATGACCCTCTATCTTGGCTTGTGTAGTGTTCATGCATATATATTTATATAGGAAGGGCCTCTCGCTCCCCGTAGATGCGCAGCGGAATTTTCTCTCGCTCCCTACCTTTGCTGCGCGTAGTATAAGAATAAACAGAATATCGTGAATCATGTCGGATTCTTGGCAGCAGCATCTCCTCTCTGGCACCTGCTTTTTATGTGATTCAGGAACACAGACATGCCCGCCTCTCATGTTCATATCCTACAGTCCCGGATAACATCTGAAGATGGGATATCTACTCTGAGCGACTCAGTGGGTGGGTATAACTATTGAGCTCCATGCTTACTACTTTTATGCGATGAATACACTGAAAGTCTGTTTACTTTAGTTCCTTTGTCCAATAGTATCGGGAAGACAGTGTTGGATAATTTAAATAAAGTGAGAAGGAATATACCTCTTACTCGCCTTTTTATCCAAAATAGCTATTAGGTGGAGACATTAAAGCCCCAGAATATCAGTATCGGTTAGAAAGTTCGGATAAATTTGGTAATATTTGATTAAACTCCGAGAAGAGTCTGGGGAGAAAAATTATCGGCTACTTCTTTATTAAATAGCTTTTTAATAGCAGATTCTGGGCTGTCTGATTATCAGTGTATATCATCTAATCCAAAGTAGCGGGCCAACTCTAACAATAGAAAATATACAAGGTTCGGCCTTTGTCCTTGGCATAGTACTGTCGAATATTATCCGGGTCTTCTGAATTACTTTAATAACTTCTAATACTGAAAAGAATTTCCTGGAGTAGATCGGTACAGATACTACTTGTAGAAAGATATTATTCTTTCTATTATCTATTTTCTGTAGAAAAAAGAAGTAGATCTTCAGTTCAATACGACAGGTATAGATATAATAGTACATCTGTAAAGAGGGTATCAATAGAGTTGATCGGGTCCCCCGACCCGAAGAACCCGACCCGATATCAACTCTATAGACGGGCGATTCATGGGCCCGCAGGTAGTAGCGGATACCAAGATTGAATTTGCCTTTGCTTGGGTGCCATATGGACAGTTGAGGGAGAATGGAGGCTAGGTGAGTAAAGCAGCACAAATTATATTTAGGAAGTCGTATAAAAGCTGACGAGTAGCGTGAGGGGAGGTGCGAAGCTCAGCGATCCTGATTGATGGTAAAGGATCCTCATTAAAAGAGCATAGACAAAGTAGAAAGAAGAGAAAGTCGTGGGCAAATGATAAAAATTGGAGAGAGAAGTTGGAGGGGCTGTTGGGGTCCTTGATAGAACGATGCACGGGGACGAACAACGACAGAATTCGGCAGAGACCGTCACCGAGAATTCAGAGCGGAGTGAAATTTGCTTGCGTCCCAGAATGCTGTGCTCCGTTTCTCTATCTCTATAGAGTACTAGTGCCTAGAAAGTGTATTAATTTTTGTTTCTTGTATCCGGAGTCCTTCAGAGAACAATCTCCTGTGAGGATAAGGCTGGCTAACCAGCCGATATGGATCCACTGTCCAGATAGCATCATATGACCACAAGTAGGATCTCAACTTTTTGCTGCGCACCTTGGGATATCCTCCTCTGGCGCGATGCTCGCTGATCGGCACCAACTGTTTTGCTTAATGCAGGGTTTATCTTAGCATGTACCCACTTAGTCAAAGACGAACGATGGCGGAAGCTTTTAGCCCTATACTAGCTTATGCCAACACACCAACGATACCCTGCGCCAATTTAAATACTTATTGAGATCAATATTGGGATCAACACATCGCGTAATGTTTTGGCATGGTAGGGTTACATCGGGCCAACCAAACGCACGTAACGGCGCCGAACTACTACGGAGTGCGTGCTTAGTTTCCTGCACGATGACTGCGGCAACGACGGATCAGATTAGACCTACATTAGACCGGCACGGACCGGGGTCTAATTGACCACGGAGCTGAGACACCCAGATACCCTGGCGTCATAAGTACGTTCTCCTGCCATTATAGGATTGGAGACGTGTGATATCGGAATATGTCGGATGGGCATCATGAGCCTCTTTGACGCGAACTATCGTCTATCACTCGGTCCATAGGGCTTGAAGCCGCACAATATCTGCCTTGGGAATGTCATTTGTACCAATAAGAAACAAAAAGCATACGCTACCTACTCAAGCGAAAAGTAAGCCTCATTTCAGCAGAGGAGAATAGAGTGTATAGAATTAGGTCTTACCGGTACATAAATTTGCATATTGCTTACAAAACATCCTACTTCATTCTTCGCTTACTAGTAACCTGATTCTCTTGCAGCTACTACAGCAGGATTTTCGGCGACCTTTGATTGTATTTACTGCTTTCTTATAATATTCAGAGGGCCCCTTTACAGATGTAACTCCTGACATAATAGAGCTATGATGCCCCTTGTGGTTGCGGTATGCGATCCAAGGAGGGACTAGAGACAGGAGTTATATTTCCTTCAAAGGAACAAAACTAAATCATATCTGTAGCTCAATCATTCAATTCAACGAGATTAGCCAGACACCTCCTCGATCCAAGGCAGGTGAAGACAGAAGGCTGTCACAGTAAGACCAAATTAGCCTGATAGAGACCTGCCCTGAATATTTAGCCTGAATACTATAGGTACACGGCATATCTCTCAAGTCCTGGTTAAAATTTATGATAGCCAGACAATAAGAGGTATAATAGGTATCACAGCGGCTGATCCTTTTTCTACACCAGTAATTGATTAGCAAGTGGATCATGAAGGATGTTTCGGCCCCAACATATCTTGGCATTCACATATTCTATAAATAAATCACCGCTCTTTTTTCTAAATTAACTCCAGGGACGGCTCAGGCTGGCACTAGTGACGCAATGCAGCACAGTTACCACCTCACGGCATATTAAACTGAGACTGGGAAGACTCGACACTCTATCGAAATAGGCTCCGTTGTCCTTTTATAATCCAAATAAACTCGACACCGCACCCCCCATATAACCCATATAGAGGTCAAAAATAAGAAGGCTCGGACATTGGAGAGATCACTGATTAACATCAAGAAAGTTTAGATCTACACGAAAGTAGTGGGATAGAAAGTAATACTCTATATTACTTATGAACTTGATACAAAGGTATATAAATAGCAACAATTATAGAGAAGAATTCCTATCTACTCCTGCAAATTCTTATCCTTGCTCTTCCTCAAAATCTTCTCTTTAAATCCTCGCTTCTATGCTAAATATACATATATATTATTTCGAAAGAAAAGCGATATATAAATACACCTTCAAAACAATATCCATAATGTGTTAGACTGACATTTTCTGTCTCTTCATCTCTGCTGCCAGTGCTATGAGATACTATAAGTCTTTTGTTCTCAGAGGACACAGCCAGCTTGATAAAAGAGCATTTTAATACCCTTGTAATTGATGAAGTGAGGATTGTTGCTCGATCTGTAACAGACAACCATGGAACTTATGACAGATCCGACTTCTTAGCAGCCGAGCTGGGAATTTTCAACAAAACGGTCTCCGACATTTTTGGCCCGTCTATATATGGTTTCAATGCTACCGAAGCCAGAGACCTCGAAGTCAGGGCTGCTGTGAACGCTCAATATAAAAGTTATGGTAGAATCGAGGATTATTTGACTAAGGACCAGATTTTTTACGTGTGCACCGCCATCTCTCTCAGTACAGTGTCCGGTATATGGCAGATAATTTATGTTGTTGAGAGTAAAATGTATATTAAAGCTGGTACTGGGTATCTATTGGAATCTTGTAAGAGTGTCATGGGCTTCCTTAAGATAAGTGGTCCGATGTTGATCTCCGCTGAAGTTAATCAGTATTGTGCTTCCTTGTCAAGTGTAATGGCGCCGATGCCGCGGCAACTTACGAGAAAAATAATGGGTTGAGATGACTATATTTAATAGTCAGAAAGACTACAACTGCGACAATATGGAATCAGATAGGATGGAATACAACAAGGAAACTATTAGCTAAAGCCTTGAGTATTATGGAGATGTACATATATTTAATTTTGTCCTATAGAACATTTCTTTTTATATATACTGAGTGTATTGAAATCTCCAATACTTGATACAAAATTCCTGCATAGCCACAAATTTCTTGCCCAGCCACAATATTACTATTCTTCGCCATTGTGGTTCTTGGTCTATCAGGAAAATAATAGTAGTCGTAGCTCACCATATGTAGCACTATTTTCTTATGTGAATTGGCTTTGATTACTGTTGCTTTACGGCTTTTCTAGAAAACACATATTCTATCTATTTATATACCTCTGTATCTTTTATATAAAAATTGACCGAGCCAGTTAATAAAACCCATAATAAACATACGGAGGCACCAGTAAGTGTAGCTCTCACTCTCCCCCGATCTCTCATAGCCAAACACAAGGCCCTCGAGCTCCATGGCAATAAACATCGACACCATAGAAGCCACAAATTCCTCATTGGCTCTCCGCGTCCAAATTTTACGGGAAGTATTAGGGTGGTCTCGCTGTTCATTCTTCATGTTGCTATATGTAATGATGCAACACCAGGAACTGTACTATTAGATTGCCGGATATTAATTCACCGAATATTGACTTCCATTAGGATATCAGGCGTAACTTACACTATTGAATGCAGTTTCAGTGGTGGATGAAGTAAGGACGAGTAGATTGAAGCGTCAGGGTTCTAAGAGATTGGTACGGTCTAGGAGGAGGGTTAGAGGTTATGGGCAAGTGGGTTGCGGTCGGACTATATGTTTAGTCTAACCGTCCTCTAGTTTGACCAAATGTCTCAGTTGAGGTCAGCCATTACTACATCCTTCGCCCCCACGCGTGCACTAGGTACTCCCTATATGGGGCCCGATTACGACCATTGCACATGGAAATCTATGTTTCTAGCCTTTTAGATAGTCTGAAGCCAAAGCTAAATCCACAGAGAGGTACAACACAGCCTACTCCTCCCTGTAGCTCTATTCCCTAAGGGCTGCTGACTTCCATCCCTATCATTTCACTGGTCTTCTTAAAAGAATGCGGTATGTATTCACACACCCCTATACCTGTCATACGATTCTTGGGCCAGCCAATTAGGGAAACTTATCGACATAACTCGGGGGAACAAAAAAAAGTCCAGCTCTCACTCTCACACGGTCCCCTACAACCCAGGGTATAAGATATCAGTTCAAGGGCAATCCAGGTAAACAACATATAAATCATGGCTTTCTCCCCTGGGAGCCCAGAAAAAGCTCATCTCAACCATATGAGAAGGATTGTGTCGTTCTGGGTCTTGAGTCTTCACATTGTTGCATATGATCAAGCGCAACCGGGTAATGGAATGTTAACTAAGCACTCTCTTGAACATTACGCATAATTTACCTGCCTTGGTACTTTATCCAACCAGTATCCAAACTAGCGTTGGTGGCTCATGAAGCAAACAGTAATAGTAGTCCATGTTAGAAGGTGTGTATTGGGGACACTCCCACTTTTACTAACGTACTCGGTAAGCCAGCCGCACCCCTCTAATTTCCATAGAAAACCGTCTATTTTCAAAAAGAAAATATCTCAACCATTCCTGAATAGATTCGTTTAAAATTAGGCTATCTTATTAACATCAGTATCCTTTATATATAAATTTAATTCAAATTAAAAAAGAGGTCTTGAAATATATAAATCCTAACAATATACAATAGAATATGCTATAATGTATCTTTATTTAGTAACTAGAAGGTGAAAAGGTCTCTTAGCTTAGTATATTCTTATTCTAGTATATAATAAGCCACATATAAACTTTTAAGCTGATAGAAACTGGATTGGTTGAGATATTGTTGTTTGAAAATAGGCGATTTTCTATGGAAATCAGAGGGGTGCGGCTGGCTTACAGGTACGGCTCGCTTGGCAGATACGTTACTCGTTTACTGTGGATGTGTATGTTGGAGGTATCACCGTTCTGTTTGATCCAGCGGGGGACGAATATAGACGATATATAATACACCATGGAGCTCGCCATAACCCGAGCGACACGGCATGGTATCCAGGGTCCTAGGTGGTGGTCTTGCAGGTGATCAAGAGAATTGGGAGAGCGGGGATAGATGAGCCTTGTTGCTGGAGCGCGCTGGGTGGACCGCTGTAATAATTAGTTCAGAGACGGGCAATGGGGCCCAGCGCTAACTAGCATGGTCCGCCCTCGCGAGTAATTGGGTGTTTCGTCCTAGCGCCGTGCACGTTGTCCCTAGGAGTCACCCCTACCCTGATGGACAAATCATAAGAGGCGCCTATATTTATACCCCTGTTACTCAGTGTAGTATTCCAGCCTTGGTGAAAATGGGGGTTTCTGAGTCAACAGCCCCGCCACGGCGTGCTTGGGGAGTTCACTGACTGGCGCCCAAACGTCATGGCTATGTATGATAGTAAGAGTAGCAAAATTAGAAGAAAGATAACTATGGTCAGCCTATGCGTGATATAAAATATTCTTCGGGGTCATATTCTAGACAGAAATCAGCGAACAGTACTCCGTATCTCCCGTTCCATCCCACACGTCTTCTCTCCACTCCCCTTTTGTTTATCTTACCTCCTTAGTTGATTCACCTATTCCTTCCTGAAGCTGCCTTGGTGTGCTTGATACTGTTAATAGAATGTTGTTCACGGACGAGTAGGTCCGTACGGCCCGCCCCGTATATTAAACAATGTACATAGGTATATCTCTATAGCAGTACAGAATCAAATCAAACAGTTTATATACATTATAGCACAGTGGACGTTCCTAGAGGGGGCATAATAATTCATTATATTGTCCAGTGTTGGAAAAAGTCTTCCATCTCTTGTACGGTATTCCGAATATACTCAGCAGCATCCTTGTCCGCGATCGGGCGCCACCATTTCTGGTGGAGGGACTTGAAGTTATCCAAATCATCTTTACTAACCGCTATCGGCTTATGATTCCAACCAGGTCCCAACTCCCGCCAAGGCATCCGGCTGTCTGTTTTATGAGCAAAGTTCAGAAGATTCTGTTCGGGGTACGATGCATCGAACCGGTCCGGTGTATCGAGAAGGGAAACATAGTAGTCAAAGAGTAGCTCGGAGGGCGAGCAGACGAAAAAGCCTGCGTTCATATAATTGTTTACCACGTAGAATTCTTTCCCGGGGACCGGAGGCAGTGCCATCTCCACCCACCGATCATGGATACCGGAGAGGAGGTATGTTTCGGGCAGAGGAACAGTAATGTTCATGTTACCATCCACGCCTTCTCGATCGGGTGCGGTTTGTTGGATATCCGTGGTGGGGTCGGTGAAGATATCATCTAAAGGATGGAGAATAATACTATCAGCGTCCATAAACGCGATCTTCTCAAACTCAGTAAGCCTCCATAAGTTCAGCTTTGCAAGAACATCGACCCAGCGACTCCATTTTGGGTGGATCCATTCTCGTTCAAGGGTTTCAGCTGGAATAACTGTAGCACCCTCCTTTGAAAGGATGTCCCGTTGCTCTTGCGGTATATCCTTCGTCACCAGAACAAGGAAAGGGATATGACTTGCGCGCGACTTTGTTTGGGGGCTGTAGAGAAGTTGGTAGGTGAGTAGTCGTGTTGCCGTGAAATAGGCATCCTTGACCTCCGTCTCAGCGTCCCCTTCTCCAGTGATTATTGTTGCAAAGGCGTATTTTGGCTTCGGGGAGGCGTCCACCGGCTCTGTGACAATTGGAGAGGCAGTATTAATTGGAGTCGTGCTGGAAGAGCTTTGTGGGCTGGCATGGGTTATAGAAGGCGTATCGAGATGGAAAGCAATTGGAGGAGATATTGACGCTATTCCCTGCGTCAATGCAAGGGCAAGTGCCGTTCCAGCAACAAGCACTACAAATTTTCCTACTCGTGATAATGACTTCCAACCCAAAGTTCTAGACATGTTGAGGGGTGATGTGCTATCGCAATTATGAATATTTCTGAAAGAGTGGACACCAAAGAAGCCACATGTTGCATGGCTAGCTATTATAAACAATAGGAACGCTAGATATAACCCTTGACCCCCCAACATGAAATTACATTTGGAAAACGTGTGGGTTGGTCTGGCTTGTGGGACTTTTGCCCGGTTACTATCAATTGACCCGCTCAGCCTACCATCGATTGGCCATACAAGTCTGTGTTGGCGCTATGAAACCCTGTGGGGCTTAGAATAACCCTTGATGGCTCCTCTACCTCAAGCCAGGTTGTGACCCCTGCCAAATACGACGCTGTCTCGTTTCTTGGCAACCCTTAAGCTCAAAATGGCGTAGGCTACTATATCCACACTAGGCACGATGAAGCGCTGACGCCCAGCAGCTAATGCACCGATTGACTCGCTCTGAAAATGAAAGCCCCGTGGATCTACCCTAGTCCTTGACACTCCAAAGTCATATCAGTATATCCGGGTCTCAACGTGATACGTCCCGAATGACAACCGTTCATATTTCTCCGCTTATTCCTCAAAAAAAGTATACATGACCACTAGGACCACGGTCACCCCTTGTCCTATGTTTAAGGGCTCAGGCGACACTTCCTCCTACAACAGCCTTAATGGTTCATCTCAAGACATGACTGGTCACTTCTTCATAAATCCTTCATTGATTATTCCTATCTACAATCCCTAGACCTAAGCAACATTTAACGGCCGACAGAACCCCCTTTCCACGCCACTTAGGGCCGCTAAGCCAAAATCCCTTACTAACAATCTAACCATGCTTCACCCCGGTGCGGTCTCTACATAAAGTGTCTGAAAGCTATGGTCTTCTCTGGGAAAAGTCCTGAATGGACTAAGCAACAGACTAGGGCTAAACCTGGGATGGTTTCTTTGTATAGCGCCCCTACAAGTCATACTACCCGAAGAAGAGAGTATAATTGATTGCCGGAAGGAAATACGCGCTACTTGAATGACCCGCACATATCCCGCGGTAGAGTAACTGACTGTACTAGGACATTAACAGTGTGTTCTGCAGTATTATATAAGTAAACAATCAAATAAACTCGTTTTTAAGGTTGTTTTTCTTATGGCTAGCACAGCTGCGAGGCCTAGTATTATGACAAAACGTCCCGTAGGTTGAATCCCTTAATTAAATTAATTATGTTGCTTGAGTCTATCAACATAACTGTGGAAGGAAATCGCTTAGGAAGAACAACAGCGCTAGGCCTAACTAGGTAGTGTCAACATATTTAGTACCCCATAAGCTAGTGACGGGTTAGTGGTAGTGCCTTACTAGAAGAAAATTGTGTACTTACTGATTGCGAAGCAGCAAATCTGTCTCATGCCTATATGTCCCATAACATTACGCCTTCGGTGCTATCTCTGGTTGGATGGTTGATGGTATCGTCGGCCTTGTGCCAGCGACTCCTGGATGGCGCCAAATTCGCATTGCGCCACAAATTGGAGGTGAAATCACATCTGCTTCCGCTTCTATCATTTTCTCATTTGGTGAGCTCTCCTCTAAATGGGAGATAGTTAGCTATACTGGGGATGTCTGCATGTGCCACAGTATCCCACCAGGATCAGTTGCAGAGCTTTACCTTGGAGACAAGGGACCATATAAGATGGCGTCCGGATCCCACAAACTACTCTGGCGAAAAGGTGCAGAACTTCCAGAGCTCGAAGTATAGCACAATGCAAATCATGTCATGGCCTAGTGTATAGCTATCGCAAGATAGGCGATAACAGTAGTATCTGCCAATAGAGTAGTCAATCTAGCACCATCCTTGGGCAATACCTAATAGCTTGTAAGAGGCAGGAGATTTGACCAAAGGAAACGCTGCCGGAGTGATAAGTTGAACTCATCGAGGTATATCCAGTTCAAGCGTCCTTACATGACTGAAGTCTTAGTTACCAGGTGATTGAAGTTAGCGCTCACATTGGCGCATCAGCACAACGCGAATCGGCTCCCTTAGATTTCTCCCCCGTTTTAGGTTAGCCTCTGGACGCTATCTTTCGCCACACGCTCTAGATAGCTCACATGCCCCTGACACTAACATTGATATTGGTCTATCCAGCGGTTTCAGAATGTATGCCCGCACTCGTGAGGGAGGCTGTCGATGAAGACGCGATGATGACTAGAGTTGATCGAGTTCACGGCCAAACTGATGGATCCTAGATCTAGATGTAAGGACTCCTTCGGCGTATCTGATCTAACTACTAGTACACCTTTGGAGTGCGGTAGATTAACAGGCTATAAGTAGTGTAGGGAATATCAGAGATATTTATAATCCAATACAGAAGTCTATTAGAATTAAAATAGAATAAATCACTTCAGGATCTAAAGTTTCCCTATAATTATAATTTATATAGAGTATCAAGTAACTATTTAGATATCGACTATAATATAAATAATAGAATAATTTATATTTAAAATAATTACTATTATAGATATCCCTTCATTAAAAATAGAATACAATAAACTGTTCTGATTTATGGCGCAATTGTTAGATATTTAATATATCATTGTTAGCGCTCCTTTGGCTGTACGGTAAGTAATTTAGTTGGCGGTACGTGTTCGGGGCGCAATAGGACAACGGGCTACGAGAGTTACAGTACGGGGAAGATTAATCATGTTCGGAGTACTAGGAAGAATATACGTGACTTGGAAGTGAACGATATACCTGGTAGTATATTCACCCTTTCGGCCGTGAGCTGTGGTTTGTCTAATGCGAACATTTTGGCGGGAGCCATCGGTACAGTACATTAACTGAGCACAGTAATTGTCATGTATCCACGCATTATAGATCTGATAGGCTCTTGATTTGGTTTCCAGCGATTACTGAAAGGGTAGAAAAAGAACGCGGACGTGGAGTATTCAGTTTCTTGTCTCAAATGATAGGTCGTTCGAAATGAAGGTAAAAGCATAACGGAACAAACACGCCCATCGTACTTGGTCAGCCCTCTTGTGTCTTGCAAATATATAATTTAGATCCATGTCACAACACGTGGAGGACGCTGGTAAAAGTCCGACCAGTCTAAGCTATCGCCAAGATTCAAGAAAGCCCAGGTCTCTGCGTCCTCATATGACAGCTTCATCCAGCCAACATCCTCTAATCTACATCCCTCCAGAGGTTCCTCCTGTTCAAGTTCCGACGGATCAGATAGTCCAAGCGCCTCTAATTCCTCCTCATCCAGGATTAGTGGCTCCCAAACCCCATTGGCCAGACGAACAAATCCAGTTCTAACACTAGATTCTGGATTCGGTATCTTTAGAACGGATTCTAAAGCCTCTTGGTCCACCATGATGAAGAAGCGATATCGACCCGATGCTGGGAAGCGACAATAGTCGGCACCCTGCTCCACTTGCGGTGCTGTTGCAGCCCACTCTTGGAAATGATTGCGTAAAAAAGCAGTACTCGCTCCATCGAAAGATTCGTCTTCGAAGACCGTAGGGGCGAAGCTGTCTTTTAGGTCAAGCCCGTTGTAGCATTCGAGAGATTTGGTAACATGGTAGAGAAATCGAGTCATGAACTTTTCCCAGTCAGAATCGCTTTGATATGTGCAACGATAAATCACAAAACCCTAGTTTCTGAACCTGTCCAGCTGTAGGAGCTTTTCCAGTCGGTCGGCTTCATTGGAATATGCGTCGATAGTAGGATCTCGTTTGGATGGCTCATCAGGCCGAAAATTGAAGCAAGGAATATTCATTGTGGTTCGCACTGGGTGGAAATACTGGCGTTTGACGGGATATAAAGTGCGTCCGATCTGGGCCGGGAAGCGATGGACGAAATGAAGGCTATGGAGGATGGGGAGCCTGAGCTGCATGCAGGTAGAAAGGAGAAATTTCGATGTGTTCATCTTAAGTTAGGGAGAGGGTTTGATTGAGGGTCGGTTGGTTGTTGATACTGGGGGAGGAGTAGAAAAGGCAGTAAAGGTAAAAGGGCGAGGCAATCATGTGACAAAATTATTGTAACTCATGATTCTCTACAGCTTATGCAATTTTCACTTAGAAAAGAAATAGAATGGCGAGAATGGATTCCTTTATATGCCCAAATAACTAAACAATAATGTGGTTCTGGGTAGTAACCACCCTATATATATATCACCTAACCGATTGAATCCTTGTTCAGGATTCAATTGTGAGCCTTTTGGTCGAGCGGGTTAGGTGACTCCTAGTGGGAATCACAATAATATGAATTTCCATGCAGCGTAGTTTTATTTTCTCTACGGGAATAATACCTATTATAAGATAGGATGGATGTCCGCGCAGCCCGTCTGTATAAATCCAACTTAATATTTTGTTCTAGGTTCAATCAAGCGAACATAAACTAAGGTCAAAAGGCTGATCCTTAAATATCTGGGATGCTGGATGGATTGCTGGCTGCTTAAGACTAGGATGGAACTAGCGCAGCAAAGGCACGGCTGCGTTTGTCAATGTTACTACACAGCCTGTGAGGCTGGAGACCCTAACTAGAGTAGCTGCATACATCATTCCGCGCAAGATTACAGCTTCTCGAGAATCGCAGACTCACCCAAGTACCTAGGAGAAATCACCGACACTAACTGGATGCTGCACCCTGTCAGTCTCATGGGATTCCGGTAAATATAGGTTGCTGAATACGCACCTTATGACTTTAGATACAATAGAGTAGGTTTAAATAAGTATAAGTTCTGGTTTCTAGAAGCAAAAAAAAAAAAATTAACTCTTTCTATTTTTGACTCGTATTGTAACTTAATCTGGTATTTATATCAAGGCTTATAGTGGGTAAAAAAGATATGCTGGAGGCGTTTGCTATATTCTGGCAGTATAGGAAATGGGTAAAATTTGTTTCAATGAGTGGTATACTTGTCATCCCCTTTATATGTTTTCATTACCACTATTTACTTATTCTTCCACAAATCAGATATTTGGTGTCAATAGTTTCATCCGTAATCATTCAAATGGGCGAGGAATGTAAAGTATGTCCCACTGGTCCCGAGTGGATTCTTTAACTAGGTATCGTACTCATCCTGCATTGGCCCCGGACGATCTTTATCCTTGTTTCCCTTAAATTCGGTACTCCTCAGCTGGATCCAGACTTTTAAGAATTAAGCGTCTTGCTGTCTCCTCGTGGGTACTAACCTCGAGCCTAGCATTTTTCAACATTTAATTAAATAGACGAAACGGTGGGAATTATACTCTTTTGTGTTGGCTCTGTTTACCGTATAACAAGATATTGTTAGACAATCCTTAATCAAAGCGATTATAAACCATGTGCAACAGATGCTAAACACTGCCTGCCGTGCTTGCTCTGTCGAGTTTATGACCGTTAAAATAGAAACTAAGTTCGCGATTCATAGGCGGTAAACTCAGAGGTTGCTTTTATTGCACAGTGATACCGAAGAGAATGAAGTCCCCCTTTCTGGAGGGACTTTTGAAAAACGAGAAATCGGCCATCGGTAACATCAGTGATATATACGCAATGATGCGGTACACAATGCCAATTATGAAGAGTATTCTGCAAGCGGCAGAAGAGGCTATTAATATCTTCTCGAGAAAGACTGAATATGAACAGCAAAACGATGCTTACCCCAAATCGAACGGGATCCTGCCAGTGACGTAGCCCACAAAGCTTGATGCCGCATGAACATCATATAAATACGAGAATGGAGTGGTATGCTCGCTGAAGAAGGCCTCTGAATACCAGGTCTGCTTTTGAGCCTTTGTTTAGGTGCATACTTTTGAAGGACAATGTGGCGTAGTCTTAGAGAAACTTACGCTTGGGCAAATATACCAGAACCAGGTCATATCCCACGACTTGACCTGCGCGAGGAGCGGCCCGGCACCATTGAAGATGCCGGCTATCATACTTGCGAGCATCGCTAGCAACATTGCGTCTTGGCGTCTAACCAGGGATGCCACGAGAGAGGCTATTCCGTAAATACCTGGGGGACCAGTTCCTGAGCGAGGGAAACAACCAATGAGACCTGAGGTAGTACCTACAGAAAAAGTATATAAAATTTAGCAAGAGCAAAGCCTCAAATCGAACGGCGACCGGTGTTGCAAGGATGGTGTAAAATGTCGTGAAATGTAAAGATGATAGGAACATGCTTGGCCAAGTAGACAGCTCCTTTCCCAGGAAATATGCGGTACTTGAATGGCCCGCGCGTATCTCGCGGTAGAATACTAACTCTAGTAGAACATCAACATTGTGTACGACAATATTTTGTAACTGGGTAATGGAACGAACTCTCTTCTGAAATCGTTCTTATTCCAGCTGGCGCAGCTGCGAGGCCTACCCTCATGAGTTAGTGTTGGGTTCGTGGTGGTGCCTTGCTATGAGAAAGTCGACTACTTACTGATCGCCAAGCAACAAAACTGTGCCACTATAGGGAGTCTTGTATAATTAACTGCACTGGACAGTGGCTTGAATGGCTCCCGAAAATAACCTTGAAATACTTGACCATGGAATCCATATATGCCTAGGCCAATCAGAAGTCCAGCGACTGCTCCGGTGACCATCGCCAGAACAAAGCTGAATAACTGCCGACATTGCTGCCTCGTCCCACAAAGCACGTATAGAATTAGTTGATGATGCCAAGGAGCTCTTTGAACGACTGCAAATTTCTCCAGTGCCGCGACGCTCTCCGAATCCCGTCGAGATTCGCATACTTCGGAAACAACCTCAATCCTAAAGTCCATGCTCTGCTGGGGAGATGAAGGCCTAAAGGACTCCAATCCCACTTGCCAGCTTGAGACAATATCCATCACGGTGTCAGCAGGGTTGGATCCGCTAGGAAAAGAATACCCAAGTGCTTTGAAATGTTCCTTTACCCTCGCTGCTTGTCCTAGATATACCTGCCTGCCGGAGACCAGGATGAGCAAGTCATCCAGAAGCCGAAATATATCTGACCGTGGCTGATGGATTGTGCAAATAACAGTAATTCCCATTGCAGAGATTGACTTCAGTAGCTTCATTATTGATAAAGCAGTTGCAGCATCAAGACCAGAGGTTGGCTCGTCGAGGATAACAGCCCTAGGCATTGCAACGATCTCCAAAGCAATGCTAAGCCGCTTCTGCTCACCACCAGATATACCTCTCTTCTCAGTGCTTCCGACGAGCTGATCTTTCACGGGCGTTAGCCCAAGATACTCTATCAATTTATTAACATAGATATTAATCTTTTTCTCACTCCAGATTCCCCCGAGCTTGATACGCGCGGAATGGGAGATGCTCTCCCCAACTGTAAGGTCCTCGAGGAGAATGTCATCTTGCGGCACGAAGCCAATAAGATGCCTGAATCTGGTTCTGCTGTTAGAACACTACTATCCACTCGCACGCATAGCCCTCACCTCGTAAGGTCTCCCTGGACTCCATTGAGAGCTGTTGCTCCAGAAGTCTGCCTGCTTCTTCCAGCCAAAATATTAATCAGAGTCGCTACAAGCCTTAGTGATCTATGACTTTTGGACGGGGAGTCGCCGACATACTCTTCCCTGCACCAGACAGACCCATAATGCCATATACGCATCCTTTTTTGATACTTCCTGAAATACCATCCAAGATCGGACGACTTGCATGATGAAGCGTCACTTCCAATTGGTGCATCTCTAGATCAATACCGACATTGCCCATTCCTGTGTCTTTGATTAGACCGTCAAATATGTTATATTCTTGAACCTCTTCGATGGCCGTATTATATGAATTTCTCTCCCTCGTGTTTGTTTGCCATTGGGCTGCGAGCTTCTTCCACGCGACGCCGGCTTTCAATTTCCGTAAAATAATTAACAGAAGCAATAGCATGTATATCGCTATTAGACAGGTAATTCCAATCAGTGACACCTCTCGCACGCTCCCTTCATGGCAAATCGATAGAGCTCTGCAGCGCCTTGCGTATAGGGATCCCAGTGGACAGTAGAAGCCACTGGGGCATTGGATCTTCTCTTGACCATTAGGAGGGCAGTAGAATCCAGCGGGGCAGACAATTGGTTCAAATATGCCCTGAGGTTGGGAGCAGATATTATCATACGGCAGGGATCGAATGGTCTGACATTCTATTGTGGGTGGGCAATAGACCGGTGGGTTTTCCAATGTGTTGTTAGGGCCTACAAGCGATTTATTAGTCAACTGGAGGTGTAGCAAGTTGTATTCAAACAGAAGGAAAAAGGCTCTATGAAGAGGAATGCAAAACGGATATAATACAGAAAAATCCAGGATTGCAGGCAGATGTATTTGTGAGCGTAATGGGAATTTGCCCTGAAAGACACGACGTGTTGGAAGAGACCATATTGTGCAGAATCAGACACAAAGACGGAACACCTGCAAAGCGAGTTCAAGACATTCGAATGTCCGTGAGGCCTGTGGAATGGTGTTGAGATAAAAATTAGGCTTTTAGCATATGAAAGGCCAGCGCCGTTTTCGTCGACGGATGACGTTCTCTATGGAATACAGAGGTCACCGGCTGGCACCCATGAAGTCATGATCTCGCATTTCGCTCACAATACCAAACATATTTAATGCCAAAATAGATCATTGCCCGACTGATGCCCAAATTTACACCATTGAGTTACCTACTATCCGTTCATGTTAATCGACGACTTGAGCACTTCCATACTAGGTACCGAAAGCATGGATTACCACCGTGGAAAGGTACTCAACTATGTGGCCTCAGAATGGTCTTACATAGTTGCCAATTACTCCCCAGAAAGCATTGAGCTTCTTGGTACATTCGCTGTTCACTTTGCCTTTTACTGGTTCGGTTCACTTGTCTTCGCTCTCGCCGACATCTATGCTCCTTCCTCTATTCTCAAAAAATACAAGATCCAATCCATCTCCAAGCAGCCTTCTCGCCAGGTTATGCTCCAATGCATCCCCAGTGCCCTTCAAAACCAACTCATCACAACAGCCTTGCATGCGCTCAAACTCTTAGCTCTTCGCAGTATCACTGGCCGATTTGCCGGCTACCGCATTGAGCGTACATTGCCATCACTGCTAGAGCTTATGACTGATATCCCCCTCTGCTTCATCGGCCGGGACTTTGTCTGCTATTACGACCATCGCATTCTCCACTTGCCTTGGTTGTACCGACGCTTCCACAAGGAGCACCACAAGTTTACGGCACCTGTGGCTGTGGCAGCGGAGCACACACATCCTCTGGACCATATCCTCATAAATGTTTTGCCCGTTGTTGTACCGGCAACCCTGTTTCGAGTACATCTTGTGACGTTTTGGTTGCTCATGTCGTCAACAATCCTACAGGGGTCTCTGGGACATTCAGGGTGGCATGTGCGGAGTGTTTTTGGTCGGAAAACTACTGCTCACGACGCACACCATGAGCTGTTTGATGTCGAATATGGCACGTTAGGTTTGATGGATTGGCTGCACGGGACAAACTATACGGGAAAGCACAAAAGTAAGGGCAAAGGGAAGGTGCATTAAGGGTCAATATAGTTATCACGGAGGGATATTAGCGAGCATTGCTTACTTATTTCTGATACAGCACAAGAGGCGCAATGGCTGGAGGGTTATAGTGCTGATGCCTCGCACAGTATGGGCATGCTATCTATATCATATCTTAGGGCTTTTTAATGGCATTTAAGATATTTGTTTCATGGTTTTGCCTCCATTCATATTCTAGGCTTCAGGAAAACAAACATACTATAGACTTGGGAGGGAAAAAGCAGAAAAAAAAAATAAAAAATAAAGGCACAACTATATTGTTATACTTACTACAAAAGAGTTTTATGTACATGACGGTCGTACGGTGCTTTGTAAAGAGAGAGGTGGGACGGCTTCACTAGCGTGTGGGGATTAGAATGCCACACTCAGGGAAGAGTTCCGGTGTATTGTACACCAGCAGCAAAGCAAAGATAGATAGCGCAAGTTGTTGGCTATCTAGTAGATATGACATGGTAGATAGTTTAAATCGAGGTGCCATCACGGGAATTCCGACCGGGTTTACGGAAGTACTTCACCTCCTTTGCGGAAATTGCATCCGCTGCACGTGTAACCCATGGTACGTCATAATATATATTTTTTTACCGAATGATCCGCTTATTCTGATACTGATTGCATATAGCTAAGTTTAAATAAACTACGAAGTACGTAATTGACTCGAGAGAGAAGGTTTCGATGTCTCTGCAAAAAGTGATGATGTGCAGAGTGGAGAGATGACCCTTGGTACAAGGTAGATCGGAGAGTCTCTGTACCATGGATTTGGATTCGGGAACTTGCTAGTTGAGCTGTCAACCGACCATTCCGGCCTTTATTTTAATACCATACCTGTCAATGAAGCTATTGTTAGTGATCGGTGGCCCCTCTTCCTTCCGAGAACGGTTTCCCTCTGCTAACACCAACACTTAATCTCGCTTGTATTGATTTTCTTCCTTCCTACTCTTCACCATAGTTGTCAAATGGTTACTCCCAGTAGTCCTATATAGACCAGCTAGAATCATGACACTGCCCTGTGCATGGGTACAGCTGTAGGGGGCCATCGCCCAGTTTGAAAGCCCTGTTCCAGCACTAATGATGCGCAGCAGAACCGGCTATTGGGCTTCAACATACAAGCACCGAAAAGACCGGAATTAAGAGCCATACACCCCGGCCGAGCTGAATAGATACATTGTTAAAAGTTGCCAATTACTTTGGATGGAACAACCCAGCATTCTGTGAGATTATGGTTATGTAGGAAGTCTATGTATCCATTTGAGATGACAGTTCGAGCCGATGTGTTTTGTGTTACGACACGAAGTCACACGACAAGTAAACCCTAGGTTGACAAAAAAGGCCTTTGCAAGCTTTCAAAAGTCCATAGTACAAAGCTCACTGGTATAGGCTAGGATTAGATTCCGCATTCCTTCAGCGCATTTTCTGAAAACGCCGAGAATAGAATCCTGTACTTAAACGGATATAGTTCTCATAAATACAACTATTTATATCTGGGGTATAGCTGCTCATACCTCATACCGGGTATGAGTTATCGTTGCAAATATCACCACCTCTAGAATATATCCCTGCTCCTCAGTCGCGCCAGCACATCGGAAGGTGGGGTGTCATTTTACCAGAACAAATAACAATAGCACCCGAGTTCATTTTGCCCTCCTAAGAATTTCATCTACCAATAATCTCCGTGTCTCGTGAGATGGTTAAGAATGGACCAGCTACTACAAACCCCATGCTACCTATTTCGCCAGTTGAGGAGGGTCTGGTAAGGTACAAACTTAGGTAAAGCAAGTGAAGATCCAAGACAACACGACCAATGTTTTACTACCAACTGCCTTAAGCCAGTGCACTATCCAGACAATCCAGCGTCGGGCATTCCCTTTTATGAATACCTGACTGATGTATATATACAGATATTTTTGAAAAGACATTTACCAACTCGACAGGAGTTTTCCCCGTTTTCCTCGTATATTTTAACCGTCTAACCAGCCAGTTAAGTCTTACTCATTGCTAATCCCAGGTTGCATGAGATTCGAGACTTCGCTGATGACTACGCTTACCAAAACAACCCAATATTCTCCTTCTCTTGAGTGTGATCCGGAGAAGATACACAAATCTTGAACGTGGCAAAGTATTTGTCTATATAATCTAGATGATTAAGTATCAGAACTAGCTGCGAACAGTTTAGCCGATCTTGAGTACGCGCGAGCGGGATGTCCTGGAAAAGTCGTGGATGTGGGCTATTAGTCTATTACGTTCAATCCCCATACCTATTCTATTGACATCATTATTCTAGCTTACAGAGGCTCCTACAAACAATTAGTCTATTCGTACTGCTCTGTGGTAGCAATTATCCATGATAGTGATTGTCTTCCAAGATCGTGGCGTGGGCACTCAAGTAATAGAGGAAGAATCACACATCTTATTCATAAACCTAATATATTATTTTCTAGGAATATTGAATGTACTGTAGAACTTGATACGAGTCCATCGTCTCAATCCAATAGCTCATGTGCGTGCTTTCTCCCATACATTCTTGATGTTTGGTGGGCGGGGAGATAGGCGGGCGAAATTATTTGAGACTTCAATGACCCAAGGTATATTAATAGTACGACATTAGTGCTTATAGTCCCACTGAACACCATGTGCTCTACACTGTCAGCACCACGCAGTAAATGCATGGTCCGTTTAATTGGGAATAGTAGTACTGTGATTAGCGCAAGCACTTTGTCATTTTTAGCTCAGAAATGGCTGTACGTCGGGCTTATCAGACCACAGCCAAAGTTGACTAGCATCTGCAAATCCAGGATCAGTGAAGTAGGGATTACCTCCAGTCCACATAACCCCAGCCGCCGAATCCATTGATAGCCATTCTAGTTCGGGTCTATCCGAAAGACCCCTCGTATCAATGTCCTCGTCTCCAGTTCCCTCGGGGACAGACAACAGCGGTTCTATATCAAGTAGACAAAAAGAAATGAGGTTGAATCACAACGGTCTTTCAAAGGACAGACATACCTTGTACATGGTCTGAAGACTCTTCCGCCAAATTCCCCATATGCGAAAAGCCAAGCTGGCCAATTCTAGGTCCACTGAATGTACGAGCACCTGCAACCTCTCCAATGGTTTGTTGAAGACCCTCTTCGGTCGGAGTTGATGATGCGGTGAGCGGGGATATCTTGTCACCACGAATGAAACCCTGTTCGGATCGCATTACGACAGCCACCAGGCCTTCGAGGATTTTCACGCTTTGGGCTGAAAGAAGGTGTCCATCCAGAATATGATCACGTTGGAAACGTAAAATATTCATAACACCCCTTTTTGCAGTTTGACTCCTAGCCGATAGAGGCTCCGAAATTGCGAAAGCGCAGAGGACGACACCCGCAGTAAAAAGGCAAATTCCGACATGCATAGTAGCATGCGTCTTTCTGCAACCCTGCAGCATGCGGCGATAATCGTACAAGTCTGACGTCCGAACCGCAGACTGGAAAAGCTGCTCTCGAGATAGAGCTGAACTCGGCAGATCTGTGGGCGAGCGATCCGCACTGGACAATTGAGAACCAGCCCGGAAGGCTAGGCTGCGATGCAAGATAATTTGAATGTTGTCATATGTCAACTGAAGACAAAGTGCTTGCATCTGTAACAAGGATGGACCTTTTAGGATGCCTTTATCCTTGTATTCCTCCAGCCTCAAGTACTGAGGCAATTGATTTTGCCACGACACAAGTTGAGCGTGGATGCTTTTGATCGATGCAATCCGATTGGTTTGTAGTCTTCGCCCCAAAAAGGGACCCATAATACGATACAATCTGAATTTCCATTGATGGTACTCGAGCTGTGCTGCCTGTCGAGGTTGTTCTTGCATGTCAGCCCTGATGTGTGTCACGGTACCGACGTTGCAGTCAGAGTCGTCTATACTGCACGGCCGTCCAAAGGCTATCGCCGCATATCTATCGAGAACTTTGGCGTAAGCAAGGACGCTCGGCAGGAGTACAGTTCAAAAACAGACTTATCGAAAACCTCCAACGCCCACCACGAACGCCTGTGGGATTCCAAGCGGGCAGCGGATATCCCCATAATCGCATCTTCTCGATGTAACCGAAGAACTTGAGCAATCTTAATGCCACTTCCAAGGATCCCGAGACCAGCGGTCGGGCGTCCATTAAAAAGATAAAAGCTGCCCAAAAGCACACATACTTGCACCGCCTCTTCATCTGCAGAGTCAATGATCCTGAGAAATTGTTGATCGATGCGTTGGATAAGATCTTTAGAGAGCTGTTGCACGGCAACCTTCTCGCGAGGCTGCATTATGGCGAGTGATGAATAGTGAGCTCCCATGCCTAGGACAAGTAGAATGACCCAAAGATTGTTGTCATTTTCAGGCACCGGCACATAAGTCGACTTCATCAGCTCTTCATACCTTTGCCGAAAAGTCTCTTCGTGAAAGACCTGGTTGAAAACGGATCAAAACTACGCACCTCGTGTAGCAGCAAGGGGGTATCAGATTACCATCATAAACCAGTCCACTGCCGAGAAAAAACAGTCAACTGAATGATCAAGAGACTGCTTTGAGGGCAGTGAAACGCCAACAGCCTCCCGCCACGGGATATTGTGGCGTGAAGGTGAAATTGGTGACCTATTGGCCCCTCCTGGTAAGGCTGAAGTGTCATACTTCACGCTCACAGCTAGACTTTGGCCCGGGAGCATCTGCAATACACGAAAGTGAGTAATCCTGCAGCTTTTGTATCACAAATAATAGGGAGCAAGAAATACTCGAAAAACTTACGCTGACGCTCACATCCACGATACTGGATTCAGGAAGAATAACAGGCTCCTCGTCTCGGTTTGGGTTAGCCGATGGAGACACCCTCTCGTTGGCCTGACGCTCCAATGCGCTCGGGTTTGCTCTTTCTGATCCACGGCGGGAGACACATGGCACTCCCGCACGATGGCATAACTGACAAGGTCGCGTGGGATCACACTGGTGGGAGCAGGGATGTCGTAATTAGCTCCCGTTCGTAACTTTTGTAGGTTGATCTTGACAAAACATACTCCTAGTTTCCGCTTGTGACATCTTTCGCAAGCCGACGATACCTTTTGACGCTTCCGGGGGGCATCCATCTTCGTTGGTGAGGGACGGGGTATGGATATAACCTCACTTCATCGAATGAGGGGCAATGCTTGCGTGCAAGTCACATGTGTTGGCTGATGTAAGCCTGGATGACATAACTGCGCCGTCCCTAACTAACTAACAGTTCCCTTAGGGGACCGGCACATTACACGGTTATCTTGTGGTCAAATTCAATCATTCAACATGCCACCAGAAAGCCCTTAAAGGCTACAAAAATCTAGAAAATACGGATGCCAGGGGCTCTATTATCTATCATGTCTATAATGGCAACTGGACGCTTAAAACCTCCGCTCCAGTTCATTGAATGGTGTCATGCTGTTGATGTCTTCTTCTTGAAAGTTGCTCTGTTAAGCTTTTACTTTGCTAGTGCTACGGTAGTATATTTCAGCTACAACGGTTTTTTTGTTTTTTTTTTTTTTTTTACCGCTTATCGGTTACCTTATGTTGTCTTATGAGTTCGAATTAGATATTGATTTTAGCTATCGTAGTTTATGGCCTGTGTATGCATAAGCTACGGATTTGGACGCGACCCAGTTCGTTGCAACAGATGACTCAAGATGTACTCGGCGAGTCAAAAGACCTCGGCAAAAGCTTCAAACTTTTGTTGAAGAATTCGTCTTAGTTGCCACTGAGGACTCTTGAGAGACCGCTGTTACACAGTACCTCCGAGTGCTATACTAAGGACATTGATTTGTTATGACAGATAGTCATATTCTTTGAAGGGTATAAAATATTGTCTTGGATTCACGTCCTCGGCCAACCTGATGGTCTTCTATCGCCAGATGAGACCATCCTAGATTCAAATTCTAATAGTCTAATGTGAGCGCTCCCAGCTTTATCTTCAATCTATATAAATAAACTCATTCGAAAATGGCTCAGGTGACCCTGGTTTTAGAACCGCGGGAAATCGATGTTTTCCGGGTGAAGATACTCAACCATATCCACGCTGGAATCAGACTCCCCCACGGTCAGACCGTTACCAATCCAAGCCATATCATTTCCACCAATATAAGTGTAGTCATAATCTTCGAAGCGGGGCTTTTCCAAGACCTTGACAAAGTGGATAGACGACCCAGGCCAGAGAGCAGTGACGGGACCATTTTCGGTCCCTCGCTTGTACCAGGACCGACAAGGCAGCGAGAACACCGTTTTCTTGAAGAATTGCTCACAATATCTCTTGAATGAGTCACAGCTTTCTCGCTTCGGCTGAATTGTCGCGATGCGATCTTTCTGCATTTTTGCGATAACCGAGCAGACATAATCGCAAGTTCGTTCGAGAACGATGACTAGAGACCCAACCCCAATACCAGAGCTGGGACCATGGGCAAAGAAGAGGTTCGGCGTGCCGTGTGTGCTAAGGCTGATGTAAGTGTCAGGGTACTCCTTCCACCTCTCGCCGAGATCTAGACCCCCGCTCCCGTAAATTGGGAATCGTTTGGAAAAGCTGGTATCAAAACCCGTCGCACAAACGATGGCATCAACCTTTCTCAGGGTACCGTCGACCGTGACGATCCCCTCTTCCGTGATATGGGAAATTGCATCCGAGACGAAAGATACATTGTCCTCGTTCAATGCTTCAAGGTATCCAGGACCAGGTGTAATGCGTCGACAACCAGGGGCAAAGGATGGGAGAATCTTCTCAAGAATCTCCGGCTTTTTAAGCAGTTTCGTGGCCATGTGCTCCTTGAAGTCAGAAGCTGCCTTCTCTGCAAGCTCGCCACGCAGAAGATACTTCGCCATCGACTGAACTTCCGTCTCCAGCCTTTTGCGATAGGCCAGGAGGGTGCCCGGACTTTCTTTGAACTCCTTGATTTCCTCAGGCGTAAATTTGAAATTGGCGTCTTTGGCTGTGTGCTTGCGAACTTCATCCTGCGCCCAAGGAGGGGCAATCCAGGTTTGACCCCTAACATAATTGTCGATTCGCTTGGTCTTCGGCTGAATGGCTGGGACAATTTGGATTGCGCTTGAACCAGAGCCAATGACCGCGACAGAAAGTCCCTCTGGGTTCCAGCTCTCATCCCACGCAGCACTGTGAAGGAGCTTGCCTTTGAAGGTGTCAAGGCCTGGGATGTCAGGCCACTTCCAATCATTCAATGCCCCGATGCACGCGTAGAGAACGTCGCAAGTGTCGTAAATAGCTTCCCCAGTGACGCAGTTCTCGACGGAAACGTGCCACTTGGACTGGGAGTCATCGAATCTGGCCTCCACAATTTTGTGGTTGAGTTTCATATACTTGCGAACATCGTACTTCTCGACAATTCTTTTCCAGTATTCGAGAATTTCACCACCGGAAGAGTAGAACTGGGACCAGCTGGGATTCGGTTCGAATGATGCTTGGTACACGTGGGACGGGACATCTGAGAAATAATGAGTAAAGGATTAGTAGATTACGATTTTCTTTTCACATACCACATGCCACTCCCGGATACCGATTCTCATACCAAGTACCACCGACCTCGGGGTTCTTGTCATACACAACAAGATCCAGATTAGGGATACGCTGAGTGAAGCGAATGGCTGCAAGTATACCGGAAATTCCAGCACCAATCACGACAACCTTCATAGGGCGCATATCATCAATCGGCAGTACCTTTTGCGTGTTAGATCCGGAAGCTTTCTCATACAAGCAAAGGTTAGGTGGAATACCTGGCCGGCATAGTCGCCAGGAGAGACAAGATCAGCTTCTTTGGCAATCATTGTGATGGTGTTGTTTAACACGTTTGAGTAATATAGTTTGTTTACCACCGTTCAACGAGATTGCCTAGTTGTAGGGACTTTGGATAGATTAAATAGAGTTGTCAAGCCGTAATCTCAGTTCTCGACAGTTTATGACTCCAACCGGATAGCCGAAAGTCCGTCGGCTAGAATTTGCGGCTACCATGCTATTGTTTGGCCTAGGGCAAATGGGATGTCCATCCATTGGGGTGTCATTGTTTTGTGCCAAACACGCGCTTTCGTAGACAGCAGGAGAGCATTTTGAAAGCACCTGCAATGCAAATCGCACTGATGTTTCTTTTCATAGATTCAGTCTTTTAACGGTCTCTATTTCGCTACATTGTACAGCAAAGTGACCAAAATTTTATTTGTCAACCAAATAGATGAGCATTCATCGTGAGCATCCAGATTGAAGGTGACATGAAGATAAGGAGTAGTGCGGGTAATCTAGTTACGGCGCACTAAATCTAACTTACGGACAAAACTTCGGATTTTCAGATTTCTTACCGAAATCACACTGTTTTACATTTGGCCACGGCTGCCACGCACTTCTAGTCCTAAATTCTAGTAAGGTCTTAGAATATACTTTTATATAGTATATTTAATACTAAAGTTTTCAAGCTTCTAGTTTAATATTCAATGTTACGAGTAGTAGTAGTACTAGATAGTAGTACTAGTAGTAGTAATAGCGAAAGTGGTGCTGATAGTGGTAGTGATAGTGATAGTGGTAGTGATAGTAGACTAGAGCCTAAATTTAGGGATTACAGTACCTAAACTTAAGAGACTATAATACTGGGAGATAGAAATCTTTGTAAAGCAGTCAATATTTCCGGGTTCGGACTAGTCGATACTCCGAATAAAAGGATTGCTATTATTGGTAGATAATCTAGTAGAGCTAAATAAATAGATCTAATTGGCTAGTATACAGTGCGTTGGTGTTGGTAAATTTGGTAATCTTTTATTTTGTCCATTAGCTAGATTTAGTCCGCCGTACTAGTGGTTCGCCGCCAAGTCCGACGGAGTTCTCGGACACGCTCTTCGGTCCGCGTGATGCCGAGAGGCATCCCAAGGTTAATACACAATAAAGCCTCGGAAACTTTTTTGGACCCACGGAAACTCAACCAAATTTACGATGGTCACTCTGCGATCCCTTCCCAGGTTGGAATGAGAGCTGCTACAGCTCCGCATGGCAATCTAGTAGATTAACCAAAAGTGTGAAAGTTCAGAGAGCAGCTCTTTCAGACGTTTTCTGGGGTCGATTTGACGTGAGCAGCGGAACCGTGTGCTGACCGTGTTGGAATAAATTCACTCCTCTCTCATGCTCACGACCAGTCGCATTTTTCCCCTCTGCCTTCTCCCCTTCAGAAAGCTTGAGTAGCGAGTTTTGCTGAAACTAACTAACATGAAGCATTTGTCATATTGACTTGGATTTAATTAAAAAAAACTCAACTGCATTGTGTTATATAGAGCAATGAAAACCCAAGGATATTTATCCTTAAACGAGCGGCAAGAGCGTACAGTGCATGTCACAATCAATGCCTCCAGATCGCCCTAATAGGCATGCTTATTGAAGTTAGGATGGAGGGACCAATATGGTACCTTATCCTGGAAACCTCAAGAAGGGTTACTTGATATGGCTCTATTCATGACTTCAACACAGCTCAGATCGGAAATGCCGTTAAAAGGATTATTCATCTCAAGTATCCTAAGGTCCTAAGAGATGTAATAGCTGTATTGAAAATATCGTTGCAATGTACGTCAGGTATCAGGTTTGAAATTGCCGACGGACAGGACATGTTTAATTGAGCACACTAGGCGTGCTTTTGTAAAACCCACTGGACAATGGTATCCATCATCTCCAGTGACAGCCAATGGCCCGTATTTTCGAAAACGTTGAAAGAGACATCATTCCGACTTCCATTCTTCTCAACCCAGGGCACAGTGAACTTGCTTGGAACAAGTGCATCAAGGGCGCCATTCAAAATCAAGATACTTTTGCCGTCAATATGTCCAAGAACCTGATCTCGAGCTCTATACATTGACGAAATCGATTCGGGCCATTTCGTTGAATCGGCGCCAATTTTGCTGTCTGCTGCATTGCCAAGCCGCTCGATGAGCAAATCTGTTAAATTGGGGGAGCCCACGATGATAATGGCGGCTTTGATGCCCTGCACCTTAGAGAGTATATCCCATGCGGTGTGGCCACCAAGTGATAGTCCTGACATAACAAACTCGGTCGGTGTGAACCGACCTTCGGTGTAAACTGAGAGATACTTCATCACGGTTTGGATGTCAAGAACGTTGCCATCTGTAGCTAAATTGTGAGCTAAGGTGCTTTTGCTCATACCAGGACTGCGAACCTATCATTGCAAGCATGTCATGCCTAGCGCTCTGTAAGTTTATGAATCTATCAGGGAAAGAAGCAATGTTTGGGGTGGAGGCGCACGCGTGTTTCTGGTTTCCTCCGTTCCAGTCCTGACTTCATCAATGTCGTTAATAAGAGCCCAAGGTGAAAATCATTGAATACTTTCGTGGTTCTTACACAGCTAACGAGTCGATCTGTGGCATGACAATTAGAACCGATTCTCAAAATAGAAGTGAAAGCCGGGGGACCATGCCGCTCTTTCTCCATGATTGCGACTATCAAAAGTTGCCACCACGAAGCCTCTTGTCAAGCTCCCCATTTGCTTCAATTGGAAGAGAAACTGGTGGGCGAACAACTCAGCATCTGCATAGCTCCTTGTTCGGCCATGCACGTGGAAAAGAACCACGGTATCTTTCGCCTGCTGTTGGGATAGCTCATCAGCGCCGTAGAGATACACATGGAAGCCAGCGATGTTGATTGTCGTCTTGCTGGATCTCGTTGTGCTCTCCGGCAGTTTGGTGAATGGCTGGTTCTGAAGTGACATCATGGACGTGACAAAAATTGGGTTCCGTCGCAAGCTTTGAGTTGAGGGAAGACAGAGAGACGGGGAGGGCCTGATTTATAGTCGGGTACTACGAAGCGACAATAAGCCGGGGCTGTAGGTGGAGCCTAATTCATACAGCAGCCGCCTTCCGCCATTTACCGCAGATGCTGAATTCTACTCTGCCCCGACTGTCTCGTGTTCATACCGTCAACTGAATAATACAGGGAGTGCCATAAAATGGAGGTGGACGAACACTTTTGAAACACCACTGTAGTTGATGGTCCCCTCGCAGTCTGTTTGACTGCAACATTTTCGTCTAGCTGTAATAACTGCATCACGAGATGGCGACCTATCTACCACCGTGGGTGCTCGAGAGCATCCTATGTTGTACTGGCACTACCAATCGTTTCAGATACAGGCGGCGTATGATATGCTCTGCACAACGGGATATTCTACTGACACAGCGATGATGGTGCGGTTTCTTCAAGGCGGATTGTGTATTGTTATCACTTATTTATCCATGCAAGACTGGCTCACTTGATAGTTCGAACGGATTCTGTGAACTTATATGACACACGCTAACTTGCCCCTCGTCTGGTTACTCTCCAATAACTTATGAGCCTCCACAATCTCCGTAAAGGGGAACACCTTCTCTACAAACACCTTGAAGGTCCCATCTTTTAGTCTCGGAAGAACATGCTCCACCAGCGAATCTCTAAGCTTGCGCTGGTACTCCAGCTCGCGACTGCGAAGCGTACTGCCCTCGACGCGAAGTCTCTTGAACAGAAGTCCGCCAATGTCCACCCCGTTCGGCAACTTCTGCCCACTCATCAACCCCAGAATGACAATGCGGCCATCGCGCGCCGCGGCGTCCAGATTCCCCTGGAAATAATTTGCGCCGACAAAATCAACGATCAAGTCGACGCCTGCCCCATCGGTGAACTTCTTGAGCTCCGCAGCCCAGTCTTGAGTCTTGTAGTTGAAGGCAGCCGTCACGCCGAGCTCGTTAACGAGGAAATCGCATTTTTCCTGGGAGCCGGCTGTCGCGTAGATTGCTTTGGCGCCCTCTGCTTTGGCAAGTTGGATGCCACAGATGGAGACGGAGGAGGCTCCAGCGTGCCAAAGTACGGAACGGCCGGGCTTAAATTCCCCGATGATGTGGAGAGCTTGCGATGCAGTGATCCACGTCTACAAGGTTAGCGGAGTATTCTGTCGTCAGTTCAATGCAAATCTCACCTCTGGAACACAGGCAGCTTGTTCCCATGAAAGCTGCGCTGGTTTATGGACCAGCATTCCCGTATCGACAACGATGTACTCCGCATATGCTCCTGGGAGGGGTTAAAAACGAGTATTCACCATCGGAGTCCAGGGCAGTGAGAACCTCCATACGCAAGACCGAGCACGGCATCCCCAACCTTGAAGTCTCTTTCCACGCCAGCGGCGATTGACTCCACAGTGCCTGAGAACTCGACCCCCATGGTAACTGGCGCCTGCGGTGGAAGAGGGTACAAACCCTCTCTCTGCAGCAGGTCCATGCGGTTCAGTCCAAAAGCCTTGATTTTTATCAACGCCTGTCCCATTGAGGGCGTTGGTTTTGGGATCTGCTTGATGGACATGGCATCTGCGGGGCCTTTGCCGCCCTCGATCACTGTTGGTTGTCCTTAGTATGACCCTGAGGATCTTTGCTGAGCTGGGGGATCGATTGCATACCGACCGCTCTCATTTCTGGCATGGTGGGTTGTTTGTTGGAAGATAGGTACGTCAAGCACAGTTTATGTTGAGATTGAAACTGCACAGATCAAAAGATTGGGTTTTGTAGCAGATTGGCCATTCACTGATCGAGTAAGTACGGGAGAATTACTAACAAGCCTGAGGTAATTATGACCCCCCACCTTTCAATTACGTACAGTACCGTATCGTACTCAGTAAGTCCGACGGAGACTGATTGATTAGCCTCCGAAAAGGAGCCCCCGGGCCACTTACATTTACCGAGGATGGACGCTAGGTGGTGAACTTGCATTTGGTTCCGTCGGACTTGCCCTCTTTTGATCGCTGACAGAGTGACCTAACAACAGCTTTACCGAAGCTTTCCTTCCAAGGTAACCACCAAACTTTCCGCCGCGTTCGGCAACAGGAGGTCCACACGAATCCATGACGACCCTCCAGCTATGTCTAGAATATGTAAATTGACTTTGATGTATGTCCGGCAGGCGAGCTGTAAGCCTCCGACCCAATTCGCATCCTCGCGAGCAAGAGAATCGTTCCCATGGACGGATATCCCACGTGAAGCCGCAGAGGACGTCGACACACGATGACCCGTGCCAATTTGGCTTGAACTCATGATAAATCAGGCCGACCTTAACACCACTACCTATTGTGAGGGGAGAAGTTTACATTTCCTCCACCTACATCAACAAGCTTCCTTAAAAAGTTGGAAATAATGTCCTCGGAGCCTATTATCGAGGAAACATGTAACTGCGGAGCAGTCTCGGTCGCAATTCCACAGAGCTCTCTCCCGGAATCGAGTGTAGCTTGCCACTGTCGTAACTGCAAATCTTCATCAGGTTCGCTGTAAGAGTTTTCCTATCCTATCTTCCTGATAGCAACCTTTCCAACATCTGACCGACTAAAACCAAGATTCTCGTTGAATATGATCATTTCAACCAAGGACGTGACCATCAATGGAAAACCCATCAGCTACATGGAAAAAGAGTGTGCGTCAGGCCACCATATGAGCCGATATTTTTGTCCTACGTGCGGGTCGTAAGTCCAAATTGTCTCTTAAGTAATGCGTCTTGGGCCATCCCTCAGCTCTGACGAACACAGTGCAATCATGTCGGTTGTCTCCGAGGACCCCAGTGTGGCGTATGTGAAGACGGGCTTACTGGCGAAGTCTGGGGTAGCTGCTCCTCCTCCTGGGATAGAAGTCTGGTGGCGACGAGCGGAGGCGTGGGAAAAGCCATTTGCAGGTTGTAATATTGTTGAATAAGGGACTGGCTATAAATTGAGCAAGGAATCATCATGTGAGGATACACGAGCTCGTGAATCCATATCTAGAAGATCAAGAATGGAGGAACGACTTCAATCTAAATATTGTTGATCACGTTTGACACTTTCTGGGCGACGCCGGAGCTCACCTAGACATAGCCCCGATAATCCGCGGATTTACCCTATCCTCAGCCCATAGACCATCATACTAGCTAGTCTTCTTCTACGTTCACCTTTCAATGTTGCTCGCGACAACCACGTCAGGCGCTGCCAACCTATCTCCGTTTGCACCCCCAACAATGCCATTCAAGACCCAACTGTTCACATTACCCGAACGCATACTCCACTTCAGCAAAATGTCTATCAACATTGCCTGGGTGCCTGTCTATCTCTGCGGTATCCACATATTAACCCTGAAGCAACTGATTGTCAAGATGTGGAGGAGCATCCTGGAGACCCTCATGGATCAGGCTACTGGCAACGAGATCAATGATTGGGTTAGAAGAGCTGGAAATGGGTTTTCAGAATCAACCGCTAGGAAGGAGGCGATGGCAAGGTGAAAGAGTAGCGTGTTAGTGGTTTGCGCTAGCTGGGCTAGGCTTGCAGCTCTGATGGTCATTTTTCGATGGCATGTCACGTCCAAATATATCTGAGTATTCAAGAACTACACGTCCAAATCGGCGGTCTCGAAGATCTATTCACTTCTCGCCACATCTACCCTGAAGGGACCACTATTAGGGTATATTCTCCCAAGAACAATGCCGTACATCGATTCCATACGTATGGCCAAGATAGCAATAGCCAAATTACAGCCACCCGCAAATCTTCACTTCTCGTTGTTGCGCAACTCAGTACCAATCATTGACCCTCATCCACACGTTTCTTTCTGCGCCTTCTGACTCTTCCCAACCACAATCGTACTCAGATCACCAACGGGCAAAGAGAAAGGGAAATCAACCGCATCGAGGATCTGAGCAATGAATATATGCCAGATGGGAATGCACAAGGCAAAGGTGAACCCTCCGGCAACCTGCTCACGGATCACCATTAGCAATTAGTCCTCGAGATCGGGACAACATTGTTTGTAACGTCTTACCTTCTGTAATTTCTCCGCCTGGAGCGGATTACCCGCAGCAAGTTGGAAGTAACCTGCGCCGAAGAGACTGAATGCGATGACGAGCAGGAACAGGGCGAGGAAGAGACAGGCGTTTGTGCGGATGGAGCAGATTAGGTAGACGAAGGTGAGAACGGCAAGGACTATGTAGTAGAGACCTAGATGGGTGCCTGATGAGACCTCGCAAAATGGCTATAAGGGCTAGGATGAAATGGGAGGAACGGACCAACTGTGGCATTGAACTCTGAGGTTTGCATGCCTTCTAGGGAGCTACCTGTTGGTGAGTAATTCGTGCCGACGGCGTAAAAGGGCATTTCAGAGGTGCCAAAGACGATCCAGAATGTTCCTACGTGCTGGTTAGCGTGCGATATTGTGCCAAGACCAGTGCAGGCATATTTAGAAGGTTACCGTATGTGAAGAATAGAGCGCAGGAGAAAGTGTTGCCGAGAATCCACTCGCCCACTGCGCCGAATATTTGAACCATGCCTCCGAAGAAGATGAAGACGGGTCTTGCATGCCTAGTGTCAATCATGTGCCTCGGCTCCTTACGTGATTTATACTCACAAAATAGCACCTCCATTCCCACCTGATCCCCTCCAGCCCAAGGTACTCATAGCAGCTGGCGTGGCAGCTAGCACGAAACCCATCAAGGAGATGGGAGTCGGGTTGCCGAATGTGCGGCGCAAATCACCCCTTGTTGGGACTTTTGGGTTCAGGTAGAGCTTCTCGAAGGCATCGCGTGGAATGGGAAGCAAGACGCTCTCGGCTGTCTGGATGCGACGGAGCATTTCAGAAGTCGAGGCATCTTGCTTCTCGCTGATGACCTCGTGGGACATGATGATGGACAATGGATATACAAAATTGAAGAAGATAAACAGGATAATTCACAAGAGAGGACGAGGCCAATATCAAACTAATATTGTAGACCAGGCCACCATTACCCGGGGACATTTATATACTATATAGCTCATCGTTCCACCCCGATCAAAACCAAGAACACCCTTGATGATTCAAGATCCGAGGTAAAGTCCATCTCAGCGCAATAAGTCATGTATCAAGGTTCATGGTTGTATCAAAGGTTCAAGTGCCTTACACCACGATCGATTGCGAGCTCTGATACGCAGAACAGATCCGCGCCTCTACCCTAGGTTAGCTTGTCCAGATAACAGGTTTGTTCATTTTGCGGGGAGGAATCCGGGGAATAGCAGTCTGTGCCCTCGGACATGACGTCAGCGGGAAAAGTCCGACGGAGGCACGGAGATGCATGAATCCAATGATCAATAACAAATTGGCTTCACTGCCGTAAGGTTTCCTTGGATGCAAGCAAATCCCCTAGTGGCAAAGGTAGCAAACTTAGCAACATACTATCGATCAAACCGTGACACTTTTGGGTCGAATGTCGATGGCCCTGTGGCTAAGATTGCTATAGCCGAGTGTCTTGTATTCACTATATGCAAATGTGTGAGTGATAAAGCCTGTCTACGTCTTGTAAGGTGGCTGGCTGTCTTCCTATTCAACCCTCGGCAACTAGACCAAGGTTTCCTTCGCTTGTCCCTTCTACCCGAAACTGCACCCTATTCATATTAAGCAATTACGACTAACTTGGTTAATATAAATATAAAAAGATATGCTGGCGGGAGATCTATAAGCTATAATCTTAAGTTAGCGCACGCAGCACGCTTCTGATACTAAAGAGACTCGCCAGTAGCTTATACAAGCAGCGAAAGGTCCAAATAACTAGTGTGAGGTCCAAATAACAATTCCCTAAGTATATAGAATGCGCTATATAGCCCAGCACTTGGTATAAACTATCACATACAACCATAGGGTGTGGAGAACAGGGCTTCCCGTCCGCTCAGCCGTACTTAAGCCACATATTACACATAGTCAGTAAGTATAATAGCCTTTAGCTCTTTAAAAAAAGCTGAAACAATAATAACTATTGACTTAGGATAAGTACTGGTAATTGGAATAAGTACTCTATATTCAGCCATTACTAGCGGTGATTCCTACTTACCAAGAGTATTCTGTGTTCTAAGAAGGTAATCTAGATAATCTAGATAACTTCCTAATTTTTCCCGGTTTAAGCACCGCAGAAGATTGCTATCTATAATTTTTCGATACTACGGGCAGTATTTCTATTGATCCGGCAATTGTCTCGACTAATAAAAATATTTATTATACTAGAAAACTATACTAGACTGTTTACAATAATAATAGTATAAGCGAAGAATACAGACTAGTCTGTACAGACTCTCTACTCAATTTATAAAGCGAGCTGGGCTTCTTCTAGAGCTTTGATAGAGAAAATACAAAGAACCTTGATCACAACCGAAACTTTTCTTTTCTTTTTTCTTTTATTTACTTTTTATATATTTTCCTTTTTATACGAGCCTGAGTATCTCTCTTCCGTATATATTCTCCTATCAATACTTCTAGTCTTACCAGGAGGTTAGAGGGGATTTGGGCAGGTAACCGACAGGTTAGATAGGTTTTGATAGGCATTTAAGGGGCTCTTGGCGGGTAACCCGCGCGTAATCCACTGCTATCAGAATTTGATTGACTTATACTGAAGTAGATCAGTGTTATCGTAGAGAATACATTCATCATCATGCATACCGCAATACCATCCAAGCCGCTATCAGTTTATCACTAATATATACGTTTGGTACTCGGTTTGACCCACTCTGCCTCTTTACACTTGTGAACGGCTTGCCAGTTCTTAATTTTCTCCACATCCCAGCCGGCCGACAGTTGCTGATTAGAACTCTTAGAACCCAAACGCATTGTGGGAACAAATATACAGTACCCGACATCACTGTAGGTATAGGAATAACAATTTTCGTGGTTATTGCAAGCTACTCGGCAGGCATGGACTGATTTATGAGCGGGTGAGCTTGGAGGTTCCCGCCATCCACCCCAGTCGCTATTATCCCACTGGGGCTGTTCTTGACGTCTTATCGTCAAATTCGTATACTCGAACAGGTCAGCATAGAGTAAGGGTGCCTATATTATTGGTTGGGTATAATGTCAGTAAGTGAAGACGAGGACAAAGAAGGAGCCGCCTACGTTGTGGCCACGTTGTTTTTCCCACACGGTAAGTCCATGCATATCTTTCAATAGTAGTTTGTGCATGCTAATCACTGGCTGACACCAGTGAGCCTCATGGAATGGAACTCCATGGAGAGGATGTGGATTGAACATAGGCCACAGCCCTGAGAGCTTCACATCACTTTTATATAAGGCCCATCCCAGTACCGAATCACCGCAACAATCATCCTTTATTAGGCTCTCATAACGTTGAATCAACGAGGGTTGGACATACTCCCCCTTGCTGCCAACCGTCCTAGCCACCAATCTCTCGACTGCAGCGACGGAGAGGACGAATCCAGTGCCGCCGTACGCAAAATAGCTGCTGCCTCTCCCGCGTGTTGGAGAGCCAAAATACAATGGCACCGCAGAGTCAAACTGATCCAGAAGACGAAATAAATTATCCCACACGATATACGTGTCAGACTCAAGAAAGACGAACCATTTTGCTGCGGGATTCAATTCATATGAACGCTCAACCATCGGTAGAAACTTGAAACGGTCGAGCCTCCAGGCCGGAGAGCGATTCACGGATTTAAAATCGCCTTGTTGAATAGACCTATAGACTTCAAAGTCAGGGGTATTCGCTTTGAAGGATTCGGGAATAGTAGCGAGTATATCATAGACATGGTGACCATTCAACTCAGACTCATGATCGGAGAATATGAGGAGGTTTGAGATGCATCGAGTAACTGTTGAGAGCTGGGTCTGGAGACGGCTTTGTGGTTCAGATGCACCTATTTTCAGAACAATCTGAATTCGAGAGAGGTGTTCGTAAGGGAATGAGTCACAAGGCGTATCACTCTGAATGTTTCGGAAGCGAGTGGCTGTTTCCCAGCTCCAATGATATGACCAATAAGCTCCGCTTGCAAGTCTTAACATGGAACAAAACAATACAAAAAGAACGATGACTGCTAGGACACTTCGCCTTGAAATTATCTGCATTTGCAACAGCAGCATTGATGGCTTATTTTAGCTCAAGAATCAAAAAACATAGGAATCCAAATGAAGTTGTGTGATAGAGTTGGGGATATAATTATTTAAGAGGAAAAGTACTATATAACAGCAAGAGTATCTGCAGCTAAGGTTGGTCAGGTTACCGGGGTTGGGTCTCATATACGATATAGATCATGAGAGAAACACTAAAACACACATAATAGGCGACGACATAGAAAAAAGTCACGAAGGTAATTACAAGAGACAAGCTAGATCTGACAAATACACCAGAATTGTGGACCTTCGCCGACTCTGACATGTATATTGTCTCAGACGAAGAATTACTGAAAACAGAAGCAGCCCCGTTGCAGGAGCCAATTGTGACCATAATTGTGAGACAGTACCCAGTCAAACATACTGAAGTTACTATACCACAGCTAATAGCGATGGAGAAAGGCAGAGAGTGATCGTGCATGACATCCTGTTCCATCGCCTAGAGATTGCTACTCATTGAGTACGCAGAAGGCACGAGCCCTCCAACAACAGAAGACTCTCGCGTATTGTAGGGATCCACATTACTCACAGTGTCTCAGTGCATTAAAGCTGTGTTGCATACTGTACGCATGCTTCCAGATCACAGTGGCTAAAGGTGTTCCATAGCTTGGAGACTTTTGTTTGAACGCGAACAATACTGGCCATGCTCGTTACGCAAGAAGAATTATCTCTTCCAAGTTCCATTTTTGTTCCATGAAGACGCTGGCTATATCTATAGCACAATCTCGTCCATGGCTACGCTCCTTTACTTGAGATGGTGTCTGTGCGTTTCCTCGGTGACAAACGGTACTCCAGATTCGAGCCGATAGGTAGCTGGGCGGAAAGAACCGAAAATATTACTAAACTTAGATAAGAAATGGCCTATAGTTACAACGCAGGAGACCAGTCTGGTTCGCACAATACTATTATACTAATCATGTTACAAGGCCTTTCTTTGGCACAAAAACTCGTACGGGTGGAACTGAGATATCTCGCGTAGGAATACCAACCAACCGTAACTCAGATCATGGGTTCGTTTAGCTGCGGACCCATCCACGCCCATACCTAGTTCCGCGCCTTGTATGGCCTACTCACGGTCAATTACAGTTAACTAAATTCCTGGCTGCCAGATAGAAATTTCTGCTCGCTAGTTGTTATTGTAACTTTAGGAGGGGGAAATGAAGTAGAATCGTAAGAGATACAGCTAGGACGCTGTATTCCAGCAGACTAAAAGGTCATCATAATTATAGATCAACGAGCTAGAATGCCCTTGAGTCACCTATGTAGCTACCACCGTTGCATTCCCCTTCTATAAATACCTAGAGAATTATTTTAAAAGTTCTAAATTGCTTTACGTAACCCTTGATTTTGATTTTTAATGTTCTCTTCAAATCAGCATTTATAGTTACTTGACGTAAAACCTCTGTGTGCATGTACATTCCAGCTTTCTGCTAAATAAGTGATAGAGAAACAGCGTATTATATTCCATCAGAAGAAAATCAGACTAAACAGAGATTACTCGCAATCCTAAATCCTAGGATCATATATTCCATAATCGCATTTCACTCCCTTTCAGCTAATCTTAGTTCTTTTGGATTATATAACCAATATTTTATCTTGGCTCAGTCTAGTAGATAGGATATTTAATAGCCTCACTAAAGTATACACCATTAAACACCTTCTACAATATGTTATCAATGTGTCCTAAGTTATACAGGTTTAACTACTCAAGGGGTAGGAAGTCAACCCAGTGTGGACCTGGGGAGCATGCCCTCAAGCGTACCTGAGGGTTAGCATCTTAGGGCGTCTTCCTATTAATCTCGCCCGATCAAGATAAAGATGTCAGGTTAGATAGTAACTTTCTCATTATCTCTGAAGCTTGTCATAAACCAAACCTTAGCAAGTCTAGCGATTTGTGGGGACAGAGATGTTATCATCTCATCAGTTACCCCGGTTTTAAAGCCACCCGCGGACTTTGCCGCGGCCAACATCTGGTATTCACCCTGACCTCGGAGGTCAGTAGCAGCAATATTTAAATTCTGGGGTCCGGGGTAGTATGCAATAACTCATTACGCATGATTATATCAATCATGATTGATAACCCAAGAATCGAGTATGATGGCACTGTCGATGAGAAGGTTTTGGAGCAGAACGACCCGAAGGTTGGCTTTTGACCCCGTGGCAAATATATTTACTCACGAACCCTTTCATGTTACATTGAGCTGACCCAAGTACACACTACTACAGGATAATGCATCTTTTACTGATATAGCCAACGCTGCTACCTTCGAAACATATGGCCATGTCCAGAGAGACTTGAAGGCTCGACATGTAACCTTCATCGCACTCGGTGGGAATCTTGGCACAGGCCTGTTTCTGGGAATAGGCCGGGCACTGAGGACGTCAGGGCCGCTCTCACTCTTCCTCGGATACGCCATTGCAAGTTCTGCTGGCTTTATGATGATGATGGCGCTCGGGGAAATGGCCGCGTGGCTCCCACTACCTGGTGCCATTCCTCAATTCTGCGCCCGCTATGTTGACGATGCCCTCGGCTTTGCTGTTGGCTGGAATACTTGGTTTACGGCAGTCATCACACTATGTGCTGAAATATCAGCGGCTTGCAGTATAATCCAATTTTGGTCGGGTGCTGAACATGTCAGCGTCGCTGTGTGGATTGTGGTTCTCATCGTTGCTCTGTTAGCACTCAATATCCTAGCAGTCAAAGTATATGGAGAAGCCGAGTTTGCTTGTGCGTTGATCAAACTCTGTGGGATAATCGGTCTACTCATCACTGCACTGGTGATTGACCTTGGAGGAGTCCCAACTCAGAACCGGCTTGGATTCCATTACTGGAAGACCGATGGTATTATGAAGGAGTATATTGCATCAGGAAGTACCGGTCGGTTTCTGGGGCTATTTTCCACATTGGTTAACGCATCGTTTTCTTTGGGCGGTGTTGAAACCGTCGTGGTCGCCGCTGGAGAAGCCGAAAACCCGCGACGAAACATTCCAAGGGCAATTCGACGTGTCTTTTGGAGACTCTTGTTCTTTTTTGTCCTTGCTTCCTTGGCACTCGGAATGATCTGTCCCAGCAACAATTCTAAGTTGCTGGGAGCTAGCTCTTCTTCTAATGCCGAGTCTCCCTGGGTAATTGCAATCAACTTAGCGGGTATCAAGGCCCTGCCATCCATTGTTAACGTTGTGGTCCTTATTGCTGGCATTTCCGCCGGGAACTCATACGTCTTTATGGGATCCAGATATCTCTATGCATTGGCCTCGAACCATCAGGCACCTAAGATCTTCCTACATTGTACCAAGCAAGGGATCCCAATTTACGCCCTTCTGGTGACCATGTCAATCTCTTTCCTGACATTCATGTCAATGGGCTCTAGCTCAAACATTGTCTTTCAGTGGTTCCAAAATCTAACTACGGTCTCTACTCTGTATGACTCCCCCCGCCTCTCTTCATGGCTTATTTCAAGTGAAATGCAGAATTTGCTTACCCACTGCAGGTACACCTGGATTTCGATCTGCATTGCATACATGCGCTTCCACGCCGCTCTCAAAGCGCAACATATTGACCGATCAGATCTCCCATTTTCATTTCCGCTACAGCCTTATTCCACATATTTCACGTTGGGATATCTATGCATTGTGGTCTTCTTTAACGGATTTGATTCTATTGCTGGTGGGTTTAACCTGCCAGGGTTCATCACCTCATACATCGGCTTTCCCCTTTTCTTCGGTTTCTTTCTTTTCTGGAAGATCTTCAAGCGCACAAAGTGGAGGCGGCCTGAAGAGGCCGATCTATTCACCGGAAAGGCTGAGCTCGATGCGATAGAGTGGCCCCGGAAGATACCGAGGAATTTCGTGGAAAGGGTTTGGCTGGCGTTTATTTGATAAATTAGCGGGTACGATTATGGAGATACGATTTGTTATGCTACCACACTCCTTGATATATAGGTGTGCAATGAACCGATCAGCAAATATCAGCATCTGAATTTCATATTAAGTCAAGTCTTTTCCTCTTGGAATGAACACCAATGGAAAACAAAGTTCTAAGAAAACAGAAAGCAAATGGGACGTGACGGATAAGACGATAGGATATCAACTTAGTGCTGCACATCAATACTGTCCATTGCAGCTTGTTGCTGGAAATTGCGTCGCCGCTGGTCTTGTAAGAGATGTACCATAAGCATTGAATTGAAATATCAACCAAATTGTGAAAAACACTACTTCTGCCGCGCTCCTAATAAGAGGCTTGCGTGGGAAGCAATGAAGATTTAAACATGAATAAATAACCTTTGAATTACACTATAGACTTTCAACCCTGACCCCATGGTTTATTTCGAAGTTAAAGCTTCGTTGCCTTTCAATTTCATCAGCAGCCGCTATAAACAAAAGGGCAATGGCGGAAAACACCACCCGTGTCAAGGGGATCTATGCCATTATACTATAATAACTTGCTGTAAATATATTAATCTCGAATTTGCCAGTATAGTACTTGGCAACCTACGAGCCAGTACTAAGATGGACTCCTTCAGTTGGGTAGATATGGTGCGAGCGAGGTACTCGGCAAATTCAATAACTGGGCGAGTAGTTCTATTGCTGAGATAGGTAGTTGAACTCGCTAATCTATTACTTAACAACCTTTACAGTTTCCGGCTTAGAAGTTTCGAAGCAGAGAACTTATTTACTCCGAATTGAAGCCGAGAATCAATCAGTTGCTCGCATCGTACAGTCTTATGCCCTATAGAGGGAAGATGATTGTGACAACAGTGTCTGGTATTTGAAAATTAGAACACCCCTAGGAGGGGACCGTTCACCCGTGCTACCGCCTACCATTTTTACTATAGTAAGCGGGACCGGGGCAAAACGCGCACGCGTAGTTGAATAGGATCACGTAGATATTTTGAAGCCTGTCAACTCTATATAATATGCCTAAACGCAAGGGTTGCAAGGAGTTGACCCCCCAGATGCGAGCTCGTTTATGTGAGCTCCATTCTATTGGCTGGGGGGCACGCAGAATTCATAGAAAGCACCCTGAAATCCCTATTTCTACTATATCTTATACCTTAAAAATGGAGCGCGTTCGAGACGATAATAAAAGCCTTCAGCGCCCTGGTCAAAAGCGCAAGCTTACTGAGGAACATCGGGATCATATATATGAACGAATTCATACTGATCCTCACTTCACGTACGAGACTCTTCTCAATGAAACCGATCAAGCTGTACCAAGAATTTTTATCTAACCGAGGCCAAAGTTCTAGGAAAGGCCAGCAGTGAAGAGGTGGGTCCTTGACCGCGGCCAACTAAGACAAGTCCACCTACTAAAGATAAAGGAAAAGAGATTTATTTCGAATTTATATATTTAGTAGAAGAGCCGATTAAAGAGAGACCTAGATCAATTAATTTGGGAGAAAGATAAAGAAAGAGGGAGACAAAGCTATCTAAGTCTAGTGTATCTCTTTCCATACTGCATCCACCACTTCGCCGCGGTAAAGTTGGTGATGTGAAGCCGGTCTGTGTTATGATATATTTAGGGGTCAAAAGTCTGACTACCCCCGCCATTTTGGCGAAAAATGCAATGAATAAAAACTCGATTTTCTCAACTAATTTAAGTGATATTGATATGTATATTAATTCTATAAATTCCCTATAGCAATACGTTTATATACCAGGTATGTGCTAGGTGTATAGCCCGCTGTCTTTGAGGTATAGTCGCATAGCCTGCCCCTTCGCGCTGATACATCTTCTTCTCTGCCTCCCTCAGCTTGCCTTGTTTTCTGTAGAGATTCACAAGATTGCTGCCGGTGCGCAGGGTGGATGTACAGTCACGACCTAGAGCCAGTTTGTAGCCTGCCAGTGCACGCTTTAACATCACCTCTGCCTCCTTCAGCTTGCATTAACTGTAGGAGGCAACGAGACCCTTCGTGTTCGGAAATTTCAACCCACTCAGATCGCCGATCGAGATTGCGGTCAGTATTGGTACAGACATAGCGAGCTATGTGTAAAATACTTACCATGAAAATAGCGTTAGGCATAATTCGGCCGTTTATTACGAATCTCTAGCCTCGCGTTTAGGAAGCGTGAGTCCTCCGCCAACTGCCTACTTTAGTAGCACTAACGGCAAGTTGCAGGGCAAGAGCCACAGCAGCAGCACCCTCGTGAGATCCAGACCTCCCTGCCACACCTCGAGCTTTGGCTCACAATCTTACAGCTTCTTCCCACGAATTGATATCCCTGGGATTGTGGCCTCTTCCAGGACGGCGGCGTTCAGGACAATTTAGCCGCCGATATTGCACATCGTTCAAGTCAACAAATATAGCCAGGTAGTAGACCCTTGATCCTACGTTCGAGCAAGCCTTCTTGGATCCCAAGTAGGAAGGGGACTTCCCCTTCCCCCTCCTCCTCGCCTCCCAGAGGTCTTCGCGCGGCCTCTAAATCCTGAGAGGAAATTTACAGAACGTTATGAGAGAAGTTGTGTCATAGGGCTTCTAGATTATTTCAAGCATCCTACTTAAGACACCTCTCTAACCATTGTGTCAACGTCATGGCAAATAGGCACGTATTGTCGGCATCTCCAACTCTCGCGTCGACCTTGAAAGTCCACATACCACTCCTCAAAAACATAGTAGGAATCTGAAAACCTAGTAAAAGATCAATGCGGTCGCTACTAGGCATGTAGTCAACCTGAACTCCACGGGCATTACGAATAGTGAGGTGAGCTAGATCATTAAAGGGCGTAGTCTTCAATGGCCCTGTAGTGGAGTCTTTGTTGTCGTAACTACCATCCGGGTAGAGAGCAGAGCCGCTCACTTTGAGGGTCGCATTGACAAGGCCCTCGTCGGGAAGTGCCAGGTCCTTCTTTTTGGATTCAGGCAGATAACCGCGCAGGTAGACGAAGAAGAGTCGGTCGCTTGATCAAGATGTTTACGACAAAATGTTATTATTAAGATTAAGCTGCACTGCAAGGACCAGGTGGATCTTACGCAATAATCGGTGTCGGGGCAATCTCAACGAACTCGATCTTGAATATCTGGTCATCTTTGGGCACGACGTCGTAGCTGGCATCGTTGTGGCCGGGGACCCTGTTGTCTTGTTGGGCCATAATGTCCTCGCCGACGAGCAATTCTTGCTGTGTGGGGTTGGTTTTGGCAAGGGCAGCGAATGCAGCGGTGCAAAGAGACAAGATTTGCGGGAGAATTGATTTCATCGCCTGGCAGCGGTTGTGGATTAGATTTTGAGACAGCTCAGGGTGAGTGAGCAATGAGGGACGAGAGGAATGTTGGCTTGATGTCACTTGACTTGACAGCCTACTACTAGAATAAACTGGCACCCAACCACGGATCGCCCGGCCCGCACAAATATATGCGATGTACATGCATGTTGTCATTCTCGCAGATATTCAAAGAATGCCATACATTTTGCCGCTTTTACTGATGACCTCCGTACCCTTCGGCTCACACGTGTGATCCCGCTAAATTAGTTCTAAAGGGCCGGTCACCTCGTCCCTTGACGCTTCCTCTGAAGTGCTGTGCACCTTAACGGGAGCGAGGCAAATCGATCCCAGTCATCTGTGTCGGGGTAGCGGTAGTGTGAGGCTTTCCCTTTTTTTTTTTTTTTTTTTTTGAGCTACAGGGTTTCAGGGTTTCTGATAGCTTATAGGGGAGGAATCGAGGATGGAGTGCATTCGGCTCTGATTTCCCCAGAGTGGCTCTGTGGGTTGGGATGGCTATCAGCCAGCAGAGCCTTCCTCCGGTGGACATGACATTGCGTGCAACTATTGCAGTAACTATGTACTAACAGCGTAAACAGTCCCTGGCAGAGATTTCATCTGGTCCAGCAAAATGGCGCATAAGAGATGTGAATTGACCCATTCCGTGGAGGAAGACGAGGGAAGAAGGAGACAAAGCTAGCTGAGTCTACTATAGCGCTGGACCCACCACTTCGCCGCGGTAAAGTTGGCGATATCAAGCCGGTCGATACTAGCGCATTTCACTTGTTAGGAGTACCACGACCTAGGCAAAATGTCAGCCCCTCGATTTAGTCCGCCGTAAGCATTCTAGGGACCGTCGCCAGAATTGTTTCATAATGTGTCTCTCTTAATTTAATTATGCTAGTCCTGGTATTTATTATCTTTCTAATAAGATTCTTAACATTCTTCTTTACCTATTCTTTACATCTATCGATGGATGCACATTGTAAGATGTTTAAACCATGGTATTTATATTATGTCTCTTGCAACAGTTGTGTATTTTGAAACAAAAAAGTTATACCTTTGTCCACAGCTTGCCTTTGGCCAAATGCATCCTGGCTGTAATATAGAAAATGGTTCCCACTGCCAACATTGTCCCCGTGAAAACCTGCAGTTTCCAGTAGCTTCCACCGGCAGCCGAGATCAGAGCGCCTCCGATAGGGCTCCCTGTCAATGCTGCCACAGACATGCAAGCATACATCGTACCCGATCGGGTGCCAATCTCCCGTATATCGGAAATTTGTGCCACCAGAGCCGGGCTAATGGCTGTGTAGGTGCCCGAGCTAAGACCGAAGAGAGCAGCAAATACAATTGCGGTCGCTTGAGATTGTCCAGGGAGCCATAGAGCCAGTACGAAAATACTCGATAGACTTGCCGCACAGAGAGAAACATTGTAGTTGCCTAGCTTGTCCGCTGCATATCCAGGAAGAATACGACCGATACCACTATTACTGCCTGGTTAACCACATTCTGATCCATGAGGCCGATGAAGATGCTGTGTAGTATGTACATACCTCGCCGCATTGAAAATCGGTACTAAATACCCGGCAAGCTCAACCGACATGCCCCGATATTTGCCGTAGGTCACCATAAATGTGATCGGTATGAACATCCCCATAGAATAGAAGAAACTGGCAAGTGCTGTTAAAACAAATGGAAGGTCTTTGAAAGGCCGGACAAATGCCATTATACCGGTGCTTTTGGGTTGTGAAGGTAGCCTTGGCCTTACGGTGAGATTTGTCACGATGAGTAGCGCCAACATCAAAAAGGCACATGTGCGCATAGTCCACGCGAAACCTATCTGAGGCATCAAACGATCAACTAGAATAGGTAGAACCACTCCACCGAGGCTTGATCCGCTGGCAACTATCCCCATGACCAAAGCACGCTTCTTCATGAACCATGTTGTGACACAGCTGAAGCAAGGATACATGACCATGCCCGCGCCAATGGGACTGCATATAGCTTGGGCAAGGATAAACTGGTAGTACTGTGATGAAACGGAAGTCATCATGAGAGCGAAAACATGCAGGAAGGCCCCTATCAAGAGGAGGTAACGGGGCCCAAAATTGTCATATAGTCTTCCAACAACAGGTCCCTGTTCGGGGGTGTTAATGTCAGTTGAGAAAGCCTAAGGATTGGGTGTAGAGATTTGATCTATCGGTTAGGCTTTCACTCACAGTAATAAAAATCACGAACATTGATGTTGCAGGGATCCATGACACGGTACTTGGGGATTTTGACTGTAGCTGATGAGTCTGATAATAGGCCTGAAACACGCCGACACCTGTTTGATGAAGGGTTAATCTTTCGTCTTTCTCCCCGGGGGTGTTGCTTTGGGTTCATACAATTTGTCCAGCCAAAACTAATAAAAAGGCCAAAGAAGGCCCCAAGAACCACCAGCCAAGCCCGTAACCCACCATCAGGAAATGCCTCAGGTTCATTTACTTTAGCACAGTCAGAGGTTGGTCGTTTCTCTCCCGCATCCTGACTTGCTCTTGTTGAGTGATGTCTATCGTCCATCTTCGCAGTCGGCAAACGTTAAGACAGGGTATAAGCAAAGTAGCCGTTTCAAAGTGAGCTGAAAAATAGCACTGGGAGTTTATCAAAATAAAAATAGTGCACGGAGGAAATTGAAGCTTGTAAGACGAACGTATTTATTAAAACTTTTCAAGTCCAGCGATCAAGGACTGAGTTGAACTGGCACTTATAAATATACAAAGGAACACGACAATCTCCGACGAACCCATCTAACTCGGTCTGCAAAAAGCCGATTCCATTGAGTCATAATTTTACTGTTTATGCCTTTCACTAAACCAACTGGTATTATTTAGCACCACAACCCACTGATAGGGCGTGAAGGCCATGTGGAGCCCTGCGGAGCCCCGCGGAGGTCCGAGTGGACCAATCACGGCGAGAGACACTTGGACAGTCCCTAGGACCTTTGTAACTTCAAGCCAATCCTGCATCGTATCTCTGCTCAAGAGAGCTTGAAAATGCACACCCAAAACACCCTGAATGTGATGAAGCGCTCGGCTTCAGAGGCCGGACCAGTTCCCAAGCGCAGTGCTTGGCAGCAACCCGTGTCCTGTGAGTTCTGCCGTTTGAAAAAGCTTCGATGCGACAAGAAAAGGCCGTGTTACAACTGTGCTTCCAGAGGTTTTGCATGCGAATATGCTTCAGGTAAGATATGCTCTTCTACAACTTTGTGCCTTCTTTGTTTGACTTTTTCTGACGCGAGAGAATTCACGCCTTTCGAAAGTGATTAAACCTGTACAGTCCTCGTTAGATTCGAACAAGGACCCAACGGAGAAGCAACACCATAGTCCAATCCTAGATGGCAAGCTTGTATCTCTGGAACGGTGCGAGACCCTGACACTATAGTATGTCATTACTAAGACGTGTGCCAAAGAAATGTTCGGGAAATCAACGATCGTCTGAAGAGAGTAGAAAGCGCTCTCCTTTCCACTCCTGCGCTAGGACAGGAGTTCCATAGAATGCCCCAATCCAATCCCCCATCTTGTGATCAAGCAGAAGGCTCCCATGGAGCAGACAGTCCCAAGACGTGGGATAATATTGAGGCCATTGCTTCCAATCCACACTCTGCTACTGAGCCGAGCTTTGGGCGACACCAACCAGCCGGGGGGTTATCTATGAGTGATCACAATTTTATCCCATTAAATGACAGCAAGGCTTCCGGAGAGGCATCACCCAAAACACTCCAGCATCACGAGTTGCCAGCTACCCATATACCGAATAATGTCAAGCAGAGAAACTTGCAGAGCCTTCTGCCTGATATTCATCTTGCTAGGCTGCTCTTCGAACATTATATTCAGACTTCGGACTGTCTGCACCGCGAGATTCATGTTCCTTCCACGCGTGCCCTACTGGAGGCTACCTATACTAAGCTATCGGGATCAATCATGGGGTTAGATGAAACGATTGCCTTCTTCCTATCCATCTTCGCATCCAGTACATTTTATGTTTGCCATTCACACTCTCACCCTCACTCAATTTCTGATCAACTGAAGGATGCATCGAAGTGGCACAATGCATGGAAGGAGGCAGTCATATGTGCACTATTGCAGCCAGATGCGATGCGCTCGTTGTCACTAGTATCTCTGCAGACAATATCAATCATGACATATTTAATATGGGACACGGAAGGCCAATCATCCATGTTCCATGCCCTAAGAAGTATCGCACATACAAAGGCGATTCAAATGAAGATTCATCGCCTCGACGCGCATCCCCATGTAGACAATGATGACGTTATTGTAACGGAGCTCAAGCGCCGTCTTTGGTGGCATCTTGCGTCTACTGACTGGTGTGTTCGATCCCTTCATTTGTGTTGCACGTTGGTCAATACTAATGATGCGCGACAAGGCTTGTTGCCAGTGTTCCCGGAAGCCAGGAGGGAATATATAGCATCAACCCAAAGCTCATAGCGGTCAAATATCCCCTCAACATAGACGATACTGATATTCGTTCGGGCGAACCATCGCCAAATTCTCTACCCGAGGACCAGCCAACATCAATGTCATTTTTCATTCAACGTATTAAGCTCGCTGAGCTATGTCGAGACATGATAGATTCTATGCAAAACGTCTACCAACGAACAGATCAACCAGATGACGAGCAAATACGCCGGACTATCGCATCGTTTAACTCATTCGAAGCAAACTTGCCATGGTTCTTCCAAATGGATGAAGAAAGCATATATAAAGCGACTGTATTGGCTTCCCGCCGCCCCTATATTCTCCGGCAAAGGCACGTGTTATTGTTTGGGCTATACTCGCGAGTTGGCCGCCTGCTAAGGCCACTTCGTATTCGCGGAGACAACCATTCGTCGTGTTTAGATCTGGTCAATCTTGGAATAAACTGCGCTGAGAAGTTATTGAATATTCGTCATAAAGTCGAGCCAGAAGATCTTTGCCTCTATTTCCATTCACACAGTATAGACCAGCACTCATTTGGTGCCCTGCTTCTCTTGACCATTGATATTATGCGGGATAATGATGAGCCTCGTGCACAGGACAGAAAGAAAAACTTGATTCGTACATGCAAAATGCTGAGAGAAAAGCAGATATCGTTGGAAAAGTCTACAAACAGCATGACCCGAGCGCTTGACCAATTAATGGGTATCGTTCAGAAGCCATGTCTATCCGTGGACGCGAACGGTAACCATTCTCGTCCAACGTTGCCTTCATCGCCACATGATAGTGTCAGGCTTCCGACACAACCCGTCTCTTCTGAAGATATTCAGATTCCAGGAAGTCAAACAGCGTCCGCTGGGAAAGCATATGACCCAGAGGAACATGCCCATATGCCGTTTACGTCGGCGGATAACTTTCAGTATGCTCCTGAGCATCCAGCCAACAGTCCTGCGGGCCAAGATATTACCGAGTTATGGGCGGAATTGCTGAATAGCTTTCCTAGCCCTCCAGGGTTCACATGGGAAGATGCATTTGACTGGAAGTGGTCTTGATGCTACCAGGATAGGAAACGAATGCCCTATTGGAGATAATATAAGGAATTTTACATAGGGTGTCACAGGAGGCTTGCTTGATAGAAGCTCTAGGAGGGTGGCAGGAGTCTGGCTCTATCGTATGCTACTAGTGATTTGATAATAGTGGAGCTACTAGTAGATGTAGTATCTGATACGAGACGTATACAATTTCCTCTAAGCCCTATAACACTGGCGATCTTCACTTTGTCTCATTTCGGTGACCACCAGTAGAATCAACAGTATTAAGACTTTAGGTAATATTGTTATGCCTGTTTTGGCTACTTCCATCTGGCGAGGGGAGAGGGGTATCAACTTCCTCCAAACCAAATCCTTGCTCTTTTAAAAATGCATAGTTCTTAGCCCTACCAACCAAGTGCTTCATACAAGTGTTTAGGCCGATAGAGTCAAGGAGAGGAAGAGAATCCGTTTGCTGCGCAAAGAACAAGGAAAAATTGCAAGTTTCTTTCAGGATAAACAAACAGGTGCTGTCTGAGCACTCACCTGCTAATCAACCACTCACCGGTGCCCCAGGCCACCATACCCGACGGGGACCACAGATGCCTGTTCGAATATTGGCGGCAACACAATGTCAACCATATAGTGTACAAATTTATGGCGCTTTTTGGGTTATGCTACTTACGAATATTTTATGGTAAGAACGTTAGCGCTGAACCATTCAAATTTATTTTCCTTCCGTAGATTAAAGCTATTCCATACTTCGATGACCCGAATCTGGTTGATTTCCGCATTACGAGCCGAGGGCGTAGGCGTTAATAAAGTAGTTATCTCCATCGACTTCGGAAAGTGGGGCCTCTTCAACTACATGGTCGCTATTAGTGGATCCAATTTAGCCTTTAGCTAACCTAGCTGGGTTAGTGTACGAGGATGGTGTACGAGGTAACAATATCTACAACACCAGGGGCAAAGTCAAAGGGATGCTATAAGCTATAAATACTGCGTCTTCCCTAGGTAGTGGAGTGAGAAAAAGACCCATTCATCAGTATCCGTTCGGCATGATGATCGGTTCATTCGGCTTCGTATTCCTTGGTCTTCTGTCAGCCAGTGCTTCTCGCGCTTGTACCGGCGCTTCTGGCAACTCTGACCACCATAACGTGCTGCCGAGCACAAGCGATAAGGCTGTCGCCGGCCATTTGTCTCTCAAAGATACTGGTACTAATGCAGCACTGGAGTGTCGGTGTGGAATGTCGCAGTTCCTTACCTTGCCTCATGCAAATATCACATCCCCCGCGGAAGCCAAGCGATGTGCCAGCTATAGTAAGTTATGTCATCTCAATTCAGGAACAAATAATGTTTGAATGAGACACTATTCTAACACAATGCCCTTTGTTCAAACAGAATTGATTGATGCTCGTGGAACGAACGAGCCGCAAGGAGTTTCGACCATGTTTTATCCCATGATCCAAAACATCCTTGCTAATATGACAGGCGGTGTCAGCCTGCCTGTGGAATATCCAGCTGCGCCTAATCAAAACACGACAAGCGGAGAGAGCTTTGTGATTGACATTATCACTGAGGGACTCTATCATTGTCCAGATCAGAAATACGCCATGTTTGGCTATTCTCAAGGCGCCTCATTGATGCTGAACGTTCTCGGCCAACTCAATTCCTCGGCCTTGGACTCAATCAAGTCAGTCATCCTTGTTGGGAACCCATACCGCATTCCCGGTAAGACATCCAATGTGGACGCTTTTGGTCAGCACGACAAGAAAGCCTCGGTCGGTATGTTTGCAGCGCACGCCATCTCGAGTAATAGCACTATTCCTGAGCTCTTGAGGGAAATGGACCAGAGTAGCAAAGTGCTCGATTATTGTCTTGAAGTAAGTATCAATGATATACATCCCGGCAGTTGAGTTTGTCACAGTGGGCTGATAGCTTCCTTAATTATTTCTCATTAAAGGGCGATCTTGTTTGCTCGCCTAACCCCGCCTGCTCCTGCCAAATTCCTGCCGGCCACCTTTCTTATGGATTGGTTGACAGTGTTCAGAAGACTGCTTTTGAGCACGTAATCAACCGACTCCAAAGTGTCTCTAACTGAGAGTACCATTTCTCAGAAACACTCAGCTCTTTAACTGCAGACGGCAGATGTTTGTCCTGCGACTTGGAAGGATTATCAGCATAATAGGGAGACATATCGCGCTGCATAACCCAATCCATTGTATACTAGAATCTTTTGTTTGCTTCCCTTCATTTGGGGTGGAATGCTGTGGAAAAGTCAGATTGTGATTATAATACATTTGTACGAGCATAGGTGCATACTTATAGAGGCCATATATCATTTCTTCTGACATAATAGAAGGGATTGAAAATTGGCCATTGTTCAAAGGATGCGCGGCGTCGAAGGAAAAAGGCGCCAAGAACTGAAGGCAATTTTGCACACGCGTGAATCTAGGGAGCCCCACAGTAAAAGGTTTAACATAATTCATTGGATGGGAGAGAGTTTGCTTCCATCATAACGGCGTTTCTTAACCAAGCCCCAAATTGCTTGGGTTCCTCCTACATTGCACGCTTTTCTGGACAACGGCCTCACTATTTGGGCTCTGGGCGCGCGGATTAAACTTAATTCGTTCCCTCATAAAGCTACACATCTATTAGTTAATCTGGGCACATCCACTGCCCAACACGTAATGCCGTCACGTCGAACACATCAGAAGTCGCGCTATGGCTGTATAAACTGCAAACACAGGCGGGTAAAGGTAGTTCTACAGTTCAGCTTTAAGATCCCCATAAGACATCACCTCATCTCGTAAACATATCCTGTTGGCGTATAAGACTATGCTGACCTTTCCACAGTGCGATGAACTACGACCAAAATGCTCCAATTGTTTGAGAAGAGACAGTCAATGCGAGTATGACTCGGCTGCTTCATTACGATGGATACACGGCGCCGCGTTTTGCCAGCAGTCAACGACAGATGATGCGGCGAATGACCAACAAAGTGGGACAGTCACAATGGAGCGGAGTGGCCTAATGCTCCCCAAGAGATGTACCAGGTTAGATGATTCGGTTGTCCCTCCCATTCTAAACCTCGTCGATCTAGAGCTCTTAATGCACTGGAAGGACTCAACGTATCAAATATTTTGTCGAAACCCGCACACACACACTATCTGGCAATCTTTGGTCCCGCAGGAAGCACTCAAGGAACCATTTCTTATGCACGGTATTTTGGCGCTCTCTGCCGTACACCTTGCGCAGACGAAGAGCATGAATCTAAGACCAACCTATATCAGCACTGCTGTATCCCACCAGAATCAAGCACTGACAACATTTCGTTCATCACTCCATAACATAAATGCGTCTAACTCCGTGGCAATGTTTGCATTTGCCAGTATTGCTACTGTTCATTCATTTGCATTCCCCCAAGAACCTGGGTCTCCCGATCCCCGATTTACCGTCGATGACCTCTGTCAGGTAATTGTCTTTGCGCAGGGTGTACATCAAATCTCAGTCAGTGCTGCTGATTACCTGCAAAACAGCATTTTCAAGCCATTACTCCAGTGGGATGGCTTGGAGCAAAGGCTCACAGACGATGCACGTTTATCTTTCGAAAAGCTGCGTGAAGCAATTTATGTTCTTGACACAGAGAGTACGCACCATGCTTATCTCAAGACCATTGATGGTATACAGGACAGTCTAGCTGAAATACTAGGCGGGTTCCACGGAGTGGCTGCAGCTACTAGAGTCGCGATCAGGATGCCAGTAATATATGTGGCTTTGCTACGCAACTACGACCCCCTGGCATTAGTAATTCTGTGTCACTATTGCGCTGTCTTACATCGGCTGAGGCATAACTGGTGCCTCGAAGACAGGGGTGCACGGGCTGCTCGCGCGCTGTGGTTCATCATAGGTGACGAATGGAGGCATTTGATGCATTGGCCGATGCAAGATATATTCGGACCTGATTTTTTGGCTCGCCTGGAAGAAATTAGTATATAGAATCCAGTTTAACGCGCTTTCCCCTCTGGAAAAGTTGCAAGGATCCAAATGCTTTCCTAACATAGCTAATATATATTCAGATTTGTTTCTTCTTCTTCTTCGTCTTTTTGCCCTGCAAAAGTCTTTATGCAAAGCTGCGACCCCTGACCGTCTTTCCTTTCAGCAGATCCTAACCTAAGAGGCTACGGTGTAGGTACTGTGCCGTCGTAAACATATATTCTTCCAATAAAAATGAAAGATTTGACTTTAAGCTGGTATAAACTTCAAACACAGTGCATTCAGTAATTGCCGTTCAGTTACGGCGTTCGTACTAAAGTTGGGGTCGTGGGTGAGACCATATGTTACCATCACGGTTTCTCGATCAATCACACCATCTTTTCCTTCTAATACGTGGAAGAAAACATCTTCCGCTGTATCGAGTGGGGCAGGCAAGAGTCGATATGGATCTGGCCCGGTTGGGATCTACACGTTTGGTCGTTGTGTTGGATTGCACGGTGGGTCTCAACCACTACTCAGTTAACCCTTCATTCCAACCAGCTGAAGTCTAATACTAATTAATGAGAGCAATGGAATGGTCAACATATTCAGTATAGCAATTCGTATATGGAGTACTCAAGGTTCTACCAAGCAAAATGCCAAGCGTACCAGCACATTTCGATTAATTTTAGCTACACAGCACATCTCCATATGCAGGAACCGATTGGACTGACCCACCTAGAGCATTTCGGATCTATCGGAAGACACCATTGACGAGAGGAATCGCAGGATCGCTTAATCTGGGACAACGCGGCTGATCACTGCCCACCTAGGCTTAACACAATAGAAGATCTCCGTTCGGTTCTCAACTATCGAACCTAAATACCAAATTTATGCTAGTGATGTGGAGTGAGACAATTGACGAACGAAATTTTGTGTTCGTCAGGGGTGAAATAAAAACGGTATGGCGCCGTCCCATCGACGAGATGGTAGTCTGATTGAAGAACATTTTTCACAATGCGCTTGGGACTTTGGTTGGTGGGTGTATTTGGCCTGGTAACTCCCATTGCTGGGACTCCTACCGCTGAATCTGGGTTCCAAGCGGACGATATCATTACCCGGGATGTCGCCATTCTTGGAGGTGGTTCTACGGGCACATACGCCGCCGTTCAGTTGAGGGAACGAGGACACAGCGTGGCGCTAGTCGAGCAAAAAGCTCGCCTGGGGGGCCATGCTGAAACGCTGTATCTGCCGAATGGGAAATACGTTAATTACGGGATAGAGGGATTTTTCAACAATGGACTTACCAAGGATTATTTTGCCCAGCTGGATGTCGACTACGAACTTCTCCTTCCTGGCTCAATTATCACGGAACATGTCAACTTTAACACGGGCAAACGGGTCCTTCCCGGAGCTGGTATTCTAGGAACCGTCGCCGGAGCCGCTTTATACCGTGCCTCCATCGAGCAATTCAACTATCTCGCCACCGGTGCCTATTACCTTCCTGACGAGGTCCCCGAAGTCCTTCTCCGCCCATTCCGTGAATTTGTCGAGAGCCATGCTATACAAGGGGCGTTGGAAGTTATCTTCACATTTGCAGAGAATGTCGGAAACCTCCTCGAAACCCCATTGCTCTACGTGATTCAGAACTTCGGTATTCCTCAGATCGATGCGCTGCTGGAAGGCGGGTACATTCGACCAAAGAACGGAACTGATGTGCTATTCGACAAGGCCGCCAACTACATTGACGAGCAAAATATCTTCTACGAAACAACCGTCTCGCAGGCCACACGTAACTCCACCGGCGTCGAGTTGGTTGTCGAAAGTGCCGATGGAAGCCGAAAGCTCATCAGAGCAAAGAAACTCCTGGTCACTTTCCCACCTACTCTGTCTAGCCTGCAGGGCTTTGATCTTCGTACTGATGAATCGTCACTGTTCTCCAAATGGACCCACAAGAACTATTACGCCGCTGCCATCACCAACACTGGCATCCCCGCTGGTATCAACGTCGCCAACACCAACCCCGCTAACCAACCCGGCAGCCTCCCTCTACCTCCATTCATCTGGGCGTTGGAGAATTCCGGTGTCCCGGGATACTTCATGGTTAAGATTGTGGCCGAAGCAAATTTTACCGCCGAGGATGCGAAACAGCTGATCAAGTCTGACCTGCAACGCATGGGAGAGGCTGGCACCTTTGATACTAAAGAGCCTGAAATTGCGGCATTTGCATCACATTCACCTGAAACCTTGATGGTCTCTGTGGATGATGTGAGAGATGGGTTTTATAAGAAGTTGTATGCTTTGCAAGGGCAGCAGAGTACGTATTACACCGGGTATACTTTCTGTACAGATTACTCCACGCCACTGTGGAATTATACCTCCAGTGTGTTGGATATGATGGGAATTTAATAATAGGTAATTAGATAGACGAGTAATTTTCACTCTGTACATTCTTCATTTCATTAATACCATACATTTAAGTCGACATAACAAACATCAGAAATGCTTCGTGTCCGCCAGGTTATATTTTTAGAGATAACTACATTTGACAGTACTTGCTATATTGCACTACTATATGTATTTATTGTTGAGGGTATATTGGAAATACGCTGGGACTATTTGCATAATACATACTCGACAGACACTGTGAAGGAACATCCCGTTATGATTTTACAAGAAATGGTGGTACTTAACCCGGGAGGAAATTCTACATTGGACTTTGGAGTCTCCGAACACATTTGTATAAGGGATATTGGATGAAAACAGTGCTTTATCGCATGGGACTTGACTGGTATTCGTCCAGACTCCTCAATAACTGTCAGGGCGGAACCCGCGTGACTATAGGAAGCCCTACCGTGGGATATGTCCAAAGACAGGATATCAAGCATCCAAAGTTTGTGGCATAAATATATACATTTGTTGGCAACCAAGGAGAAAAGGTACCATTGCTAGTGCGTAGAAGACAGAGAAGTATGCGTTAAGAGGTGGTAGCTTATTTGCTCTCTGGGAGGTAAACACTCATCTCAAAGCCATTCGTGAATGGCAAAGTCATGTTGCGGAAGCCATTACTTGGCTCTCTGAGGTAAGCCAACAAGTCCGCATATCCCTGAGCACCCGAGATAGTGTTGTCGGTAAGGACCACAGCACCGTGTCTAAGACGCGGCTGGACTGTTTTGAGAGTTGGGAGGGCAAGCTTAGACCAGACTAATCCAAAACTTTTTAGTTATTATCCGACGACGATGCTAAGTACAGGAGCATGAGGAAGTGGATATACTTACTATCCAGTAAGAGTAAGTCAACTTCCGGCAGGTTCTCCTTCAGCGTTTCGAGGAGGTCTCCCTCGCGAAGATCAATCTCATTCTCCACCGCGGCACCACACTGCTTCCAGTAGTCCCTTGCAACCTTTGCTTTCTCCGGCTCCTTTTCAGTCGCGATGACCACACCGGGCTTTCCTGTCGCAGCCTTCGCTTTAGCTACCGCGAGAGCCAGGTAAATAGTACTGACACCGAAACTGGTGCCGGCCTCCACAACGTTGGTGGCACCCATCGCGTTGATTAACTGATATACAAACTGACATTTATCTTCATCGAGGGCGATAAATTTATCGAGCATCAGCTTATCAAACTGGGTCGTCGCATCCTTCTCGGGGAGCTTGTCTTCGAAGTCGCCTATGACCTTGGCCGAGAAGACCTTGCCAGTTTCATCAATGGCAGCTTCCTGCTCCAATGACACCTTATGGAGTCTTGATAGGAGGTGTAGCACATGGGATGGTGCATCCACAGGTGATGGAGAGGACATGTTGAAGTAGAGAAGGTTGACGTTGATACGGGTGGGTAGTTGGTGGGAAGTTGGCCGAAAGCAGCGCTATTTATGTTCTCTGACAGATACGGACCCTAACACTATAACTCAAGTTGTTGCTAAGATCACTATACTATACTGAGTAGGTACAATCGCAAGGGCTGGCCGTCTTTGCAGACGTTTTATGTGCCCACCTGTTCTGCCATCGTGGTCTTGGCTTTTTGGAGACTTTGAGCTAAACTGCATACCGTTAGCTCAATCCCACGTCCCACGCAAATATGCTGGCTCGGCCTTCCGGAACTTCAAAGCTTGGCCCTACATCGTTGATCGTGTTTAAGACCATATGGCTCTAGCGGCAGTTTTGATCTCGCCTACGCGCCAAAATAGCCACCAATATATGATCAATGATATCATGGACATTGTGGTTCCGGAGCGTGCCGGTCTCTCAATTTGAGGGCCGAAGAATAAGTGTGCACAGTAAAATCCCCCCATAATGCCAAGAGTATACTCCGTATTAATCCTGGTGCCCCTCATTAGGGCTTTTTCGTGGGTGATCGAAGTGGGGAGGGGGTATGCCTTGGCATTTTGGGGGACTGGGTCCATGTACTTCGGTTATATATATATCCTTCCGCAAAGCTTTTTAGGATAAATATACGCAACAATTTGACGTGGAGAGTTAGTTAGCTTGTGTGGAAGTACTACTAAATATATAACGCTACCAGATCAGGGGTATCATATTGTTCAACAATATTGATTACACTAGGAGCTCCTTCTCTAAGATGTAACCATATGCTTCTAACACTTTCCCAATCATGCGTACTACATCCCAGTGTGCTTCTCCGCTCAGGAGTTTGGCCCAAAGCTTGATGACGCGCACACACAAGTCAAAAAGGTGCGATGCATTCCCGCCGCCTCCAGCCGGACAGATTCCAGGGCCTGCTTCTGCCACGATATCATCGAGGTAAGCGATCAATGCTTTGTCCTCCTTATCGATTAGCACCTCGGATACCCGATTCCCCATGACAATTAACCACTTGCTAACAACAAAAGCGCACTCAAGCGCACAAAGCGAATGTTGCAGGGACCAAGTAAAAGCCTGACTACGTGTCACGATACTGACACCAATCTTGACCGGAATGCTGAGTGCGTGCGCAGCATATAGCACTGCATGTGTCAATTTAGGAGACGGTATTAGTGGCGGACTTTGGTGCATGGATATCGCTATTTCGTAGGGATTATGAGTGTTTAGAGCGCGCCACGGACCCACATCCACGACCAACCGAATATAGGCCATTCGAAGCAAAGCTGTCGAGTTGAAGGAAATTGGACCATGTGGATTTCCTGGACTGAGGGATGATTCTGGGTCTGTATACCATCCACTCTGCCAGTTTTTCAATGCTTGCTCCACGTTGGCCGCATCTGCGGGAGAAAGGCTCTGTTCTGAGCCAGGCCTGCATTTGCTCAACTCGCGAAGGAAATAGATGTGTTGAATCAATGCCAATATGAGGGTGTATCCACCGAGTGAGGAGTATCCTTTGAGGATTTCGTTATCTTCCTTTGGCTCTAAGAAGAGGCTCGCAAAATAGGCTTGAAATTGTGGCTCAGGCTCGGACCTAGTCCGGGTTTCTTGCCACTCCTTCTCGGTTTGGGCCGCCCAATCTGCTTCACGCGAAGGTAGATTGATAGTTAGTTCTGAGGTTCGAATCGGAGGCGGGGTATCATTGACTATTGTGTGGAAGTTTAAAAAGCAATATATTATGGCGATTGTCCTCTTGAACCCTTCTATTTGAACCCACCGATCCCAAGTGATGCCTTCCGGTATCTGGGTTTCCACCTTCAGAAATTCTTCCTCTCGCACAAGGTTGACTATCGTGTTTTGCAGACCAAAGGCTTTGTTGTAGATGGCTTTTGAATTACCCCACGTTGCCATTGCCATGAGCAAGAGCAGTGTTTGTGCAGCAGGTAGTGGGTGAAAATCGGGGGTGCAAGCCTGGCTCGCGGACGAGTCTAGTGGAAGTTCTAGGATAGAGGAAGACCCCCCAATCCAAGGCTGACCTCCGGGTTTCAATACAGTCGACGCCTCATCTCCCATTGGAAATGATCTATGGCGAAGCTCAGTTTTGCGTTTGCGCAGACGTTCTTGTATTATGGCATAAGACGTTTCAAACAGCATCCTCGCATTATCATGTTCAAAGTTAGACTGGGCTCCAATAACTGCCATGGCTAGTATTAATTCAACTGGAGACTTCTCTAGTGAGAATGTAGGGATGTGAAGAAATGGTAAATGTCGATGGAAGCCCGTGAAGTAAGTTTCGAGGTAGCGAGTCAAAGTGTGGCGTGACTGAAGCACAAATCCAGGCGGAATAATAAGATTAAAGAATTGGACTTGATCAAGAAATTTGTCCCAGTGTTGTTGCGTAACCTTCCATGGTTCTAGGCAAGCTTTCACCAAAGGTGATATTTCAAAGGAAGGAAATGTCGATGAGAATTCATCAAATAAATGCGGGACCTGAGAAAAGGTTGTGGGTACATCAGATGGTGTGGTATTAGGAAATTGCCAATGAATGCTGGAGGGCTGACGGCCCGGCTCATCGAATAGGGAGAATGTTGAGAGTGGCAAGCTTGGCTGGTCATGGATCAGTTGTGATGGCACGGTCATATTGTCAATAATGTGGGCGAAGTCACCAAAAGTTGGGGCCGAATGATCCCACGGCGCCGGTGACGAGGTGGTGGCAGGAGCCTCTATGGGCAATGCGGTTGAATTATCCACATGAGTCCTCGAGGAGCTCGAGAAAAATGCATCTGAGACGGGAATCAAGCATGCGTCGGAGAGCGGTAATATGGACGAAGAATGACCTGAGTCATTGGCAGTAAGTGCCGTGTCTGGTCCTGTACGGATATGGGGAGATGCGCTTTGTGCGGCATCGGGAGCATAGCTAGCATACTCCGGCGATTTGCTGCGATTATTCAAAGGAGCTCTAAACCCATTTGGGTTGCTCGAAGCAACAGTATGGCAGAGGCGTAGATGACGAGCGAGGAGGTCACTGGTTCAGCCATCTTTAGCCGAAGATACAAACAACTAAGGAGTATCTGCATTTGCTTTTACCTTCGGGTAAAGGTTTCTGGGCAGGCGGTACAGCCAAAGGGCTTTTCCTTCGTGTCTGTAATATGTGAGTGAATGTTCGCATCTGTTGGGTACTAAAGGATTGGAATTCCTACGTAACCGTTCATGTCGTTGCAAGTGCTCATTCCGTTGAAATTCTCTAGCACAAAATTGGCAACGGAACAATCTATTTTTCTTATTAGGGGAGGGCACACTTTGACGAGCCTGTCCTTCCCCAATTCTCTCCCCTAGTGACATTTTATGTTTCTTTCTGGGAGACATCGGCAAAGCTTGCCCAGGCATTGAGATGTCAAGACGAGGCGATTCGGTTTTGATGATGCGGTCACAGGAACGCTGAGTCATCCAGCTGTCACGGGACCAGTGAAGCTCTGCGTCTGGTACCTATATAGCAACTATGTTGAAACCAACAACTTACATATGAGGGGTAGCTGTCACCCGGTCATATCCCTATGGAAGACAATTAATAACTTTCGTGCGCAAAAGCCATCTTGACTGCTTCAGCTAGTCTATCGGACTGGCAGTCATTCTCCCATCGCGTGCCAAGGCCGTTCCGATGTTTGCATACGGTAAGCCAATGCGGATTGGTGGTATTGGCTCGCCGTAGCCCTAAGCATCGTGTTGACTAGCGTGCATGACTCACAAGGCGCTATATAAGACAAAGATGCATCCGCTTCGCTACTTCGTTCCTTTTTCTCTCTCTTTAAATAATAAAGCCTGATTTAACCGTCCACAATGGCTACTACACATATCAATTTCGTCACCCTCGACGTCTTCACCACCACGCCATTCAAGGGCAACCCCCTGGGCGTCGTCCACCTCCCTCCTGAGGCTCCGCTCTCTCAGGTCCAGAAACAGACCATCGCTCAAGAATTCAACCTCTCAGAAACAGTTTTCATACATGATGTTGACCCAAGCAACGACTCCGATCCGCACACCCGTCACATCGACATTTTCACGACGACCACGGAGCTCCCCTTTGCCGGCCATCCCACCATCGGCACAGCCAGCTACCTCCAGGCGCAGGGGATCAGCAAGATCATTACTAAGGCTGGGCCTATTCCCATCCGCTCTGGTACGGAAGAAGGGCACGTTAGCGCGGCTATTCCGCACGACACCCATCTCAACTCGAGGGTCCTCGGCGACATCGAGTCATCCCTCCGCGCGGACCGCCTGCATTCCACGCCTGAGATTCGATCCGCAGAGCTCCAAGCCCCGATTTTCAGCATCGTGAATGGCATGACCTTTGCTCTTATTCCCCTCCCGAGTCTGGATCTGTTATCTCAGGTTTACCCAGGCGCTTTCCCTTGTGCAGTGCACGACCTTGTTGATGTAGAATGGAGCGAGACATTCATTGGTCGGTATTATTATGTAATCTTAGGGACAACCGTCTCAGACTCTGGCGTAAGAACGGTTCAGCTGAGAACGAGAATGGTGGAGGATCAGATAGAAGATCCGGCCACAGGATCGGCGGCGTGTGCATTGACAAGCTATCTTGCACTTGAGAAGTATAGCGAGACAACAATCCAGTTTCAAGTGACGCAGGGCGTTGAGATGGGGCGGCAGAGTGATATTGAAGTCGAAGTTAGGGTAGATGTTGGAGAGGACGGGGCGAGAAGGGTGAAATCGGTACAGCTTGGGGGAAAGGCTAGACAAATCATGAAGGGAAGTATTCTTGTACCTTCTGTTTGAGCAATATAAGCAAAGTTTCCCGCTTCCCCTTCGTACTTCAAAAATTTCGTACAGTTTCCTAATAGCGGCCAGGTTGGCAACTCACAAAAGCTCTGTAAACCTCAATGTACAGTTTTACTCCACATGCATAGGTCGAACACCTGTTTCATGCCGAAAATTGATATAAATCAATATTATCCGAAAATGGATCCATAGTAACTCGAGGAGACCCTTAATTGTACAGTTATATAATATATCGCCTAATAATGATCAGTAGACGTACGATTCCCGTGTAGAAGGTTGTTCATGTGCTCTTTTATTATCACACTATAGATAGGTACGGGGAAACTTGTATAGGGCCGGGATTTTGAAAGAAACAGAAGATATCATACCTTGAGTACCTCTGTCCATCTATATCTGAACAAAACCATAAGGACCTTCCCTAATACTAGTAATAATACGGCCTATGATGATTAACTGCCCATCCAATGAGTCCGCATCCCATTAGAATTAGTTCAGATGCATTTGTGATTTAAACGTGTTGAAGCGTACCATAGCAAACCCCCATCTCCCCAACAAGTTCATCCTCGAACGTCATCCATTCTTTCTGCTCTTCTGTGAGATGGTTAAGGTTGAAAGTCTTGCCCTGTCTATGCAAAATTGCCCTTTCCGTATCACCCTCAATGACCATAATATTCCTTGGAAAGATATTATTATGCTCGACGCGTCTCAAGTATTTGATGGAGGCCATGAATAAAATTCTCCATCCTCTTTTTCGTGTATTTGGTCCAGTGCAACATTCGCATATTGGGAATATACCCCAAAAGGACAGCAGCAGGAGGATACTCGTCGCTCAAAAGCATTTTGAGATATCATAGTATTGCGGTAAGATACCACAATCGCAGATTCCATATCCCTGAAGTCTTTTGTGCGCCGTTAACTTGCACTTGTGAATGTTTGTCACACGATGAGGGGACTCGTAATACCGCTTGGGTCCACGAGCCCGATGCTGCAGAGTCCAGGACAAAGCACTGACGACTTTCAGGACTTATGAACGGTTCTTGTGTAGAAACTTTGAAAGTAAAGTGCAGATTTCCCAAGCATGTTTTAAGGAGATTGGTCAAGTCCGTCTTGACCAGCACATTGATCGCGACTCTTTTACCCGGTTGCGCAATGAGGGGAATTTGGAGCTGCTTCATGATTCTACTTCTGCCACAGTCCACACCAAACAGTTATTTCGAGCGGATGATATAATGATGCTGAAGTATATCATCATGCAAGGTGCACACAATGCGGCCGTGTTTATCCTTCTTAGAGGCAAAGGAGTTACCTCCCGCGGTCCGCGTCGATGGACTCGCTTTTCACTTGGTCTGGGGTCAGTCGCCAAACGAGGCGCAGGCCTCCCAATTGCCGCAATTGAAATCTAACCTGGTAGGGATCCTCGAGACATTATTTCTCCCCCAATACACATGGGCCGCATGCTGATATGTTGGCTTGCAGCCCACCGAAGAGCATCGCATCAAGGAAACTCAGCAGTTTGGCAAAGGTCCAGCACCCTTGCACAAGCTGGGCTGTTCTGGACTTTGCGTGACCGACTTCGGTGCGTTCTATAAGTTCCTCGCGGCCCATTTTAACTTTCGGCAGAGTGATGTGCGCACATACCCCTATAGAGTGCAGGACACAAGACGCTGACTTGGAACGTCGTAGTCCATCTACGATCAGAGCGCTCGGAACATAACTGTATTCGGTCGTCTCGACCGGGGCTCCACCCCGGTGGATTGTCACTGACAATGATAATAGAACGACTGATCACTTCGTTGATATGTAATATAAGTGACGAGCGCGTGGTCTCAGCCGCTGATGGTAAGACTGAAAGGCTGAAACAAATGCAGGGGGTAGTTATATATCGACTGCTCTAGCGACAAAGTGTATCGGCGCCGAGCGAGGGGAGGCGAAGCTTCGATTCATTTTAGGGGTGCTAAGGTAAAGAGTCATGGCTTGATTGATCGGGCAATCAAAGAGAGACACGCGATACTTAGTGTGTTAGATTTCTTATACACATTCTTGATCGTAAGTTGTCATTGTAATATATTAAGATATTCTGTTTAGCTACGAAATATGGTGTTTGGGAGGGGGGAGCGGGTGTGCATGCCACATATAAATTTCTACTCCATGGATAGCGTGATATTCGGTCATAGACTTAATCACCTTATCTAAAAGCTATAGGAGGTATCCAGCAATGGTTGCAGGACAATAAAACCCAGGCAGGGAAACTTGTGAAACTGACTCCCGCAGTCGGGGCGGCTAAGGCATATTTTTCTGCCAGTCTTTTGGGTATGAGGTTTGCTCGAGTATCGATCTTACCTATGGTCCGTCAGTAACTCGAAGGCCGGCCTTTCCCTACCCTCCAACACGTATTTGGGGAATACGATATAGGCCGGCGGGGGCTACAAAGACTGCTATTCCCGCCGCGGAACGGTGTGCCATCGGCTGGCTGCAGAGCTCCTGGATACTCGCCAGACAATAACTCTCCCGAAGCTAAGCATGACTTGTAATACCGTAGTTAGACAAAAGTTGTTCTTAACGTATCGTGTTACATCCAGGCTGTTTGACAGAAATAGCAGTAGCAGATGTCGTAGTTCCAACTATCCCACGGGTCATATTCCTTTCAATTGTGGATCAATCCCTCATGTGGATCACTCGCCCCTAAAATACATTAGCCCCTCAGGCCCGCACGCGTACGGGCTCTCAAGTCTAGCGCACACCTGTATTGTGGAGTGCGCACCAACTAAAAAGTGGCATTGGGCGGCAGATTTTAAAATTGGCCTGAATTGTTACTTCCAATTGTTTCTGCTCCCTCTGCGCTAGGGTTCTAGAATAGCGGACTATCTCACAAGCGCACCCCTGCCAATATAAATAGTCGGTCTGGCATGGACTCTCAATTCTCGCTATGCCAAAGTTCTTTTTTGAGGTACTCAATTTTTAGACTGAGAACAACCCTCGGTCTCAACTAGTTTTCTCGCTCGCAGCAGCGCACCAGTGATTATCATGGCTGCCAACGGGGCAACTCCCGACTGCGATATCAAGGAAGATGTTGCAAAGTTTGATGGATCATTCGCCCCCAAAGCGAGGCCAACTGAGCCTCTATCTGGCCCGTGGTACACAAACCGTGACTATCTTATTGGCGGTTGGTCAGATCCTTCCATCTGGAAAGCTGCAGTACGTCAGCCTAGTCCATGCCCCTCTGTGGTGGAAAAAAAAATTAAAACTTCCTCTCCTAGTTTATCGAAGCGGTCGGTACATCAGGCCTTGTATATGTGTCTGGAAATATTAGCACCACCCTTCTCAGTTATGATACCAAGCAGGTCGGTGCTTATATCGGTCTATCGAATGTGTTTTTGATTAGTATTTTTATCTACGCAACTGCCGCAACCACTGGAGGCCATCTCAATCAAATGATTACGTTTTCAGCCATTTTCTCGGGCATCTGTCCTATTTCAAGAGGTTAATATAATACGAGTATGTGTTGCTGAAATGCTAAGACCCTGCGCTAGGAACTCTCTATATATGCGGTCAGACTCTGGGCGCAGCGTTAGGCGGCGGTATTTTATCAGGAGTTTACGGTCGTGCCCGCTCTATAGAGCAAGTCCTTGTTTTTTCCCCTATACTTTTGCTAAATCTAGTGCTAATATATGGCAGAGTTCATGGAGGTGGTTGCTTTTATAATACCACCACTATTTCGTCGGGGGAGGTCTTTCTTAATGAAGTATTCGCTTCCTTGGTGCTGCTCTTCCTATCGTATGGTGTGGGTCTCGACCCGAGACAAGCAGTTGTTTTCGGCCCTCGCCTTGGCCCTCTTCTTGTTGGCTCCTCTCTGGGAATTCTATCATTTGCCACCAGTGGAATTGCCCCGGGGTACGCCGGAGCTCAGATGAATCCTGCCAGGTGTTTCGCATTTGGCGTCGCGAGGAGAGACATGTCAGGTAAGTAGTCTGTAAAAGAGAGCGAACAAGGGCCACATCTAACAGTTTTATAAGGACAATGGATTTGGTGGTTTGGGCCAGCGATTGCTGCACTTTTACAGGCGCTTATATATAGCCTGGCCCCGCCTGCGCCTCGCCCAAAGGCAAAGAAGGATTCGCTGCCAGCACTTCCTGTTATGCATCCATGCGATAAGTCTCGTTGTGTCTAAATGATATCGAGCTCATATCAATTCCCCTATGGCTGGCTCTATAGTCTCTACCAGTCCTTTTACATTCTGCGCTCTATCATAAATTTCAACTTTCTCCAGGACACAGGAGCGCGCTCGCTATGGACGACGACAAAGCATTGTTTTGCGCGGGCAGGGGGTGTTTGTCTCGCAAGGAATATTGGATGAAAATAATACTCTATCACTTGAATGCCTTGTGCGCTGTATATTCTCAAAAATTTCAAACATAATCAGGCTGTCCAAGAATTTATTTATAACAGGGGCATATGACATAGGTAGAAAACCCTTGCCAGGTGCACCAAATACAGGAAATCTTTATCCTTAATTGTCGGCGAATGTTCTTCGTGAACCTTCCTCTTCGTTATCACCGTAACTATGGCGCGTAATCGGTAAATTTGGAGCCGAGGAATTATATTGCCGTAGTCTGGACTGGCTCGACCGTGGATGATCCGTTCGATAATGTATTTAAGTAGACGATCCACCCGTGTAACCAAAGCTCATAGAAGTGCTATGATTCTATTGACCAGGCAAAGGAAGCTTCAGATATGTCAAGGTTCAGCTAGTGTAAGTTAATAAAGGTTGGATGGCTCATCGTGGTGTGCAGGTAGCTGATTGTTCCAAAGTGCCATGGGTCGATCAGAGCCTCAAGTACTCATTCATTTGCAAGATTGACAAAATTGAGAAGTCTATTCCATTCTACTGGGATGAGGTCGTACTCTATTCATAGGGAATCTGGCGAATATGTCTTCTCACCAACATGAGCAAACCAATGCCATCTCCAGCCTCCTCTCCTTCGCCCTTCTTCCTGCCTTGCTCACCAAGACCGATCTCCTCGCCCGCACAGTCGCGGCAGCAGGAACCTAAGCATCCTCTCCTGTAACTCAAGCTTTCCCGATCTCATTATCCCACTATTATAGAGAATAACGAATGGCACCCACGGTGTTCCAATCGAATCACGCCTCAAATTCAACCGAGCGCTTCCTCTTAGGAGCGCCATTACCAGCGTCACAGGTACCACCGGTAGCACCATGGAGCCTGGGTTGGCAGTACCAGTGCCAATTATCGTCCTCGTAGTTAAGCGTGCCGTAGTCGTCCCAAAAGCCACCCAATTGGTTTGAGTGGTGACTCGCCAGCGTACCACATGTGGTGACCCCGCCACCAACGCTCACCGAGTCAGATCCGATACTTGTGGCCTGGCTCCATGCCTCGGCTTCAGTGTCGCCTTTACCAACCTGGCAGGCAGGCGATGGAAATACTCCTCCTGGGGTGTTTGTATAGAAGGTCATTTCTGCAGCTGCAAGCCAGAGGGCCTGCGTGCCGGTAGCAGCCAGAAGGATCAGCGAAATGGTCTTGAACGCCATCTAAGGAAGTAAATTAGTTTTCGCTCTTCCCAAAAAACCAGCTTGGCAGCTAGCTTGACATAGATACTGCATATGACTCACTGTAAGACAAGTATCAAGGTAGCAGACTGGAAAGTAGAAGTAAACTTGATCCTAGAAGCCTGTTGTTGAATGATGACGATGGAAATTGATCTAGGAACATCACCTTTATATACTTTGAGAATAAGAGACTTCTACTAGCAGGTCGGAGCTGTTTCTAGAGATTGTACCATTATGCTAACCCCGTCCGCTACTCTATGGACTATCCATGTATGGTTTGCAACTGATGGTGCTTGCCCATACCAATTGGTTTCTCTTCACGGAGTTAACTGATCGGAAACCGGATGATCTTGCCCCATGGCTCGGACAACGAACAAGATTCCGTAAGGGTAAGGTTTGGACAGTGTGGAGTGGCCCTTCACCTATTTCTCTAGCGGTTCACTCCTAGAGATGCTTGTCCAGGAGCCACTAAGACCTAATTTATTCCTGCGGCCTCCCGGTGGAGTGTAGGTGTGAACTCTAAATAAATGATATTCGAGCAATGCCTGGAGACCAGCATTTTCCAAAATAGATATAGCTGACTAGGTGTAATGAAACTAAAGAAAACGGCAGTGTGACGCATGCAGTAAGATTGATACATAGGCTGGCACAAGTTGTAATCTCTAAAATAGGCATGGAATTCAGGGACTCGTGAAACCCTTTACTATCCACATCTGTAGCCATCGATTAGAAGAGAACGTAAGAGTATACTATGACGGAAAACCAGAGAATTAGGCCACATCAAAGGCAAGTCAAACCGAAGCAGGTTCAATGCAGGTTTAACGTAATCTAAGACTTAGTTGGCCATAACATCGAGTGGGCCGGCCAGCTGAAGAGAATCTCGGAAGACCAAGAAGACTTTGAATGGTTTACAACTTTACTGGTAAACTCTGCATATTCTTGATCTTACGGAGCCTAGTGCCAAGACTGTAGACCTGCCCGAGTTGTTAAGGGGGTTCGTGTATGTATCCTGGCCCGGACATATCCCGGCCACCGTCGGCCGTTACTTGTTGGACCTTTCCGTCTCAATTACCACCGTTCTCACAGATATCTCGATAGGGTTGGTTGATCAGGGTGGGTCTGTTACTAGACTCTGGCCCGGAGACGTGAGTTTCCAAGCCAATGCCCCCACATGGCATAAAATCCAGTGGCAAAAATTGCGAGCGTCTCCGCGGCTGAGAAACTTCTGAATCATCAGATGCCGGCCGTACCAGATTGATAAGTACATCCACGTGGTGGCGGACCAGGGGTTCCCCGCTATGTAATGTTAGGGCCTATAGCCTACAACGTGTAACCCAACAAATTATCTGTGTTTTAGTTTGGCCAGAACCCACGGGCCTGGCCTTGATGCGTCCCTGACGGGTATAGCCGAACCTGATGACCCTTTTTAGGAAGAGAAGAGCCGGGCTGTGGGGATTTGATTCAGTCCGCACTTAAGGGTATCCACCATTCCCGCGAGGAGTTAATGCCCCATGCCTCGAGACTCGTATTGCTTAGCAGACCCAAGCAAAGCTTGGTGGTTTCTGAAGACCGATCCCTATTTCAGAAAGTGTTAGTCTTGTGCGATCAGCGGACCCTAATACCGGCTATGGATTTCTCCACAACTTCTTCGGATACATCTAGAATAATTCATCGGGATGATGTGATTGAGGTCGGATACGAGGATCTACATGGTTCAAGTTTCAGAGAAGCACTAGTTAATTAAATTAACCATGCCAGCAGCGGGCAAGCTGGCCGTTGTTTGGAACAGTAGCGCAGAGGTGCCAGAGTCAATATTTGAGAATTAAATACTGTCTGAGGGTCAAGACACCATGGTATTTGACAACTTTACGCTCGGCAGCGTATTTATGTGTATCGTACCTTTCGTTTCGGAACTACACCGACAGATACTTCCTCGGGTTCCTTCTCCGGGGCACTGTCAGTTGGAAATGAATCACATACAGCCCATCCACAATTGGTGCAGTTTCTTTCCCAAACCCGTAAAGATATCCACTAGGGAATTATCCTTGTTCGAGATAACCTAGATAACAAATTCACGTTATGGAAGACCCCATATCTAGCGCGCTGCTTGCTCAGGGCAAACTAGGAAGATTGGCCACCCTTGAAGGATCTAGGACACTGAGCTTGGTATGGCTGACATTTGTGCTCCTGTTTGGCCATCCAGGACCATTCGCTTCTCACTGCCTTCTAGGAGCTCCACACAGGGTACTCATCGGCACAGAGAAGGTTAGTGGTTTAGGATGCACTGGGTGACTTCTGCCGCAGGAGGCGCTGTAAATGGATTTATTTGCTATCTCATTCCATCCTGGGATTACAATACCCCGTAATGGTTAGTCTGTAACAACTAAATACAGGTTGAGGCTACTGTACTGTCAGTATCCGCACTTCTACCATGATACTGGTGCCTCGTTAACGGGATTTCAGTGGCGTGGACGCTGCCCGCGATTGTTACGACCGATTCCGTTTATATCAGGCTACGTTCCCATGTGAAGACACTCACTATAACGGGGAATATTTAACTCGGCCATTGGAGTGCAATCCGTAAGTTGGAAACTATTGCATTGTCAGATCGCAGTCATTAGGCTACCAAGTTGGACTGTAGTAATACAATAGTGCCAAACTATCGGTCAATACAAAGATTATACGTAGATACCATTAAGGGATAGGCGGTTAATATGGATTGAGAGAGCATAACAGGAATCCGTGGAATACCCACTTTTACTACAATGATGGAGATCTATCCTTGTATACAAAGTGAGGCGTACGAGATCTAAGCAAAAAGTAATGGTCAGAGTCCGCGACTGCAGCGTGCTCGTGGAGTAGATACATTGTTCCCCTTACATTATTACTCTGATACAACCAATTTATCCGCTGCCTAGCTTCACTGTCATTGTATGTGACCAATGGACTCTATGGGTTGCACGCATAGGTAATGCAGACCATCCCTCCACCGGTGTAAGCAGACCCCCCGAAGATTGCGCACTCCTTGCTTTCATTGTTTTGATAGCATGTTCCAACTTCGGAACCATCACCACCATCAATGTAGATCTTGTATTCACCGCCGTCCTGATAGAAGTTCATCTTTTCCATGCCGCAGAAACCAGCTTCGATCGAGAAGAATGAGCTACCAAGGTCGCCATCAACTAGATGACCGGCGCGATCATTGTTGGCCATGCATTTGCAGTTCCAGTAGTTGGAGGGACAGGCAACATATGAGGTCCAGTGCTGCTGACTGCTGCCGGAAGTGACAACGCTGTTGTACACGTTGTTAATGTGGAAGTCAGCGAAGGTTGTAGGGAGGAGGCTGAGTAGGGAGACTCCGTAGATAAGGGTGGATTTCATCGTGGAAGAGTTGGGTGTAAAGTGCTGTGAACGACACAAAGTATTTTCACAAGGTCTTGGGTTTGAAAATACTCTTTCTTTCTGTCCTTCTCCTTGTATGCATTCATCGTACGGAAACTTGCTTTCGATATAAAGATCCTCTTTTTTCCGCCTAGGGAGAATTATCACATCCTTCAGGAGCATATCAAAACCTAGATTTCGCCCCTAGACTCATTTTACTACCCCCCAAGATAGTGTGGCCCACCAGTGATATCTACATGGGGAAGGTGGAGCTGTCTACTATCACACTCAAAATTGGACCTCAGTGAGGTAGAGTTGCAATACAGACAGTTTGCAGTAGGTCTAAGAACTCCTATAGAGGCTGCGGGCATCACGGAACCTACGCAAACTAGACACATTTCCCAGGCTCCGGACTAGAGGATACTGCAGGATGCTCATGGGTGGAGACCTAATAATCAATAATACGCGTTCTATTATCTAAAAGTCCTGATGCTCTCACATGTCCACAAGGTCCCCTATACCTACCCATGGAATGAGATCGTAAACAGTCATTCATATTAAAATTGTCCAAACTTCCCTACTTTCATGGAAACAATAGAGAGCATCCTTACTACTCTAATTGCCGGGCTTGTAATCTTCATCGGAATGATGGGCATACCGACCAGGTACAGGCGTTAATATGAGAAACAGCATACTGGAGTCCAGAGTCTAGGGCAGGGGTCACAAACTAGCGTGGGCATCGTTTTCCCTAATACACCTGTAAGCCCGTATACGCTGTCATTGGAACAGGGAGCTCGGGTACGAAAAATCTAATGCGACAAACCCCATGAGGTTGCATGAACCACGCTGAATCAGGGAAAGATTTCCGGCCAAGACGTTACGCGCCTCCTTTCCTCTTCACAACTGGAATTTAAGTGTATCCTCGGCCGAATTTCGGTTCTTCGTCGTGAACCAGCTAGAAAGGCCATAGCTACCCCTGAGAAATACATCTTTCTCATCACTATGGGTCTTCAATGCCTATTGTCAATTGTAAAGGTTAATACTGTCAGGAGTTGATCATCACAATATCAAGGAGTCACCCATGGCCAATTGGCTAGAGAATGGGCTCTTAAAGGACTTAGGTGGTCTTGTATCTGAGCTATGGTAACGATACCTGGCTTAGTAGTAATACAGCATATAAATCTTTACTTTCAATGTTTCACTACCGTCCTTCTACTTTTTATTCACTGTTCCCAATGGAGTTAGTAATCTTCGGTATTCATAGTGTTGCTCTCATGGCAAATCCAATATGCTCTCTTCTAGATAGATCACGTGGGGAAGACGTTTTTCAGATAAAAACGTGACTGATTCTCAACCCCCCCCCCGGGGGGAAGCTTGAAGTCGTAGCTGAGCAGCAATGGGCATGCTTGGGGTAACACCGCATCGTGAATAGCTACGTCTCTCAACCCTGAAGAGGCTGAAAGTCTAGCCATAGTCACAAAATGCTCTCTCGACATCTAGCTTTGAAGTTATATAAGATATGTGATGATGATCTATAGACTACAGAATCTGGTCAACCCTAGCCTTGCCCGCAAGCTTTAGGTTATGAGGCTGATCCCCAGGAAACTATATTTCTAATAATACGAGATGGTTGAGATCAATATTATTGTATGCCTCTAGTTTCTGGAGCTGTGCGGTGATCGAGGTAACTCTGGCTTTAATGTAGATGCACAAACTTGTAGGCCCATACGGCTGTCCAGTACATTGCTATCACTTCATCTGCATTATCATGTTTTCGGGATCACGGGCTATACATTCTCCGATTCCTTCCATTCTGCTCGTCAGAGTCGCTTGCTTCCTTCCGCCATGGACTAGCCCTAAAGGTAATGTTGATTTATTGTTAAAATGCCGAATGAAAATGTGATAATGCATGAGTTACCTCCCCGTCTCCCATATACTAATGCGTGGAGGACAGTGGTAAATGGCCTTGTGCTTGGGACAGACTGCGCCATACATGACTTTGACCCGATGTAGGATCAACGAAGGCTTCCCATTTATCACACAGCTGAGCTTCTTACAGTTGCAACGGTTAACGGAAATCATCATAGGTAGTGTTTTGCTGCTTGGATGGCGTCGAGAATGGAGGTCTTGGCGAGATCATTCGGCCTTTTCCACTATCGGTAATTGCTGGATGCAGATTTAGGTATAATGTCGACGGGTCCAAACCACCAAACGAACCCAGAATCTCAGTATGGTTGGTTGGTAACCCCACATGGGATTTCTCAGCTCCACTCCGGGCGAGTCAATGTGTCCATGAAATGCCCGGTGGCATGATTAGTCTACCTGGTACAGCCGCAGATTATTAACAGAGAAAAGGTACCGAGTGGTGGATCCCACCTTGCCTAATACAGGATGTTTTGGTAATATCTTCGGTTCTTTCCGCCCAGCCCAAATGAACTACTGGCATACGCGAGGGTCTTCATGGCTCCACTCGTTCGGTTGGAGAACATGTACCTTCTGGTACACAATGATAGCAATCTCTGGACCAAGGAGGAAAGCATCCACTGCCAATCCTAACCCTCTCCATCGCCATTGGCCCTTGCCTAGTACCTTGACGAACTTTGACTCAGTATTGTCTTAAAAGTATATATCCAATTGGATCCTGCAGCGGAGATCTTGCCGTTTTTCGTGTTTCTCTGTCTGAGACAATGTACATGTCAAGGTGGATAAAACTCTTCACTTCTACTATGTTTATCACATCTTGCCTATCTCTGGTAGTCTTTCGCGATCTCCTGGCATGTAATCACCTGTCATGGCTTTGACCGAGGCAGACTTTTCATTTCGCAATCTATTTCGCCGACTGGAGACAACGCTGGCAACTTGACTAGAGGTAGTTGACAATAATCTTACAGTTGTAATTCGACCTTTTCCTTTTCGATAAATATATCTCTAGTTCTACTACCTAGCTTTGTCCCAAACTCCGGTATTTTCAAATCGTTACCCTGACATAAGCCGAGAATGCTGCTGTCGCAACTGCAAATCATTTCGAGATAAAGTGTCCTAGTAGTCATCATTCTTTTACTATTGTTGTATTCCACGTTAATCCTTGCACGCAAAGCACTATAGGCTGATTATTGGAACTCACGGACGACCAGCCGCTTTCAAAAAATTTCTAGTGATAAAATTAAGCCCTACAGCAAAATATTTCTTCTTCTTTGGGTCTGATACATAGATGGTGTGGGATAAAAGTATTCTTTTTCCTTTTTTTTTTT